AATTTTGAAACAATTTTGGGGTGCCTACTGTCTTTTTTTAGAATTTCAAAGGATCTTGAGGGTCTCTGCTTTTTGAAAAATTTTTGAAAAAGTGTGGGGTCTCTAGTGTCTTTCTTTGAAAGCAATCAAGAGAATATTGATATCCTTGATGCTTTGTTTCTTTAATAGAATTTAGAAAAAATTTAAAATCTCTATTGCACTTTTTTTCTAAGAATTTGAAAGAATCTTGAGTCTTTTTATTTTGGAAAAATTTGTAAGACCCTAGCATATTTTTTTGAAAGAATTTGAAATAATGTTGGTGTATCTGGTGTTTTGTTTCTTTAATAGAATTTGAAAGAATGTTTCCAGTTCTTGAGGTCCAGTTGTGTTTTTTCAGAATTTAAGAGAATTTTTGTTTTGTTTTTAAAGAAAATTCAAAGAATCTTGGGAGCTATTTGTGTGTTGTTCTTGGAAGATTTTAAAACTTAGAGATCTTTGGTTTGTTGTTTTTGAAAAAAAGTGAAATAACCTTGGAAGCTTTGGGTCTTTTATTTTAGAATGAATTTGAAAGAATCTAGGGCACCCCTTATTTTTTTTAAATTTTGATAGAACCTTTATATTGCGTTTTTTAAGAATTTAAAAGAATCTTGAGGTCTATGTTTTCATTTTGAAAAAAAAATTGAACGAATATTAAAGACCCTAGCGTATTTTTTTTTAAGGATTTAAGAGAATTAAGCCCTTGGTGTCATGTATTTGAAAGAAATTACAAGAAAGAAGCTGAAGATCTCGGATGTTTATTTTTAAAATAAATTGAAAGAATCTAGAAGTTCTTGTTTTTGTTTTTGAAAGAGTTTGAAAGAGCTTGGAGATCTCTAGTATTTTGTTGTTAAGCGAGATTGAAAAAATCTTGGCGACTGTTAATGTTTTTTTTTTAGAATCTTGAATTCCTATTGTCTGTTTTTAAGAATTTGAAATGACCTTCAGAAGTTCGTTTTTTCATTTCGAAAAAATTGAAAGAATTTTGAAAGGATCTTGTGGGCTCTCGCTCTTTTAATGAAAAAAAATAATTAAAGAACTTTGAGGTCTCCCTGTTGTCTTTCCTTAAGAATTTAAGAGAAATGAGCTCTTGATTTTGTTTTTGAAAGTAATTCAAAGAATCTTGGGAGTTCTTGTGTTGTTTTTGGAAAAGTTTAAAAGAACCTGGAAGTCTCTGATTTTTTGCTTTTGAAAGAAAGTGAAATTACCTCGGGAGCTCCTGGTGTTTTGTTTTAAAATGAATTTAAAAGAATCTAAGGGACCCGTGGTGTTTTATTTCTTTAAAATTTTGATAGAATCTTAGAATTTCTATTGCCTTTTTTGAGAATTTGAAAGAATTTTGGGGGTCTCGCTTTTTCATTTTGAAAAAATTTTAAGAAATCTGAAAGACTTTAGTGTATTTTTTTAAGAATTTAAGAGAATGTTGGGGCCTTTTTGTTTTCGAAAGAAACTGAAAAAATCTTGAGCACCTCGGTGTTTTATTTTTGAAAAGTCTGTAGAATTCTTGGGATTCCTAGTCGTTTTTTTAAGAAATTAAGAGAACTTTGGGCCCTCAGGGATTTATTTCTTGAGGTCCATGGTGTTTTTTTTTTGAAAAAAAAAAGAGAATTGAGAATGATCTAAAAGAGCTTGGACACTTCTGGTATTTTGATTGGAAGAACTTGGAGGCCTCTGGTGTTTTGCTTTTGAAAGAAATTGAAAGAACCTCGGAAGCATCTGGTGTTTTTATTTTAAAACGAATGTGAAGAAATGTTGGGGGCTCCTGGTGTTTTGTATTTGAAAGAGTTTAAAAGAACCTGGAAATCTCTGATGTTTCACAATAATTGAAAGAAATTGGGAGTACTCGGGAGTCCCTGGTGTTTTGTTTGAATACGAATTAAGAACAATCTTGGGGACTGCTGGTGTTTTATTTTTAAAAAATTTTGATAGAATCTTAAGATACGTGTTGTATTTCTTTGAAGAATTTGAAATCATCTTGAAAAGTCTCTTGAAGTCCCCACCGTATTTTTTTGAAAGAATTTAAGAGATTGAATTTTTCCAGTTTCTGATGGTTTGTTTTTAGAAGAATTTGAAAGGTGTTGAAGGCCCTCGATATTTTCATTTAAAAAAGAATCGAAAGAATCTTAAGATTCCTAATATATTTTTTTAAGAATTTAAGAGAATTGAGCCATTGGTGTCGTGTATTTGAAAGAAATTACAAGAACCTGGAGATCTCTGGTGTTTATTTTTTAAATAAATTCAAAGAATCTTGAATTCTTGAATTCTTGTTTTCAAAAGAGTTTGAAAGAACTTGGAGATCTCTGGTGTTTTATTATTGAGCGAACTTGAAAAAATCTTGTTGACTTTTAATAGTTTTGTATAGAATCTTGGATTCTTGTTGTCTGTTTTTAAGAATTTGAATTGATGTTCAGAACTTCGTTTTTTCATTTCGAAAAAATTGAAACAATTTTGAACATATTCTATTGAAATTTTTTGAAAACATTTAACATGTTTGGAGCCTTTCGTGTTTCGTTTCTTTAATAGAATTTGAAATAATTTTTCCAGTTCTTGGTGTTTTGTTTTTGAAAGAATTTTGCAAGGAACTTGTGGGCCCTCGCTCTTTTTATTAAAAAAACATTAAAGAATCTTGAGGTCCCTCTGTTGTCTTTCTTTAAGAATTTAAAAGAATTGAGCCCCCGATTTTGTTTTTGAAAGAAATTCAAAGAAACTTAGGAGCTCTTGTGTTGTTCTCGGAACTTGGAGGTCTCTCATTTTTTGCTTTTGAAAGAAATTGAAAGAACCTCGGAAGCCGTTGGTGTTTTATTTTGAAACAAATATGAAAGAATCTTGTGGGTTCCTGGTATTTTGTTTTAGAACGAATTAAAAATCTTAGGATACCTCTTGGATTTCTTTTAAGAATTTGAATGAATTTTTCCTATTCCTGATGTTTTGTTTTTGGAAGAATTTGAAAAGTCTTAAAGTCCCTCGCTCTTTTAATTAAAAAAAAATTGAAGGAATCTTAAGAATTTGCGATAATTGAGTCCTGGGTGTCGTGTTTTTTAAAGAAATTAAAAGAACCTGAAGACCTCTAATGTTTTGTTTTTAAACTTAAATTGAAAGAGTCTTGGAGCACCTTATGTTTTATTTTTGAAAGAAATTGAAAAAAACTTGGGAGTCTTTGGTATTCTGTTTTAGACTAAATTAAGAAAGATCTTGCGTTGTTATTTTTAAATAATTTTGATAGAATCTTAGGAAATCTATCGTCGTTCTTTTAAGAATGAAAGAATCTTAGAAAGAATGGCGGAACCTATTGTACTTTTTTGAAAGAATTTAAGAGAATTGAGCCCGTGTTGTCGTACATTTGAAAGAAATTACAAGAAATTGGGGCCTCTGGTGTTTTGTCTTTAAAGTACCTAAATTGAAAGAATCGGGAGTTCCTTGTTTTTATTTTTGAAAAAGTTTAAAAGAACTGGAAGATTTCTGGTGTGAAATAACTTTGGAAGTTTTTGCTGTTTTGTTTTTGAACGAAACTGAAAGATTCTTGAGGACTTTCAATGTTTTTTTAATAGAATCTTGGAACCCAATTCTCCGCTTTTAAGAATTTTCGTTTCGAAAAAATTTGAAAGAATTTTGAACATCCTATTGCATTTTTTTGAAAGAATTTAACAAAATATTTGGGCCTCAGGTATTTTGTTTTTGAAGGAAATTGAAAGAATTTTGGGACCTCTGGCTTTTTTTTTTTAAATTAAGAGATTAGTGGGGCCGTTAGTGTTTTGTTTCTTTAACAGAATTTGAAAGAATTTTGCCGGTATCTAGGGTTTTGTTTTTGAAAGAATTTGGTTACCGTATTAGGATAAATATTATTATAATATACATTTTTGGAAAAACCCAAAACTTTGCAACAAAACTTCAAAATTTCTATTAGAATTTATTAAACCAATTTTGCTGAAATTCAGCACAGAGCTTGAAATTATTATCAGCCTTTTAGATCTCTAATCAAAATTTGTCTATCCATGCCTACCACATTTTTGACGACGTCACCTCCAAAATTTGTTAAGTGACTTCTATTTAAAATATTTACTTCAGATGCAAGGAAAATTCTGCCTAAATAATTTTTGACCAATTTTTTAGCGAATATTGTCGATTTAGGAAATATTTATATACACGTGCCGCTAAAGCGTTCATTTTGCAGAAGAGTTTCTGAAACTGGCATTAAATGCATTTAAATTAAGCAAACTAAAATTGTTTACATTTATTTTAAAAAGGGGATAATTTCTAGATATTCAAATCGCTGAGATGAATAGACTGTTATAACAAAAAGATAAAACTTAACTATTAATCACTCATAAAAAACGTATTTTAGGATCACCTAGTACTCTTAAATTTTATAACACCTTTACAATACATATAATTATATAAATAAAATACTATAGTAATATTCGTTACAAATGTGTATTTATAAAACACTAACATCATCACCCATTTTTATATCACAGACAAGAGAAGAACCGCAGTCTAAACCACAAAAACCATAACCGCAGATTGTACTATCACAGTTTACAAACATTACTGATATATTTATAGTTAAAAACCAATATAAACTGATAGGCAAATGCACCCATTATATCTTGTATACTAAAAAGCTGTGTGGTCTTTCCGTTTAAAGTAATAAATATCCAAAAAAATTTGACCATTTTTCACTCAATTCTTCGCATTAAGAAAAAGAAATAAAACTAAAAGAAACATTCTGTCTTGAGCTTAATTTTTTATGGCGATTTCGCTAAATTTCATAAGGAAACTATTTTTAAACAACATTATATTAATACCACGTTTAAGTAATTAAGTTCACTATTGCTTTCAAAACATTCTGACAAATACGGTAAAAATATCAGCAGGATTAGTCAGTGCTTTAAATCTCCTGATCAACTCCAGGAAAAAATCCTGCGATTTACTTTCCCTGCCACTGTTATCCTTCTCTTGTACTTTACGTAGCTTCTTTGTTTCAGGGAGCCTCCGGTATTACGGGCTTACAACAACACGGACATAATCCTCAGGCTGCCGATGGGTAAAAGAATTAGAGATATCCGATGGCTCTCCGTTTGGTGCAGACGATTTACGGTCAGTTAATTTCCACTTATGTGTCCTTACACTCCATTTTCCGAAATTGTGTGTTTCTGAAAAATTAGAACAATTTTTTGCACGACCGACTTTACTAAAAACCAGTCAGTGGCGCGAAAATAAAATAAAATAACGACATTATTTTTTTATTCATAGTTTTCTCCCGGTTTTGCTCGTTGCTAGGGCCGTGAAGTCCCTACTTCCTGATTAATCCATGCGGCCCATTGCCCCTGTTGTGTCCGTCATGCTAAACTGGTTCCATTTACGGCGCGTCACTAAATCACGGGAGGGACGCGTCGCGACGCCTCCGAAGCTATTTATTGCATATTAGATAAAATGCTAATTCTGTACTCGACAAAGGTACTCGTTTGTTCGGGCCATTGTTACTCACTTATCTCTCTCACGCTTCTTACTCTTATTGTGTTACAAAATAACACAAAAAGAAAAAAATGAGAGACATTCCGGTAGAGTTTCCGCACCTATTTTTGCTCCGGGACAAGATAACGCGGCTTATGCAAGCACAAGGATTTGCGAATAACTTCTAAAATTTATGATTCGCTACAAACAGGTGAAAACTGGGGAAAAATTCTTCTGGAAAAGCTAAATTCTACTCTATTTCTATGTTCTAGCAGCATTGTTGTGTTAATGATTTACACTAACACAAAACAATGCTGCCTTCGTTTTCATGATGTATTAAGATATTTTTTATATTGAAAATCCTCCGGTCTCTGGCTTTCAGCAAGCCAAAGTTGGCGGTTCTCGTTTCATAAAGCGGTCTAATTAGCAGACACGTCAACAAAAATACCCCGAGCAAAAACGTGAGCGTTTTCCCGGACCGCACCTTTTAGCTCCGACCGCACAAGGGAGATAACGTGAAACTTATGCAACAACAATAGTTTCAGAATAAATTTAAACTAGGAAACTGCATGTAATAGTCTAAAGTTGGGTAATGTAATAATAATCACTGAAAGCTCAGTGAAATTCATGAATTATAAAAGCTTTTCAGCGAAGCTATCAGAGTGGAACACAAGCGCTGCCCCTCCATTTTGCGAACAAGTTCTCTTCTCGGCGCCCCCTTGGAGTATTATTTCCCATCACCAACAGCCGTGACACACACTGACACTTGTATTGTGAACGTTTCCGGTGGTCTTTTGTTTTTGGACGTGACTCTAATTTGTTCCAAGTGTTTCTCACATTTGCATATAAACGTCTTCTTCATTGTGACACACAATTAACAATCCAACGCGGTTATTAGGACATGAAGAAGATGGAATTTTATTGGACGCATAACTTTGCGTTCGCCGGGATGTTTGCCCTCTTTTTCACATTGCGTAGTCGAACCTTCTTCGGTTTGAATTTATTCGGCGTATTGAGGGAATTTATGATGGAAGGAAACAGTTTGTGGGCATCGGGGCTTAGAATTTAAATTGGCAAAGTTGGAGGTGTGCCGTGGCGTAATTTCGAATTGGCATTCTTGTGTTAAATTGGTGTTGTTCTAAGGAATATATATTCTGGGAACGGTGTGGCACACTAAACGTGGACAGTTTCAGGGGAATAAAGAAACCAGATTACAGAATGATTGATTGATTTGTTTTCGTTGCTGAAATAGAATGATCATGAGCTGGATTAATGACTATTCAGGTTACTCTGTTTCTGTCTTGGAAGCAGAAAAAGTTTTCCAGATATATTTCTGTAGCTATAGTTTGTTACGCCAAAAACCCTATTTTATTAGTGTCATTTTATCAACACTCGGAATGAAAAAAATCACTTGGTCTATGTTCAGATTCTAACAATAAACAATGAACTTCCGGTAGTTTTTACTTAAAAATAAGGAGAAAAAAAACGTGGGGCTAGAACCAGCATTTCGGCTGAACACTCTATCCCTGTTCTTAATAATAGTAACGAAGCAATAATATTTTGTCTACATGAGGTAGTGTTTTTTACAGTGCTTGTTTTGACACATAAAGTCCACTTTACAGAAATGTAGATGTTACCAGTTAAAAAAAACTTGTTAAAAGCACCGAATGCACAAAGTCTCTATCACTATTAAATCGGAAAAGTTAGAGATGTGCTGTGTTTTAATTTGGAACTGTCATTTTTATGACAAATCGGTGTTCTTGTAGGAAATATATATCCTGGAAGCTGTGTGTCACACTAAACATGGGCAGTCTCAAGAAAATAAAGAAATCGGATTACAGAATGATTGATTCATTTATTTTCGTTGCTGAAATCGATGATCATCAGCCAAACTAATAACAATTCAAGTTATTCTGTTTCTGTCTTGAAAGCAGAAAAAGTATTCCAGATAAATTTCTATGGCTATAGTCTATAGTTAATTAAGCACCTGCTAAAAACTGTATTATAATAGTGTCATTTTTATCAACACTCACAACACAAAGATCACTTGATCTATGTTTAGATTTTAACAATAAACAATTAACTTTCGACACTTTTTACTTGAAAATAAGGAGAAAAAGAAAGAAGGGGGCTAGGACCAGCACTTCGACTGAACACTCTATCCCTGTTCTTAATGATTTCTTTAGAAGATGTCTACATGTCTGCAATTTTTAAGTTTTAACTAAATACTCTACACAACTTTTGTAGTCACTCTCTTAAAACATCGCTTTTAAACTTGTCGAATCTGAGAAATCGTAATTGATTTTCCCGTTTTCGGACTATATTTTTTATTATAAACTATACAATTAATATGGTAAATTTTATTGGATCGTGCTTTACCTTTTGGGTTTCCGAGACGACGTTGGAGAACAGTCGATTTTTGTTCTTTCATACTATTGGAAAAATTGTCCATTAAATTGAAAAATGTTCAATCTCATTTATTTTTCGTGTTTTTTCTTTTTCATTATTTTTGAAATACAATGTTTTCCTGGCCCTAGGAGAAAGAGTAGGGAAATAATAATATTTTGTACACAAAATCTCCATCACTATTAAATTGGAAAAGTTGAGGTGTGTCTTGACATCATTTGGAATTGGCATTTTTATGTCAAATGTTTTTGTAGAGAATATATATTCTGGAAGCGGTGTGTCACACTAAACGTGGACAATCTCAAGGGAATAAAGAAACCAGATTACGGAATGATGAATTGATTTATTTTTTTTGCTGAAATAGCATGATCATCAACTAGATTAATGATTATTCACTATTCAGGTTATACTGTTTCTGTTTGAGAAGCATAAAAATTGTTCCAGATAAATTTCTGTGGATATAGTTAGTTACGCAGATGGTAAAAACTGTATTTTATCGATGGAATTTTTATTAGAACATATAAAAAAAATCAGTGCTCAGATTTAAACAAAAACACAATTAATTTCCATAATTTTGACTTGTAAATAAGAAGAAAAAGAAATAGAGGACTAGGACCAGCACATCTACTGAGCACTCTATCCCTGTTCTTAAAAATGTTTTCAAAAGGTATCTACAAACTTGCAGTGCTTAAACTTTAACCAAATATAGACCGTTTTTATAGTCACTGGATTAAGCCTTCACTTTTAAACGTGTCAAATTTGAGAAAATATTATTGATTTTCCTTTAGCTACTATATTTTTGATCATAAAATGTACATACAATTAATGTCCTAAATTTTATTGGTTCGTGTTTTAGCCTTCGGGTTTCCCATAAGACTTTCGATGATTATCAATTCTTGTTCTTTCATACTATTGAAAAACTTAACAATTAAAATTAAAAATTTTCTCTTTCTTTAATTTTTTTTAGTTTTTTGTTTGCTTTTGAAAGACTATGCGTCTCTGGCTTTAGGAGAAATAGTAGTGACGAAATAGTATTTTCTCAGTATGATGTACCTAATGATTTCCACTATGGTTAAAGCCGATTTCATCGAAATATAAATGTCATCAGAAAAATAAATGTTTAAGTGTGGCTATAATTAGTTACGCAGATACTATAAACTGTATTTTATAATCGGAATTTTTATCACAACATATAAAAAAAATCAGTTGTTAGTGTTCAAATTTAAACAAAAACACAATTAATTTCCAATAGTTTTGACTTGGAAATAAGAAGAAAAAGCAATAAAGGACTAGGACCAGCACATCTATTGAGCACTCTATCCCTATTCTTAAAAATTTCTTCAAAAGGTATCTACAAACTTGTACTCCTTAAACTTTAACCAAAAATAGACAGTTTTTATAGTCAATGGCTTAAACCTTCACTTTTAAACGTGTCAAATTTGAGAAAGCATTATTGATTTTCCTTTAGCTACTATGTTTTTGATCATGAAATGTACATACAATTAATGTCGTAAATTTCATTGGTTCGTGTTTTAGCCTTCGGGTTTCCCAGAAGACTTTCGATGATTATCAATTCTTGTTCTTTCATACTATTGAAAAACTTAACAATGAAAATTAAAAATTTTCTCATCTTTCTTTGATTTTTTCAGTTTTTTTTTTTTTGCTTTTGAAATACTATGCGTCTCTGGCTTTAAGAGAAATAATATTGACGAAATAGTATTTTCTCAGTATGATATACCTAACGATTTCCACTATGGTTAAAGCCAATTTCACAGAAATATAAATGTGATCAGAAAAATAAATGTTTAACTGTGGCTATAATTAGTTACGCAGATACTATAAACTGTATTTTATAATCGGAATTTTTATCACAACATATAACAAAAAATTAGTTGATGGTGCTCAGATTTAAACAAAAGCACAATAAATTTCAATAGTTTTGACTTGGAAATAAGAAGAAAAAGAAATAAAGAACTAGGACCAGCACATCTACTGAGCACTCTATCCCTGTTCTTAAAAATGTTTTCAAAAGGTATCTACAAACTTGCAGTGCTTAAACTTTAACCAAATATAGACCGTTTTTATAGTCACTGGATTAAGCCTTCACTTTTAAACGTGTCAAATTTGAGAAAGTATTGTTGATTTTCCTTTAGCTACTATATTTTTGATCATAAAATGTACATACAATTAATGTCCTAAATTTCATTGGTTCGTGTTTTAGCCTTCGGATTTCCCGTAAGACTTTCGATGATTATCAATTCTTGTTTTTTCGTACTATTGAAAAACTTAACAATTAAAATGAAAAATTTTCTCTTCCTTTAATTTTTTTCAGTTTTTTTTTTTTGCTTTTGAAATACTATGCGTCTCTGGCTTTAGGAGAAATAGTAGTGACGAAATAGTATTTTCTCAGTATGATGTACCTAATGATTTCCACTATGGTTAAAGCCAATTTCATCGAAATATAAATGTCATCAGAAAATTAAATGTTTAAGTTTGGCTATAATTAGTTACGCAGATACTATAAACTGTATTTTGTCATTAGAATTTTTATCACAACATATAAAAAAAATCAGTTGATAGTGCTCAGATTTAAACAAAAATACAATTAATTTCCAATAGTTTTGACTTGGAAATAAGAAGAAAAAAAATAGAGGACTAGGACCAGCACATCTACTGAGCACTCTATCCCTGTTCTTAAAAATGTTTTCAAAAGGTATCTACAAACTTGCAGTGCTTAAACTTTAACCAAATATAGACCGTTTTTATAGTCACTGGATTAAGCCTTCACTTTTAAACGTGTCAAATTTGAGAAAGTATTATTGATTTTCCTTTAGCTACTATATTTTTGATCATAAAATGTACATACAATTAATGTCGTAAATTTCATTGGTTCGTGTTTTAGCCTTCGGGTTTCCCAGAAGACTTTCAATGATTATCAATTCTTGTTCTTTCATACTATTGAAAAACTTAACAATTAAAATGAAAAATTTTCTGTTTCTTTAATTTTTTTCTGTTTTCTTTTTGCTTTTGAAATACTATGCGTCTCTGGCTTCAGGAGAAATAGTAGTGACGAAATAGTATTTTCTCAGTATGATGTACCTAATCATTTCCACTATGGTTAAAGCCAATTTCATCGAAATATAAATGTCATCAGAAAAATAAATGGTTAAGTGTGGCTATAATTAGTTACGCAGATACTGTAAACTGTATTTTATCATTGGAATTTTTATCACAACGTATAAAAAAAATCAGTTGGTGGTGCTCAGATTTAAACAAAAAAATAGTTAATTTCTAATAGTTTTGACTTGGAAATACGAAGAAAAAGAAATAGAGGACTAGGACCAGCACATCTACTGAGCACTCTATCCCTGTTCTTAAAAATGTTTTCAAAAGGTATCTACAAACTTGCAGCCCTTAAACTTTAACCAAATATAGACAGTTTTTATAGTCACTGGATTAAGCCTTCACTTTTAAACGTGTCAAATTTGAGAAAGTATTATTGATTTTGCTTTAGCTACTATGTTTTTGATCATGAAATGTACATACAATTAATGTCGTAAATTTCATTGGTTCGTGTTTTAGCCTTCGGGTTTCCGAGAAGAATTTCGAGGATGATCGATTCTTGTTCTTTCATACTATTGGAAAACTTATCAATTGAAATGAAAAATTTTCTGTTTCACTCATTTTTCTAGATATTTTTTTGCTTTTGAAATACTGTGCATCTCTGGCTTTATCATGTAATGATTTTCACTATTACCTATTTGTCTACACATAAAGCCAACTTCACCGAAATATAAATGTCATTAGAGAAATAAATATTTAAGGGCGGCTCTAGTTAGTTACGCAGATACTAAAAATGTATTTTATTAGTGGAGTTTTTATCACAACATATAAAAAACACAATTAATTTCCGATAGTTTTGACTTGAAAATAAGAAGAAAGCGAAATAAGGGGCTAGGACTAGCACATCGACTGAACACTCTATTCCTGTCCTCAAAAATTTCTTTAAAATGTATTTGCAAACCTACAGTTCTTAACAGTGACTAAATATGTATAAACAATTTTTGTAGTCTTTTAAGCATTTGGTTTTCATTTGCCCACTGTATTTTTGATCATGAACAGTACCTACAATATTATATATCTCATAAATTTCAGTGAATCGGGTTTTCAAAAAAACTGGTTAACTGTCGATTCTTGTTCTTTCACTTCTGGAAAAATCCATTAAAATGAAAAATGTTCTGTTTCATTTTTCGCTTATCCGATATCAAGCTTGACGAGGAAGAGTAGTAAAGAACTAATATTTTGTCAGCATGTTGTAATGTTTTTTACGGTCCTTGTGTCTACACATAAAGTAAACTTCACCGAAATGTAAATGTCATCATACAAAAAAAAACTTGTTTAAAGCACTGTGTACACAGGATCTGCAGAACCATTAAAAGACCTTTAGCTCTTGGTATTACATAACGCTCTCTGCCTCCGAAGAATTAAGGCGTTGTCCCAAGCGAATTGGTGTAATTTTGTGCCGATTCGGAGCGGGTCCGCCGCCCCTTCGTGTGCCATAAATCATGTCACATTATGCTCAAACGGAAAAAAGCTTTTGTTCATTGAACCTTTCAGGTCAAATTAATTCCCCGTCTTGCTAAAATAATTAACAAACACGACGAGCATTATTTCGAAACGGCCGGAGCATAAATTCTGGTGGAAATTCGACGATTTCACAAAATCACGTATAAAACGCGAAGCTGCTGCCTCGGATGGGCCGTTTGCGTGTGGGTATTAGGGCCGATTTTCCCTCTTCGGTGGGTCGTCCAGAAGGTGGTGCTAGACCCTGGAGTTACAGTATCATATTATCGACCTGCGCCAAGAGTAGACGCATTTAGTCTCCAACTAGACTGATACGTTTAGAATTGAGATACATTTACCAAAATGGCTACCTGCCCCCCCAAAAGTAAATTTATTACCATTTCAACTACTTATTTAACGTCTTAGTTCCCTTCAGGCCAGTTCTCAATCAGCGCCCTCAACTTTATCGAAGTAATTTACCTCCAGCTTTTTCGCAATGACTAAAGTAAATTATCATCCTTTTTGATCGCGTTCCGGAGAAATTAAAAATTGATTTAAAACTCCGAATCCACTTACTCGCTCCACGTCGATTTAACCAAAGTGAGAAGTACTCACAGTCCACACGAACTCACCTCAGACAATATCGACGACTTAGATCATTTTTTTTTATTTCAGGTCGATTTCGGCGAAGTTTTCATCCCTCCAAACTTAGAAGTACCAAAACCCAGAGTTCTTCCTGAATTCAAGCGGCTAGCGCACGGCCTTCGCTCAGACAATATTAGCATTTTAGATGCCAAAACCTTTTACATACCCAATTTACACTACGACGGAGCCGGTCCCGATGCATATTTCTGGGTGGGCAACGGAAGCGAACCCTCAGCTTTTGGGATCAAGGTTCCTAACGAAATGGGATCTTTGGATCCTCTGCGCGGGTACCAAGGGGAGGATATCGAGATCCAGCTTCCCGGGTCTCTGACGGTCTACGACATCGACTGGTTGGCCGTCTGGTGCGTCCAGTACAGGCACAATTTCGGGCATGTCCTCATCCCGAAGGACCTGGACGTGCCGCCAGCGCTCGGCCAAACCAAAATTTCCGTAAGTTGAATGTGACGAGAGTTTACACCACATGCGAATTCTGTGTCCTGCTGTCAGACGAAATATCACTAAAAACTGTTTTATGTGTTATGTGGGTACTAGTGATAGCTTCCATGTAAATACGAAACAGTTAAAAAATTAAAAATTTAGTCTTGGTAGAATTTTAGTTACTAATACTGATAATTGAGGTCTTTTTAATTCCCTTTATTATTTTGTTTCATAAAATCATCTAAATATGATTTTACCCTTACAGCCCCCGTGGTGGTACAACCCTGTAAGTACAGTAGTTTTTGTCAATTTTTGTTTCGTTTTGTCCTGTCTGTTGTCCTGACACATACTTTTTCGTACTCATATCGTAGGTAAATAAGCTCATAACAAAGTAGGCTAGAAATTAAACACACTTAAATTATAATCTTCGAAACTACTGGACCGATTGTTGTTAAATTTACAATTTGTTTTTAAGACTAATTTTTAATTATATTTTCTTTGAAAAAACTGTAAACTAAAAACCCATAAAACGTTTCTCCAAACCGCGCAAATAAACAAACAAGCACAACTACTATAACTGTATTTTCAGTCTACTTTGCCTGAGTTTAGTACACAAATCTTGCATCCTTCATCTTAATTAGTTTTTCTTTTCTCTTTATATAGACGAGCACCTCAAAGCCGACGAGTCCTGCTACGAACTGTCGAGAGTTCTTAGACAAACGTTTACAAGTGCGATGGGAGCTGAAAGGAGATCAAGTAGAAATAACGCTGGCTGCCAAAATCCGTGAAGATCAATACGTTGCGTTTGGACTGTCGGGTGCCCCCGATAATTCACAAATGGTAATTAAATTTACAGGCAAAATAAACCAGAACAACGTTATGTTCACCGCACTGTCCCCAATATGTGATTGTAAATCCTACGCCTAATTTATCGCCGCGCCAGTTCTTTTGTCACATGTTTAAACAAAAATGTTTTCTCTTAGTATGAAACTTTTCAGGTCGGCGGCGACGTGACTGTGGCGTTTTACGACACCACCTCTCGAACTTTCAAAGCTGTGGACTACTACATGTCCCACACCGCCCAATGCGATGGCAAGTCTGGCGTATGTCCAGACGAACGAATAGGCGGCAGAAACGACGTCACATTAATATCCGGCGATCGCAAGGACGGAGTAACGATAATCACGTACTCGAGGCCGCTTCAAACCAACGAAGCTGTTAACGACAGATCTATACCATCTCAAGGTGAAGTCAGCGTAATCGCAGCTTTTGGACCGCTTAATTCCAGAAAGGAAGCGAACGCTCATTCGATTCGAGATAAAACCAAGGATAATAACAAGATCGATTTCGGCGCGTTTGACGATAACCAGTGCACGGGAAATTTGTACGAGCTGGTGGACGAGGCTGGGCCGAAGCCGTGGCCGCCCGCCAAAATTATAGGTAGGTGTATAAACAGTTCTGGATATTTTCAGGCAAAAGTGAACCATGGAATTTTTTCGTAACGTATTTTGTTTTTGGACGAAATTATAACAATCTTTTATCTTGAAAGAATTTTTAAGAATCTTGGGGGTCCTTAAAGTTTTATTTTTTCAAGAAATTTAAAGAATCTTAGGAGCCTTTGATGTTTTGTTTGAAACAGTTTAGGTTCCTTGGTGTTTAATTTTTGAAAGAAGTTTAAAGAATCTCCGAGACTACTAGTGTTTCATTTTGAAAGAATTTTAAAGAATTTTGGAGGTCCTAAGATCTAAGGGTCTCTATTTTCGGGAGAAGTTGAAAAAATTTTGAGACCCTTTGATGTTCTGTTTCTGAAAGAATTTGATACAATTTTGAAGTCCTTTGGTGTTTTATTTTGGAAGAATATAAAAGTTTTTGGGGTCCTGATGCTTTATATTTTGAAAAATATAAAAAATCTTGGAATCCCTCATGTTTTAACTTTGGAAAATTTGAAAGAATCTTGAAATTCCCTAATGTTTAATTTTTAAAAGAAGCTGGAAAAATCTCGAGGACCACTGGTGTTTTCATTTTAGTAAAGGTTAAAAGATCTTGGAGGCTCCTGCTGTTTTGTTTTTGGAAGAGATTATAACAATCTTGAATGTCCCTGATTTTTGGAAAAAGTTGAAAGAATCTCGAGAATCACCACTGTTTTATTTTGAAAGAAGTTTTAAGAGTCTTGGGGGTCCTTAAAGTTTTATTTTTTCAAGAATTCTAAAGAATCTTGGGAGCCTTTGATGTTTTGTTTGAAACAGTCTAGCTCCCTTTGTGTTTAATTTTTGAAAGATGTTTAAAGAATCTCCGAGAGCAGTGGTGTTTTATTTTGAAAGAATTTTAAAAGATCTTGAAGGTCCTAAAATCTAAAGGTCTCTATTTTTGGAAGAAGTTGAAAAAATTATGAGACCCTTTAATGTTCTGTTTCTAAAAGAATTTGACACAATTTTGACGTCTTTTGGTGTTTTGTTTTGAAAGAATATAAAAGTTTTTGGGGTCCTGATGTTTTATATTTTGAAAAATATAAAAAACTTTGGGGATCCTTCATGTTTTAATTTTGGAAAAATTTGAAAGAATCTTGAAGTTCTCTAGTGTTTAATTTTTAAAAGAAGTTGGAAGAATCTCGAAGACCACTGGTGTTTTAATTTTAAAAGAAATTAAAAGATCTTGCAAGCTCTTGATGTTTTGTTTTTGGAAGAAATTATAAAAATCTTGAATGTCCCTGATGTTTTATTTTTGGAAAAAGTTGAAAGAATCTCGGGGATCACCACTGTTTTATTTTCAAAGAATTTTTAAGAATTTTGGAGGTCTTAAAGTTTTATTTTTTCAAGAAATCTAAAGAATCTTGGAGCCTTTGATGTTTTGTTAGCTAGCTCCCATAGTGTTTAATTTTTGAAAGCAGTTTAAAGAATCTCCGAGACCAATGGTGTTTTATTTTGAAAGAATTTTAAAAGATTTTGAAGGTCCTAAGATCTAAAGGTCTCTATTTTTGGAAGAAGTTGAAAAAATTTTGAGACCCTTTAATGATCTGTTTCTGAAAGAATTTGACACAATTTTGACGTATTTCGGTGTTTTGTTTTGGAAGAATATTTCATTTCTCATTCCTTATGTTTTAATTTTGGAAAAATTTAAAAGAATCTTGATGTTCCCTGGTGTTTAATTTTTAAAATAAGTTAGAACAATTTCGAGGACTACTGGTATTTTAATTTTAGAAGAGGTTAAAACATCTTGGAAGCTCCCGATGTTTTGTTTTTGGAAGAAATTATAACAATCTTGGGTGTCCCTGATGTTTTATTTTTAGAAAAAGTTTAAAGAATCTCGGGATCACCACTGTTTTATTTTGAAAGAATTTGAAAAATCTTGGGAGTCCTTAAACTTATTTTTTCAAGAAATCTACAGAATCTTGGGAACCTTTGATGTTTTGTTTGAAACAATCTAGGTCCCTTAGTGCTTAATTTTTGGAAGAAGTTTAAAGAATCTCCGAGACCAGTGGTGTTTTATTTTCAAAGACTTTTAAAGAATTTTGGAGGTCATAAGACCTAAAGGTCTCAACATTTTATTTTTGGAAGAAGTTGAAAAAATGTTTAGACCCTTTGATGTGCTGTTTCTGAAAGAATTTGATACAATTTTGAGGTCCTTTGGTGTTTTGTTTTGGAAGAATATAAAAGTTTTTGGGGTCCTGATGTTTTATGTTTTGAAAAATATAAAAAATTTTGTGGATCCCTCATGTTTTAATTTTGGAAAATTTGACAGAATCTTGAAATTCCCTAGTGTTTAATTTTTAAAAGAAGTTGGAAAAATCTCGAGGACCACTGGTGTTTTCATTTTAGTAAAGGTTAAAACATCATGGAGACTCCTGCTGTTTTGTTTTTGGAAGAAATTATAACAATCTTGAATGTCCATGGTGTTTTATTTTTGGAAAAAGTTGAAAGAATCTCGAGGATCACCACTGTTTTATTTTGAAAGAATTTTCAAGAATCTTGGGTCTCCTTAAAGTTTTATTTTTTCAAGAATTCTAAAGAATCTTGGGAGCCTTTGATGTTTTGTTTGAAACAGTCTAGGTCCCTTAGTGTTTAATTTTTGGAAGAAGTTTAAAGAATCTCCGAGATCACTGGTGTTTTATTTTGGAAGAACATAAAAGTTTTTGGGATCCTGATATTTTATATTTTAAAAAATATAAAAAATCTTGAAGATTCCTCAGGTTTTAATTTTGGAAAAGTTGAAAGAATCTTGAAGTTCCCTAGTGTTTAATTTTTGAATGAAGTTGAAAGAACCTCGAGGACCACTGGTGTTTTCAATTTAGAAGAAGTTAAAAGATCTTGGAGGCTCGTGATAAGTTGTTTTTGAAAGGAGTTATAACAATCTTGAATGTCTTTGATGTTTTATTTTTGAAAAAAGTTTAAAGAATCTCGGGGATCACCAGCGTTTTATTTTGAAAGAATTTTTAGGGATCTTCGGGATCCTTAAAATTTTATTTTTTCAAAAAATCTAAAGAATCTTGGGAACCTTTGATGTTTTGTTTGAAACAATCTAGGTCCCTTAGTGCTTAATTTTTGGAAGAAGTTTAAAGAATCTCCGAGACCACTAGTGTTCCATTTGATTTATTATATTTTTAAAATATAAAAAATCTTGAGGATCCCTCATATTTTAATTTTGGAAAAAGTTGAAAGAATCTTGAAGTTCCCTAGTGTTTAATTTTTGAAAGAAGTTGGAAGAATCTGAAAGACTACTGGTGTTTTAATTTTAGAAGAAGTTAAAAGATATTGGAGGCTCCTGATACCATTGTTTTATTTTGAAAGAATTTTTAAGAATCTTGGGGGTTCTTAAAATTTTATTTTTTCAAGAAATCTAAAGAGTCTTGGGAGCCTTTGATGTTTTGTTTGAAACAGTCTAGGCCCTTAGTGCTTAATTTTTGTAAGAAGTTTAAAGAATCTCCGAGACCACTGATGTTTTATTTTGAAAGAATTTTGGAGGTCCTTTTGGAAAAAGTTAAAAAAAATTTAAGGCCCTTTGATGTTCTGTTTCTGAAAGAATTTGAAACAATCTTGAGGTCACTTGGTGTTTTATTTTGGAAGAATATAAAAGTTTTTATGGCCTCCTGATGGAATCTCGAGGAGCACTGATGTTATTACTTTTGGAAAAGTTTGAAAGTTCTTGCAGCCCCCTGGTGTTTCATTTTTAGAAGTGTTTGAAAGAATTTCAAGGACCACTGGTGTTTTATTTTGAAAGAATTTCAGAGATTCTTGGGGGTTCTTAATCCTTTATTTTTGGAAAATGTCAAAGAATGTTGGGGTCTCTAGTGTTTAATTTTTTGAAGAAATTGAAATAATCTCCGGATCCACTGGTGTTTTATTTTGATAAAAATTGAAAAAAAAGAGATCACTTTGTGTTTTATTTTGGAAAAATAGGAAAGAATCATGGAGACCTTTGGTGTTTTATGTTTAGAAGAACTTGAAAGGATTTTAGCTGTCTGTGGAGTTTTATTTTAGGAAGAAATAATCTTGGGGGCTCTGGTGTGTTATTTTTGGTAGAAGTTGTACCCACAAAAAATAGTGGCGTTTTAAAAAAATGCTAAAAAATGGGGTGTTGTTTAATTGTTAAACATAGCAAAAGAATCAATTTTAAAATCATTATAACTCCACCAAAATGTGAGAAGGATTTTTATACTATTTTCTCAGACTCACCAGTTGATCGTTAAGAACGTAGCGGAGAGTTAATCCATTTTCCAGACACCCGGTACATTATATAAATTTCGACCCATTTTCGACGATTTTCGAAATTTAACTAAATACATTTTTTGTAGATTTCGCGCCATAGAAGTCACTTCCGGCTTCATTTCGATCACTCCAACCGTTTTTCCAGAATCATCCATTGAAATATGGCAATTTTTAAAAATTTCAAAAAATTCCATTTTCACACCCAATTTTTCGAAAATATTGTTCCGTGACCCTTAAACACGCTATATTTTTAGAATTAGTACATCAAGATCTATAACTGTGAATTTTTTGACGACTCTTTCAATAACGATACAATCTAATATAACCAAACTAATTAGATTTTTATTAAAGAGTAACTTTCGCAGTTATATAACGGTAAACCTCGATTTCGGCTCGATTTCAATTTTCATTTTTTGTAGATTCTGACCACAGGAAGTTACTGTGTGGCTAATTTCTTCAAAAACTCCAAGGATTCGCTCAAAATTTCTCCACAATTTTTAATATAATTTTTAAAATTTTTGAAAAAAATTGACTCTCAAAGCAAATATTTCTAAAATCTTGCTCCTGAAGCATTAAATCTCCATATTTTTCGATTCAGTACATCGAGAGTTATATCCTAAAATTTTTTATGAATTTTTAGACAACTGTTTCAAAATTTGGACCTTTTTTCGATCACATTCAAAAATTACCTAGACATTTTTTGGAAATTCCGACCTCAAGAAGTTACTTTTGGCCTCATTTCTTCAGAAATGCATACCATTTGTTCAATATCTCCAAATGCTAATGCATTAGTTTTACGATTTTTGAAAAAAAAACTGTAATATCCCAAAATTTTGTGTGAATTTTTGGGCAACTTTTTCAAAAGCTCAATTTTTTAAAATTTTATCTTATGGTAATTTGGACCTTTTTTCGACCACATTCAAAAATTGCATAAAGAGATGTTTTGTAGATTTCGACTTCTAGAAGTTACTTTGAGCCCCATTTCTACAAAAACTCCTACAATTTATTAAAAAACTCCAAATGCATTAGGGTAATTTTGAACATTTTTGAAAAAAAAATATTTTTAAACCAAATATTATTAAAATCTTGCTCCTGGACCTTTAACAAACTATATTTTTCGAATTAGTACGTCGAGATTTTTTGTGAATTTTTAGATAACTTGTTCAAAAGCTCATTTCTCCAATATTCCCCCTTAAAAAAATTTGGACCTTTTTTCCATCACATTCAAAAATTTCCTAGTTTTTTTTTTTAATTTCGACTTCCAGAAGTAACTCTCGGCCCCATTTGTTCAAAAATACGCACCATTAGCCTAATTTTTACGATTTTTGAGAAAAATTGACTTCGAAACTAAATATTTCTAAAGTTTTACTCCTGGACCATTAACACACTATTTTTGTTTTGATTTGTTTTAAAAGCGATAACTTTAACTGACAAGTTATAAACGACATTATGACAAGTGAGAACTGTCATAATGTAGCGAGGCAGGATTTTTTAAATCCGTTGCCACCTACGCCCTTGGAATCATTTATAAAAGCCCTGTATATAAGGTGTTTTTCAAGTGGAACACCTCTATTTTTTTAGAGAGCATGTCATTTGTTAATATGAGATCTGCCAAAATCAGTAGTATCTTAGCAAGTACTAACCCCATCCACCCGCCCTCTTCTCATTCTAACGACAAATTTTATTTCGGTACAGTATAAGTTTCACCTTTCATTCAGAGCAGATAAAATTAATCACTAAAATAGAGGCGGGTGGGTGGGCGGGGTTAATTATTTTTTCTTCTGTATAGTGGGATTGGGAATTAAAAGAACCTACGCTGAAAAAAAGTAACAAAAAAGTTCTAATCGTAACTTCTTTTGTTGTACTATTTGCTATAAGATTTATTTCTTATTTCAGGAGAAAAACAATGAAAGACTGGGTGGGTGGGCGGGGCTAATTTTGACTTTTTCCTAGAGAATCTTTTATAGGAAAGCAATAAAAAAAATTTTAAAAAAATCTGGGATATACGAAAATTTTACATTTTTTTGGACCACAGCCAAAAATTACCTAAAACGTTTTTTTTTTATTTCGACCTCGAGAAGTTAGTTTAGACCTCATTTCTTCAAAAACTTCTACAATTTGTTCAAAAACTCCGAATAAATTACGAGTAATTCTTAAGATTTTTGAAAAAAAATTACTACAAAACCAAATATTTCTAAAGTTTTACTCCTGAACCAGTACCACATTATTTTTTCGGATCAGTGCTTACTCAAATGTGAATTTTAAATTTGACTATATTGACTATGTTTATTCAAAACTGAAATAATAGTAACTATTTACTTTAGTGCTTTGATTGGAACTTATTGAAAAGGAAAATACAAATTATATTCTAGATTTACATGGTCTACCTTTATCTTAAAACCTCCTGACCGATATGTACAAACCCGTATGGGAAAAACCAACTCGAGTGTCGACAAGCCCGCATCTTTCTAAATTCCCACACCAACGTATCAGTTGTTTTACAATTATGTATCAAAGTTACGCTACTAAAAAATATGTCGTCGACGATTTGGTTTGAAAAAAAAATTTTCTAATCACCGATTTTCAATCCAATTCAGGTGAGAACACCTTCACGGCAAAAATCGGGCCGACCGGCGGCAAACGAGGCTACACCGCCCTCACCAAACACCCTTCTTGGGGAATCGCCTGGTACATCAACGATCTCCTCATTCCCGAAATAACGGTGGAAAGGGGGCAGAGTTATACCTTCATTGTTGAAGGAGGCAGTGACAACAGCAATCCTGCCAGGTACCATCCTTTCTATATCACGGATTCCTCTGAAGGAGGGTTTGGGCAGAAAACTGAAGAACAGCAAAAGGAGCAGAAGGTCTTTGCTGGGGTCGAGTACGATCGGGATCATTATCCCTATCCTACAGCCTACGGGCGGTACTGTGAATGGGCTCACAAGAACGTCGACAAGGCTCTGGAGTCGGAAACGTTCGAAGAGTACATGAAGACGTTGAGGTTGGAGTGTGATCAAGGTGAACCGGGAGTTCTCAACTGGACGGTGCCCATGGAGGCACCGGATTTGCTCTATTATCAGGTAAGATGTGGACGTTCGTACCACAATTACAAACATAAAATTAAACTTTTATGATTATTTATTTTCGGAAGTATTTAATCCATATTACGAGACAAATTGGTGGATGCGCCAGGATAATAAACAATTTTAAAAATATTAATTTTTTCCTCAGAAAAGGTCGCTTCACTACGATTTACTTGCCTCTTTAAAAACATGTAGTGTTATTGTTCTGATTACGTTTTCTTTGCAGTGTTATACGCACAACAATTTAGGATGGAAAATCCACGTAGTCAATCCAGGAGCGTTGCCGAGCAATGGCGAGGCACCTTCTAGAAGCGTATCAATCATCGCAGTTGCAGCCATATGTCTTTTGACGGTTTCAGCCCTCACAATACATACACGTGGCCGTATTTTCTAACGTTTTAATGAGAAACCTGACAATAATTTTATATGATATTGACTGATGATTTCTGTGACGAGACAATAACTTTATCTCTCTAAAGCGTCCATATCAGCTAAAAATAACGCTCTTTTGTGGTACAATTTTTCATATCTGTCGATGTGTCACGAGGTTCCTCGCAACATTTCAACCCGAAATCGAAATAGTCCAGCTAATTCTTACATCGCACATATCGAGCCCATATCGTTTTACGTTTGGAGGCATCAGGCATCCACGACAAGAGGAACCAAGAAAATTATCGTGCAAACATATCAAAGACTTTGTAGAGAGAGTTTGGTTGAAAGTAGGTTAGCGACGTTGAATTGGTTGAATTATGAGTAGAGTTTTTTGTGTTTTTGTTTCGTAGTAGAAAAAAGTAGAAGTCTTGAGATGTTAATTATTAGAAACGTAGATACGTAGAAAAGTCTTAACTTTATCAATCGGCCTGAGTGTCATCACAGGCTGGTTATAAACAATGCATATTTCGTGTCTGATGCCGCTCCTCGCCAAAATATCAGTTTGTTTCCGGAAGAGCTCAACTGAAACCGTTCCGAGGAACCTCGCTTATTGTGACTTTAATTTCAATTTATTAAAGTCAATTTAGTACTATACCTAAAATATACAAAGTAAGTGACAATAATGATATACCTAAGCTAAGAATATGATGTGCACAAAATTGACAATAATTTCTGAATATTTGTAATATATATAGTGAGCTAATTCTAAGGCTGTTTTCGCTGACAATAACAGTTATTTTGTAACATTTATTAACATTTTAAATTGATGGTGTTCACGATAGGTATCACACATATCCATATACGATTTACGACAATAATAGTGTCTGTCTGTATTTCATTGATGTTCACACGATCAAACAGTTTAGGACAAGACAATAAAAAGATGGAACTAAAAGCGTCAATTACTTAAGATAATGTTGCAACAATACAGTTGATGCTACTAAAACGTCGTTGTGTTTTATTTATTTATGCAACTTGGCTTCATTGCATGATGTTGGAGTGAACCGACAATAATGTTATTAAATTGTAAATAATCGTCTATTCGATTTGAAATTTGACCGTGTGATCTGTACTTATATAAAATATTTAGGATACTCTGTATCGAATGTTGATTTTTATTTTATTTCATATTTATAGTTGTTATAAATTTTTATATTTTAAACAAGATGTAGTGTTATATTAGAGTAGCGAAACGTTTATATACTGCGCATTTAGGTGTTTTAAATGGTACTTTCAGTGTTTTATATTAAATTATTCTCATTATGGTGTAGTTCGACTTTTTTAAATGCATCTCATTATACTTAATCTGCTTGCATCGTGGTGGTGCGAGCGGGCGTTAGTCCTTAAGTAATTTATGCAATTTAAAAGAATTCGTTTATTCGAGTGCCTTTTGTAATATATATTTTTCACTTTGTAAAACAATAGTTTATTTGGACTACGGTATTTAAATTTCTCATTGACTCCATATTTAGGTCGTCCTGTAAATGTATGCTAGTTATCGAATTTTATTTAATAAATTTACTGTGAAAGGTCTTGTTTATTTCGACGAAAAACCCCGACAACAATAGAAAAAACACAAAAACATTGTTTTTATATGTTGATTTATTTTAAATTAAAACCATTCAATATGTTTCTGATGAAAAAAAAAAACACAGAAACAATGATGTAGGATGTACTCCTATATATTATGAATTTTAGGAATTTAATTGTTGCAAACATATGAAATGTGTGAATATTTGAAAGTTGGCAACCAGTAATACACTACAATAAATATATAGCTATTCGGTTAATTAACAACTCACCTAAAAGAAATTCATTTCTAGGCTTTATTGTAAGTTAACACTTCGTACGAATTAACAACAATTTCTTTATCCTCATGGGCAAAACATAACTGCGCATTTTCTGCTTCATATCCCAATACAGAACCAACAATAATTTCTCCTTGATACGCAACCCTTCCAATATTTATTATTTTGTCATCTTTACAACCTCCAAAAACTAACTGTTTTCCAATCATCGCTGAATGTAACGATTTTCGATCAGTTTGTGTCCAAGTAAAATAATTCAGATTTCTACTACACAAAATCTAAAATCATCCACTTAATATCAATGGAGCTAATTTTCCAAAACCTACCTTCACACCAACTTTTGCAGACTTAACGTAACCATAACACGCCATATTTATATCAGGTTTCCCTGGATAAACTGATCCTATCAAAAGTCCAGCTTTGTAATAATGGGCCTGACCTATGTATGTTGTTTTATTGCTAACATCGCGGCCACCGGGAACAGCATCGGGAGGTATTATACCCACATAGTCCCTCCAATAATAATCTAAAATGCAACACGAAAAAAATTCAGTTGATCAAAAATCGTTATCAAAATGCAGTAGGAAATACTGCGTTCAGTTACGTTTATGTGTTAGGTCTGATTACTACCTACGCTTAAAGCGCATAATATACTTAAACAATCGTTAAGACGTCTTACACATTTACCTAATACAGCAGCTGTGCTTGGGCCGCTCATCTCATATTCTTCGCATCAACTCTACCCAACACACGACACTCACAACTGATAAGTGATAATGATAATACTTTGATAAACAGATAATAGTTGCCCACCGCGCAAACAATGTATTAAATTTATTGACAGACTCTATGCTAATTTTACAAATTTGGATTTTAAAAGGCAGCGTGCAACCAGCATTTTCTTGTAGTTCAACAAGTTGTATAAAAAAAACTCCAGTTAATACCATGTTCATTTTTATCATACAAAATCCCCTAATCCCCCAAAGTATTTCTGATTAATTTTATCATATGACAGACATCAAGCATGACAAAAATGCAATCCCTAGTTGTAGGATGCAAAAAATCTGTAACCAGATTATCAGCACAAGCAAAATTAACTCCTAAAATTCTTGCAATGGAAAGATTAACTGCCGCACCATCGAAAATTAAAGATGTTACTGTCACTCCAATATTATTTAGCATTATTAGACATCCTTTCACCAAATTTGCTTTCTCTTCTGCGTTTAAACTGCAGGTAAGCAAAGAAAAATGTTGTTGCCTCGGTGGGAATCGAACCCCACGCCTCTCGCTTTCCGGGCAAGTCTTCTTTTCTACATTCTTTTACCTTAATTTCAATGGCACGAAGTGACTTCCTAATGTACCTTGGAATGTGGAAGGCATTTTGCAAATGTTTTGTGAACATTGTCATAGGTCGAACTTGGATAAAAATTTAACGTTGAAGCGAGTATTCGCAGTTCTTCCGGATATTCCGTTGCCCTCGAATTTCTCATATTTCTAACTACAGTTCGTTATTCGTAACACAACAGCTAGTAAAAGAAATCTCCCGTATTCTGAAATAAATATAAATTCTGATGTTGCCAAAAGATATAAATTAATCAAAAAAAAAGCAAAAGAAAAGGAAGAACTGAACTATAGGTACTCCTATAGTCGTTTCCAAAAAGTTTCGGGCAAGATGAGCAAATCAGGTTCTCATAGATCAATGAAAAGCAATGGGAATATGAGTTTCATATCAATGTCATTTGCCGGATTTTTTTTTGGAAACGGCGGTATGTAAGTTTGCATGCAAATATACTTACTACTTTGTAACAGATAATTTTATGAATGAAAAAATTTACCACTGAATAAAAGTTTCAACATATTAATAAAAGCTTTTACATTCTAAATTTATATAAATTTGACATTATAAAAACCAGCTGTGTTCATATAAACTTAAAAAAAACTTAATTATAATTTAGCCACTACTAGGAAAATTAGAAAAGTTGCTTTGATTTCTCCAAACAGCTAGTGAATTGTGTCAAATTTATTTCTTCATTATGCTAGCAATTGAAATCTGTTCCCTAATTTACTTAAAAAAAAATTGTATGTAATGGGCATGCACCCAACAACCAAACCTGTAAAACGGAGTAACAATTGTCAGAAATTCGCTTGGAATCTTGCAGATGGTGAATGACGTCTTCAAGGGATTTTATTCTGTTTTAAAGTTTGTTGACTAACAGGTGATCGGCCAGACATTAACCCATGCGACGTAACATTTTCAGCCTCTTCTACATTCAGTTCTGTAGCTGAAGGTGTCGAAGGACAATCATCAAGCACTACCATTTGTAAATCTTTACATTCTTACTTTATAATGTGTCTTCGTTTTCGCAGTTTATGTTTCCTTAAATTCGGAGGAAAATTAAAAATTGAGGGAACACAGTCTTTAATAAGTGATAACTTTCCAAAATTGTATTCAAAATCTGATTTTTTCAAATGGTTGCTACATAATTTTGAGCGTGTCGTGGGCACAAATTTATCTCGTTTCGTAGCAAGAATCCATTGGTCCCTTAAATTTTCATCTTTTGGAATCTTTTGAAAAACTGAAAAAATATTTTTCATTTAAAAATCTGGTTGGACTTGGATCACTTTTGTATACTCACGAATGAAGTGAAATCCCACTTCCTTTTTTGTACCTTTGGATACAATTGTACGCACAACAGGAATGGACCATGTCTTTCATTTTATATTTTAATTACTTAGTCAATGAATTTATTAACATAAATTTACTTACTTAACAACACTAAATTTTTAATAAACACGGTAAAAATCGCTATAAAAACAATGCCGCAGATAATCTTTTGCTGCACAACAGCTGATCGACTATATATTTCTCGCTTTAGGTCCCGTCACCGTGATATTCTTTTCTAATCTTCGTTCAATACGTAGTATTATTATGTCAATGGTGCCATGGTAGATAGCAGTGCTAGTTGAAACATGTGAAAAATCAATCGCATTCGACACTACAGTCCGCCTTAACGAGAGTAACTAGTGAAATAACAGTTTGTTAATAATGATTTTCTAAACAGAAATGTTTAAAATATTGACTCCTCAATAAAGGCGTGTAATTTTTGTTTCTTTGTTTGTAAATTCACCGTTCATGTTAAGTTTCTAAATGATCGTCGTACCAGTAAAATTTAAAAACGGACATGAAAAGTGTTCATATAAAAAAAAAACAAGTGGCTCATTATTCAGGATGTTTTTAGTCATGACATTTATTATCTTTTGAGGATTTTTAGACAACTTTTTCACAAAAAGTAAAATCTTCCACTATGTATGAAAATTTCGACCCATTTTCGATGATTTTCAAATATTTGAAATCTACAAGAAAATGTAATTAGCTATATAGCTAAATATATATTTTCTTGTAGATTTCGAGCCGCAGAAATCACTTCCGACCTCATTTCTTCGATAATTCCAACCGTTTTGCCAGAATCGCCCAATAAATATTGCAATTTTTAAAAATTTTAAAAATTCGAATTTCACCCCGAATATTTCAAGACTATTGTTCCGTGACCCTAAACACGCTGTATATTTAGAATCAACACGTCAAGATTTATAACCCTGAATGTTTTGAGAATTTTTAGCTAACTTTTTCAAAAATGAAATTTTCCCATTTTCGACGATTTTCGAAATTTTACTGAACACATTTTCTTGTAGATTTCAGCCACTTCCGGTCTCATTTTTTCGATAACTCTAACCGTTTTCCGGAATCCCACGCTGAAATTTCGCAATTTTTAAATAAGTATTTCAAAAAATTCGAAAATCACTCAGAATATTTCGAAAATATTACTGCGTGACCCTAAGCACGTTATATTTTTGGCATCAGCACGTCAAGATATATGTATATCTCTTCATTTTTTGAAAATTCTCAGACGACTTTTTCAAAAATGAAATTTTCCAAATTAAATTGATGAAATTGACTATGCTTATTATAATACACAACAATAATAACAATTAATATTATTTTTAAAAATTGTTTAGTTCAGTGCTTTGAATCGTACTTATTTGAATGGAAAATATAAAGTGTGAAATTTTATTTGTCATTAGGGATCTTTCCATGTACGAAATTGGTTGCCAACCGAATTACTAGACTTACATGGCCTACTTTATCTAAAAACATTCTGAACGATATATTCAATAATTCACACACCAAGGTATCAGCTGTTTCACAATTATGTATCAAAAGTTATTCTCATTATGGTGTACTTATACTTTTTTAAATCCATCTAATTATACTGTTACATTGATGGGTGCTAAAATATCGGTGTGGGTAAAACTCAACCCATACGTTCCTCTGGATGGCGGGCGAACGCCGCTTCGAGGTTTTTCTGGACCCCGCAATCGAGACTTCCGTTAACCCGCTTCAGACTTCTCTTTATGCGAACGCCGTCCGGTCGCCGTCACCGATGATGAGTCACCCATCATCTCCGCACATAGTAGAAAACCCATAGGCGTCGTACCAGGGCGGCGTATGGGTTTATTTCGTAACAATACTTAATTTGCTTGCATAGTGGTGGTGGGAGAGGGCGTTTGTCCTTAAGTAATTTATGCAATTTAAAAGAGTTCGTTTATTCGAGTGCCTTTTGTAATATATATTTTTCACTTTGTAAAACAATAGTTTATTTGGACTACGGTATTTAAATTTCTCATTGACTCTATATTTCGGTCGTCCTGTAAATGTATGCTAGTTTATCGAATTTTATTTAATAAATTTACTGTGAAAGGTCTTGTTTATTTCGACGAAAAACCCCGAACACAACAATGGAAAAATCACAAAAACATTGTTTTTATACGTTGATTTATTTTAAATTAAAACCATTCAATATGTTTCTGATGAAAAAAAAAAACACAGAAACAATGATGTAGGATGTACTCCTATATATTATGAATTTTAGGAATTTAATTGTTGCAAACATATGAAATGTGTGAATATTTGAAAGTTGGCAACCAGTAATACACTACAATAAATATACAGTACTTGGTAAGATAAGACTGATTTTGCCAAATGACATACCTTCTAAAAAAGAGAGGGTGGGTGGGCGGGGCTAGTACTTGCTAACATAAGTCTTATTTTAGCAAATAATAATAATAATAATAATAAATTTATTGAGTACCATATATAAAAAAAAAATACAAGTAAACAAAAATAAATAAATAATGCATAATACTCAAAAGGGGAAAAATGACATATTGTCTGAGAAATCAGTTTTATATCATTGAATACTAGCCCCGCCCACCCGCCCCCTGTTTTCTCAGAGGATTGTGATTTGCCAAAACCAGTCTTATTTTACCAAGAACAAATCCCGCCCATCCTCTCCCTATTTTCATTTGCTAAAATAAGACTTACTTAGCAAGTGCTAGCCCCGCCCACCCACCCTTTACTGTCTTAGAAGATATGTTATTTGCCAAAATCAGTCACACCTTAACAATTACTAGCCCCACCCACCCTCCCACTATTTTCTCAGAGGATATGTAATTTGCCAAAATAAGACTTATGTTAACAAGTACTAGCTCCGCCCACCCACCCTTTACTTTCTTACAAGGTATGTCATTTGCAAAAATCACTCTTATCTTACCAAGTACAAGCCCCGCCCACCCTCCCCCTATTTTCTCAGAGGATATGTCATTTGAAAAAATAAGACTTATGTTAGCAAGAACTAGCCCCGCCTCACTCGCCCTTTATTACTTGCTAGGATAAGTCTTATTTTGGCAATTGACATATCCTGTGGGAAAATAGGAGCGGGTGGGCGGGGCTAGTACTTGCTCAGATAAGAGTGATTTTGGCAAACACCATAACTTTTGAAAAAATAGAGGGCGTGTGGGCGGGGCTAGTACTTGCTAACATAAGTGTTATTTTGGCAAATTCCATATCTTCTGAGAAAATAGAGGGCGGGTGGGCGGGGCTAGAACTTACAAAGGTAAAACTTATTTTGGCAAATGACATAAACTCTGAGAAAGTACGCCGCGGGTGGGCGGGGCTAGCACTTGCTAAGATAAGACTGACTTTGCCTCTATTCAACTTGTAAAAACTTATTAAATTTAAAAGGTGTTAAATTGCATTTTTCCATAGGAACGAGTTAAATTCCTAAATTTGGTTGGATATTTATTTTTTAACAACCCAGTCATTAATTTTTCAGAGATACCCTGTATAAGCAAATTTAAAAAATATTAATTATATATTAAAAATAAATCACAAGTATCGTATTCATCATATTTTGCACATTTAAGATAGGATATATTCAGCAATATTTTGAGATGACGTCATTAATTTTTTGGAGACGATAAGCAATTATATTTTGATTAACAATATATTATGCTTACCATAAATTTAAAACATCTGCAAGATTTCAAAAAAATTTCCGAAAAATCTAAAAAACTGAATAAATAAAAAAAAAACCTAAGAAATCTAAGAAAATCGAATATAAAAATGAATGACCCACAGACACTAAACACGAACAGTCTTTAAACTCACATTTTTAAATAACAACAAATTTGTTCTTAATAATTTAGCTTCATATGGACAACAATCGCATTTTAAATTTCTTTCTTCAGCTTTATTCTGTTAGAAGTGTGCAGGAAAGGGCATCAGCGAAATGGTGTGGTTATCTGAAGGGTAAGGGACAGCAGTAAAAAAAATTTTCATATAATTTGAAGGGTTAATCCTATTAACAATTTTATTTAACAATTAACAAAATTGCAGAAATAACCTGTGTTTGTAAACACTAAGAAGAGGTCAATCAAAATATGTCAAAATATATAGCGTGTTTCACTAAAAAAAATAATAAATCTACTTCTTGGCGCCTTTTTTCCTCTTTTTTCTAATTGCGTGTAATTTAATTTAATGTTAAAAAAATACGTTTGGAGTTGATTATGCATCGCTGAACTCAGTCCTAATTCGAATGTCAATATAATATGACAACGTCGAACCCAATATACGCTCAATGATGCACAGACTTCCCCCAGTGTAATGAATATATGACCTATTAAACTTCGTTGTATCGTGGAACTAAATAAACTTCGAACAGTAATTCTGAGTTGCTTTTTAAGTTAATTACGAAGTTTAAGACTTTTTTAGCTTAATTTTCCGGACGATATTCATAATTTATTTACGAAGGTTTTAAATATATTCTTAAATTTTCGTGTCTCTCGTTTTTCTGATGAAATATTTACTAGTTTCATTTTTCCAGTGTACACTTTCTGCTTGTGGCCAATTTATCCAAAGACAGCTTAAGCATGGGAGGTTTTATCGAATGTCATTTACTATCTGCTCACATGCCACCTGTTGATTTATGTTGGCAACACAGCGGAGATCCCTATGTGGTAACTAAAAATCCGAACTTAAACCCAACAGTTTTGTCAATTGACGTAAGCACACAAAATCAAATATAACAAAGTTATATCTTCACAAACTAGATCAGAGTAATTTCAAAATGAGTCTATTTGTGCATTGTAATTGAGACTTGTGTTCTTGTGTCATAATTAAAACAAGATGTACACGTTTTTTTTTACTATAGTCAATTTCGTCACTTTTGTAAAGTAAAAATTCCCGAACGGAGCGCTCCGTACCGATGGTGGCAGGCGCTATAGCCACTCGGTTAATTAAAAACTCACATAAAAGAAATTAATTTCTAGGCTTTATTGTAAGTTAACACTTCGTACGAATTAACAACAATTTCTTTATCCTCATGGGCAAAACATAACTGCGCATTTTCTGCTTCATATCCCAATACAGAACCAACAATAATTTCTCCTTGATACGCAACCCTTCCAATATTTATTATTTTGTCACCTTTACAACCTCCAAAAACTAGCTGTTTTCCAATCATCGCTGAATGTAACGATTTTCGATCAGTTTTTGTCCAAGTAAAACAATTCAGATTTCTACTACACAAAATCTAAAATCATCCACTTAATATCGATGGAGCGAATTTTACAAAACCTACCTTCAGACCCACTTTTACAGAGTAAACGTAAGCATTACATGCCACTTTTATCTTATTTGTCCCTGGATAAACTGATCCTATCAAAAGTCCAACGTCATCCTCATAGTCATAATCATAATAAAGACCCTGACCTATGTAAGTTGTTGTGTTGCGAATATCACAACCCCCCGGAATAGCATCTGGGGGTATTACACCCACATAGTCCCTCCAATAATAGTCTAAAATACAACAGGAAAAAAATTAAATAAAATGCAGTCGTCGGTGTAGTTTTGATTTAAACAAACACGTTGCGTTCAGTTGCGTTTATTTTTAGAGTGCAATTATTTATTACCTCGCTTAAAAAGCAAACAGACTACACAATACAAACGTTTTATCAACGCAGAGTCTTCAAAATTTACCTAACACAGCAGATTGTGTGCTGTAACGTGGCCCTACGTAGCCCTTATAAGCTGCGTTGCTCATATTCTTCGTGTAACACGTATCAACTCCACCCAACACAAGACACTCAACTGATAAACAGATAATAGTTATTTTATATTATATTAGTTAATTATATTTACATTGTGATTCAGGGGAATTTACAGACGAAGTTTTAATTTTGAAACACGACACGAAACGGAGTACTTTAATAAGAAAATCGCATGCAAACAAATTCTAATTTGTTCTCAACTTAGCACTTCTTTTAATCAACAGTAACAAAACTAACGAGTTGAAATTCATCGATCAGCTGCAATACTGTTATTATGATAGAGGGATTTAAATTGTCTCGTTAATGCTTTCAAATTTGTTGTTTTTTAAAGTTGTAGCCTCGTAACGCTCGCAACACAACGTAACTGAGGTGAGCTCGATCGCCTTGGTCAGAGGCATCGATCCCAAACCGTAATCAATGATTTCTATACTCTTCTCTATTCTCTAGAGATTGTCACTTGTGGTGAATCATTCTGTATATGTGTACGACAAAACACGTTTAGATAGGCAACACCTACAACACCAGTGTAATATGAGTTGCATACCATAACTTGCAATTTGTAAACTAGACAGAAGTTTTTTTTTACATAAAATGTGAAGTTACTGGTAAACGTATAATTAACAAAGCGATGTTGTTATTAATAACATAACTGTTGCAAAAACCACCAGCGCCAGTCACGCCGTCGCCGTCATCTGTCAAAACCCTCCCCATTCCCCATTTCCGGCCGCCATTTTGCAGGTGCGTTGTGGAAGATTTTGACGTTTCCACAAAATCCGCTTATTTCTTCATTAAAACAATTTAAATGTGAATTAAGTGAATAAAAAAAGTGATTCAAAATGGCACGTTACGGTCAGAGACCCGAAAACGCTCTAAAAAGAGCCAACGGTACGTAAACCCACCAACACATATGTCGTGGAATGAACCACATGTCCCAATTATTTATATAACAATGATCCATGAATTGCGTCTCTTCCAGAATTTATCGAAGTTGGAAAACCAGCACGAGCGTTAGACACCTTACAAGAGGTTTTCCGAAACAAAAAATGGGCCTACAACTGGTCCGAGTCCGTTCTCGAACCCATCATGTTCAAATATCTAGATCTGTGCGTGGAACTCAAGAAGTCCCACATCGCGAAAGAGGGGCTCTTCCAGTACAGGAACATGTTCCAGTCTGTAAATGTAGGCTCTTTAGAAAATGTTATCCGAGGATATTTACGTATGGCTGAGGAAAAAACCGAAAACGCGAGGGAACAGTCGGCGCAAGCCGTGATTGATATTGACGACCTTGACAATTTGGCCACCCCAGAAAGCATTCTATTAAGGTAACTATTTTTAGCGCGTGTTTTGTCACAATGTTGAACTTGTCTTCACAGTGCTGTTTCTGGTGAAGACGCCCAGGATCGCTCCGATCGCACCATTTTAACACCATGGGTTAAGTTCTTGTGGGAGTCATATTGTCAATGTTTGGAGTTGCTTAGGACGAACGCGCATGTCGAAAATCTGTATCACGATATTGCGAGGATGGCGTTCCAGTTTTGTCTTAAGTATAATAGGAAAACTGAATTCAGAAAACTATGTGACAAGTTGAGGAAGCATTTGGAGGATATTTGTAAACTGCCGGCGCAGGTGGCCAATGTTTCTATGTCAAAGCCTGAAACCCAGCAGCTAAATTTGGAGACAAGGTTACATCAGTTAGATTTTGCTATACAGATGGAGTTGTGGCAGGTAAGGTTATAGGTTTTAATTCATGATTCTGGAATAGTCATAAATATGTTAAGTTAATTAAATATTTTAATTTTTGTCACTTTGAAGTTACTTTGGAGGTAATAAGTTCTGAAATTAAAATTGTAAATATGAAAAAAGTGACACCTAAAAAAAAACAAATTGCAACTACACATATTAACAAAAAATTCAATATTCGATTAATAACATCTCTTTTCCAATAATAAGACAATAATTTAATGTGCTTTTATCTGAAACACGCGATTGGAAAGAAGAGATTTTTTTTTGTGGCGCCATCTGTCCCCAAAGCGGAAAATACGACGTCGAAACGTCATTTTCATATATACTTAAGTGGGATTTATTAACTTGCTGTTGACGTTGCGCTGAGGTTGCTTTTAGAGCTGAAAATTGTTTGTCATTTATAAATTCCGTTGCCAAGTTGCCGTTGATAGTAATTTTGATGTTCAATTTTTGCCGCATTTAAGGGGCTGGTAGAAGAAAAGTGGAGGATTTAAGCTGATTACTACAAAAGCCTACACATATTAAGAGAAAAAAAAGGCAAAATGTAGCCCCACCTACCCGCCTTATCTCAATCGTCATGATATTTTTTTATTCGTCGTGAGCCAAAAGATTAGGCCCCACCCATACCCGCCCCGATCTCAATTCTCAAGTGTGATGAATTTTTCATTCGTTGCCAGATCGAAAGGCGGGGCTTAATTACAAGATCCATATTTGTGTACAAGAATTTACCATTTTAAACATGGTTAAAGGTTCTTGTTCTGAAAAGATGACTACGCATGCCCAGAAAAGTGGAATTTAATTGCAAAACCCTTATTATTTCTCCACAAGAAATTACCATGTAAGACATATTTTTGAGTATCGTGTTATTCAAAAAAACTATCCATATTAAGAAAAAATTAAAGCCAAAGATTAAACCCCACCCATACCTGCCCTGATCTAAATAGTAATGCAGTTTTCATTTGTTAGCAGACTTAGGGGCGGAGCCTAATTGCAAAATCCATATTTTCTTACAAAAATTTACCATTTGAAACCTGTTTCAAGTTTCTAAGAATAAAAAAATCATCACAATTGAGATGGGGTGGGTGGGCGGGGTTTATATTACGCCTTTTCTTCTTAATATACATCGTATTCTTTGAACAACACGATACTCAAAAACATGTTTTTTCCTGTAAAGAAACAGATATTTTGCTGTTAAGCTCCACTCCCTTGGTTCTCGACGAATAAAAAAAAGTTATCACAATTGAGATTGGGTGGGTGGGCGGGTGGGCTTACATTTTGCCTTTTTTCTTAACATGCGTAGTTGTCTTTTCACAACAAGAAACTTAAAACATTTTTAGAATGGAAAATTTGTATAAGGAAATATTGATTTTGCAATTAGGCTACGCCCCATAATTATTGCAAAATCCATATTTCCTTGCAAAAATTTACCATTTTAACCATGTTTTAAGTTTCTTATTGTGAAAAGATGACTATGTATATTAAGGAAGAAAAGGCAAAATATAAGCCCCGCCCACCCCTATCTCAATTCTGATGATTTTTTTATTCATCGTGAGTCGAGGGGCAGAGCTTAATTGTAAAATCCGTATTTTTCTACGAGAAATTACCATGTGAAATAAGTTCTTAAGTAATGGTGTTACACAATGAAAACAAAATCGATATTTCCCTATACAAATTTACCATTTTAAACATGTTTTAAGTTTCTTGTTGCCGAAATAAGTCTACACATGTTAAGAAAAATAAGGTAAAATGTAGCCCCACCCACCCGCCCTAACTCAATTGTAATGATTTTTTTTTATTCGTCGTGAGCCAAGGGGGCGGAGCTTAAATGCAAAATCCTTATTTCTTCTCTACGAGAAATTGAAAATATGTTTTTGAGTATAGTGTTGTTCAAAGAATATTATATATATATATATTAAGAAAAAAATTAAACCAAAGATTAAGTCCCACCCATGTCCGCCCCGATCTCAATCCTCAATTGTGATGAATTTTTCATTGGTTATCAGATCGAAGGAAGAGTGGGGCTTAATTGTAAGATCCATATTTGTCTACAAGAATCTACCATTTTAAAAATGTTTCAAGGTTGTTCTGAAAAGACGACTACGTATGTCAATAAAATAGGCAAAATATAAGCCCCGCCCGCCCACCCTATCTCAATTGTAATGATTTTTTTTTTATTGTCGAGAGCCAAATGAGCAGAATTTAACTGCAAAATCCTTATTTATTTCTCTACAAGTTTTTGAGTATCGTGTTATTAAAAAAATACTAATAAGTATATTAAGAAAAAATGAAAGCCAAAGATTAAGCCTCACCCATACCTGCCCTGATCTAAGTAGTAATGAAGTTTTCATTTGTTGGCAAACCTAAGGGCGGAGCCTATTTGCAAAATCCATATTTCCTTACAACGATTTACTTTTTTGAACGTGTTTTAAGTTTCTAACTATAAAAAAATCATCGCAATTGAGATGGGGTGGGTGGGCGGGGTTTATATTTTGCCTTTTTTTTTTCTTAACATAGTATTCTTTGAACAACACGATACTTAAAAACATGTTTTTAATTTCTTGTAAAGAAATAAGGATTTTGCAGTTAAAAAAATCATTACAATTGAGATAGGGTGGGTGGGCGGGCCTTACATTTTGCCTATTGTTTTAATATGCATAGACTTCTTTTCACAACATGAAACTTAAAACATGTTTAAAATGGAAAATTTGTATAAGGAAATATCAATTTTGGAATTAGGCTCCGCCCCTTAATTGCAAAATCCATATTTCCTTCCAAAAATGGACCGTTTTAACCATGTTTTAAGTTTCTTGTTGTGAAAAATCTTCCAGAAATTTGAAAAATCAAAAAATTGATAAATCGAGAAATCGGAAAGTAAAAAGATTGAAAATTCGATCAAAAAATCAAAAACTATAAATCGAAAAATTGAAAAAATACCAAAATTTTACGCAAAGTGGAAAAATTGAAAAATCGAAAATCAAAAAAGGAAAAATTGTAAAATCAAGACATCGAAAAGAAAAAAAGACTGAATATTTGAAAATCGGTAAAGAAAAATCGAATAGCGGAAAATCGAAAAAAGAAAAATCTTCCAGAAAGTAGCAGAAAGTAGTTAAATCAAAAAATTTGAAAACTCGAATGTTTAAAAAACTGAATATTCGAAAACTGGAGAAATAAAAAAATTGAGAAAGGAAAAGTTGGAAAATCGAACATAAAAAACAAAAGTCGAAAATCCGAATACAAAAATCTTCCGGTAAGTTGAAAAATTGAAACATCAAAAAATCGAAAACTTGAAATGTTGATTCTCTTTTGGTTTTCTTTTTTAATTATTACATTTAGATTTCTTTGTACAACACGATTACTTAAGAACATAATGGTATAAGGAACAGTGGCGGCTCGTGACTGTCTGATGTGGTGAGGCGATGATAGAAGTTTGACAATAATAGTAATATTACTTGGTCTTACTAGTTAGTAATGATAGAAGTCTTGCCTGAATACCGGTCATTCCCGGGTCAGTGGTAGGTCCTAATAATAATAATAATAATAAGAACACCCATAACACATTGAATAAACAATGTTTTTACAAGTCAAAATTTTGTTGAAAGTAGCACTTTCTTGGAGGAATTCGGGAATAGTTGTTGTGTTCTTTTCTAAACGTTTTAAGCCCATGAAATTTTTAATGTGTACTTTGGAACTTTCATGGAACTTTGCACTTCGGATGAAATTCTTTAAATCGTTATATCCCGGGATGTTGTGTAAATATTGCGGCAGAGCCATTTATATGTTTCGTAGGTACCAAGTTGATTTAAATGACTTGGAGTACTGACGATTCTGTCGCTTATCAATGGAAGTTAAATGAATTAACGGTTGTGACTGCTCGATATTTAGCAAAATTTGCCGACGTTCTAACTCGGTTCGCCGTGAAAACGGCGTTACAAGAAGCAACATGACGATGTCGTACTCGGGATTCATTTTTCACTCACCTGTACCTATGAAAGAGACAATAACACAAAACACCAACACGTGGGTTTTTATTCATGTTCATGCTAATTACCCACGTACCCCTCAACCCTACCGTTCTGTAAAATAAATGGAAAAATGGTTTAATGAGTACGCCGAAATTGGCCGAGAAGCACCGAAGATATCGCCTCAGTTCCGAGCGAACGCATGCATAGGAGTATAGGAGCTGAGCCATCGAAATCCGTGTCTGTGATTGGGCTTCGCTAGTTCAAGTGAACCGACGTTCTGGCCGCTTCAGTTAAAGAACTAGGGGCATAAATCGTACGGTATTCAACGGAAAATGTCAGCAGGATGCGTAAAAAATAAAAAATCATGTACAGATTTCTCATTTCAACATATTTTCGTAACTAATGCATTGAAAACTCTTTTTTAATTATAAATTAAGTCAATCTGTTCAAGATATTATGCTGTGAGGCGCCGCCTCACTTGCCTCATCTGACGAGCCGCCAATGATAAGGAAATATCGATTTTGCAATTTGGCTCCGTCCCTCGGTTTGACAACGAATGATTAAAAAAAAATGCTTGTCGGATTATGAGGAATTTTAAAAGGACGGGCTCTATTGGTTACCTGTTATAGCTTTGAGTGAACCAGAAAAATGGCTAAAGTTCGTTTGACCACAAATTTTAAATATTCTGCCCCTGTTTACTCAGATATTTATTAAGATATTTTATTTCTGTAAAGCGTAATGGATTTTTTAATACAATTTCTATTAATGTACCTTATTGAAAATTTAAAATTGATCCATAAATAGCGAAAACCAGATAATCTCATACTCATCACAATTTTAACCCGTCGTAGTTTTTTTTTTTACGCCCATTTCAACGGTATGAAGTTTATTACAATCGGACGTATACTTTTGGCAAAAACTTGGACAGAAGTTTATATGTATTTCCTTATGCTGTAATATGCTTTAGCTCACCCTTAAAATGATAAAGAGCTCATATATATTATAGTTACCTGGTTTCTTAACAAATTCTGTGCTAAACTCGTTTTAGATTTTAAGTCCCTACTGGGTTAAGCTTCTCTTTGTGGGGACGGACTAGGTATAATAATCTCTACAGGTCAGGTAAACGATTCTTAGACAAAAACAAAACAATATTTTTGAGTATTTGGATTAAAAGTAATTGTAAAAGTGACTGAATTACTCAAAAAAAGTAATTCGTTGCAATTACTCGGTACGTTTTTTGGAAAGTAATTACTCATTACTTGACAAGGAATTGAATTACTTGTAATTGAATTACTTTCAAATCTCAAACGTCACCTCAACATTCAACGGCAACGTCAACGTCAGCGGCAAGTTTATAAATCCATCTAGTTGTCTTTATAAAAACTTAAATGTTCACCCCGCATTATAGGAAGCATACAAAGCCATCGAGGATATCCACAACCTCATGAATATGTCTAAGAAAATGCCCGTTCCCAAAACCATGGCCAACTACTACCAAAAACTCGCCATGGTTTTCTGGAAAGCTGGGAACTACCTCTTCCACGCGGCCGCCCTTTTCAAACTTTTCCAATTATCGAAAGAAATGAAAAAGAACATCACGCAAGAAGAATTACAGAGGTATGTTAATCCTCTTAGCCAAAATCGTCTCTATATTTTTGTTTTTGTAGAATGGCTTGCCGCGTCTTAATAGCCACTCTTTCAATTCCTCTACCATCCGCTCACCCCGAATTCGACCGCTTCATCGAAACCGACAAATCCCCCTTGGAAAAAGCGCAGCGGTTAGCCGTCCTTTTGGGTCTCTTCCAACCACCAACCAGAGCTAGTTTGTTAAAAGATTTGGTTAGAGTGAACGTGGTGAGTTTGGCTTCGCCACAACTTCAAGATCTTTACAATTGGTTGGAAGTCGATTTTCATCCTTTGCTTCTCTGTGCGAGAGTTTATACAGTGATTCAGTCGTTACAAGCTGAAGAGAATCTCTTGCAACAGTACATACCGGCGTTACAAGACGTGACTTTGGTCCGTTTGGTGCGCCAGGTTGCACAAGTTTATCAAACTATAGAGTTTGCGAGGTTGATTGAGTTGGCGAAATTCACAGATGCGTTTCATTTAGAGAGACTTCTGGTGGATTGTGTACGCCACAATGATATGCAGATTAGAATAGACCACGGGAAACATTGCGTTCACTTTGGTATGGACTTGAGTGAAAGTCAGAGGGAAGATAAACCAGAAGGTCCGACTTTGCAAGTCATGCCTAGTGAACAAGTTAGAAATCAGCTTGTCAATATGTCGACGGTTTTGAACCAAGGCATTAACATAATTAACCCGAATAAGAAGAAATCGGAAAGGGAGAAGATCAGAAGCATCATGGTGAAGAACTACCATGACACTAAAGCACAAGAGCACGAAAAAATTCTTCAACGTCATAAGATTATTGAAGACAGGAAGGAATACATTGAACGTCTTAATACAGTACGGGAGGAAGAAGAACAACGACGACTTGAGGAATTAGCTAGACAGCAAGCTCTAGCTGAGCAGAAACGTCTCGAACATGAACGCGAAGAGAGAGAGAAGAAGAGAGCCCAAAACGAAATTCAGCAAATTAAAGACCGACATTTGAAAGAGAAACTACACCAGATCAGTCAAACCGGTCATGGACAGAAGATCCTCAAGAAATTAGACGAAGATGTAAGTTCGTTTGACGATTGAGTGAGTCAAATAATACTTGATTTTTCTAGGACATCAAGAAACTAGACGCTGACCAAATCGCCGCCAAAGAAGCCGAAGAACTTCAAAAAGAACGTCGCGAGCTCCAAGCCAAACTCAAATCCCAAGAGAAAAAAGTCGACTACTTTGAGCGCGCTAAACGCTTGGAGGAAATTCCTCTGCTTCAAGCTAGCATGAAGGAGCGTCAGCTCCAAGACCAAGCCTTCTGGGAGCAGCAAGAACGCGAACGCATAGCAGCCGCTATCGAAGAACGTAAATTATCCGTGGCCACGCGAGACCGCCTCACTCGAATGAAACCCGACAAAGACGCTTTCTTAGAAAAACTCAAGAAAGAACGCAATATCGTCTACGAAGACAAACTCAAAGAATTCGAGAAGAATTTGAACGAAGAGAAACAGAAACGCTTGCTCGACCGCAAACTCAAGCGTAAAGAGGAACGTCGCACGCGCTACATCAAGGAAAAGGAGGAAGAAGAAGAGAGGAAGATGGCGGAACAGAAGAGGAAGGAAGAGGAAGAGAGAGTTCGCTTGGAGGAGATGGCGCGCAAAGAGCGCGAAGAAAAAGAACGCCAAGAACGCGAAGACAGGGAGAAGAAGCAGCGCGAACAGCAGGAGATGTTGGACAGAACAGGGGCCAAGCAGAGGCAGAGGCTGGAAGAAATCGAGAAACGGTTGGCCGAGGAAAGCGAAAAGTCGACGAGGGACAAACCGAAAGATCCGTCTTGGCGCAACAAGGTGGCAGAGCGAGAGGGACCGCCGAAGCAACGGGATGGAGGGGATTCGTGGAGGCGTTCGGAAAAGCCCGACGAGCCGAAGAAAGTCGAAGCTTGGAGGCCACGTAAGATTTTTTTGTTCGATATTAAAAATCCGCGCAGTTGGCTCCGATTTTGCGAGAGGTAAAGTGTTGTTTATGTGCTTTTTTTAATAGTCTGAGGTTATAAAATTTTCTTCACGCTGATCAAAGGAAACAAAAAATAACCTATGATCTCAAAATTGACGTGTTTATTACTTGGTAAACTAAGTGGACGAGTGTTATAAATATAGAGGGAAGAACGCGGATTAAAGGCAAATGTATTCAAGTAATGAAAAATTAAAGAGGAAATTAAAATGAATTTTGGTAAGTAGCGGCAAAGTTCATGGGGGTTTTGTTTGAGCACGTGTCGTATTTTTTTATACATAAATTAACCAACTTTCAAAAAACATACTTCATTTTTAAACAAAACGGACAACGTGAAAATTCAACCAGTGATAAAAAGTTAAACAAAAATGCTCGTTGATAACTTTTTGGACATCGAGAGAAAAAGTTGCTTTTTGCCGCACTGACTTGTCAAAACCTTTCATACTTTCACATCCCTGAAAAGCGAATAAATTGGACTTTCGATTTTTATAGGCAACATGCGTGGAAACCCGGAAGATTCCCCTAAACCCGCTGACGCTTGGAGGCGGAGCGAACCTGATGAGCCCCGCGAGGAGCGCGAACCAGAACGTCGCGAAGATCGGGAGCGTAGGGAAATAGGGCGTGGCTTCGAGAGAGGCGATCGCGATCGCGATAGGTTCAGTAGGGACGACCGCGACCGCAGAGAAGATAGAGACAGGCGCGGCGGGGACAGGGACCGGGATAGAGAGGATAGGGATCGTCGTGGGGGCGACAGAGACGACCGCAGAGGAGACAGAGACGACCGCAGAGGCGACAGAGACGATCGGGAACGCAGGGGTGGAGACAGGGATGATCGCAGAGGCGGAGATAGAGAAGATAGAGACCGCAGGGGCGGAGATAGAGATGATAGAGACCGCAGGGGCGGAGACAGAGACGAGCGTCGGGGAGGGGATCGCGATATGGGTTCGTGGAGGAGCAGAAGGACCGATGATGAGCCGCCACGGCGTCCGCAACCCCCGAGAACTGGAGGCAGAGAGGGACAGTCGGATTCGTGGAGGTCGTTCGGAAGGAGGGAGGAACCTCCGAGGAAGGCTGCAGAGGAGAGGAGACCTCCTCCACCTCAGAAGGAAAAACGTAAGGATAAACTGTTAGGCTTTGTGGAAGTTTGATGTCAGGGGGAAATAGGAGAGTTTTTGTTTTATAAATGTGGTTTGTGTTCTAGCACGTGAGCAAACCCAGTCGGAGGAAGACGAAGGATGGGCCGAAGTTAAACGTCGTTGAAGCGTCTGTCACAAATTTGGTCATTATTCGTACATGTATGATGTAGAACATCGTTGTAATTATCTGGTATACTGTCTGTATTTCAGGCTTTATTATTTCTTTTAGTACTATTTTAAAGCAGTTGTGGGCGCTTTTACATTATTTTATAATTTGAATCAATAAAATTTTAAATGGAACACTAGTTTTTTTTTTTTATAGTATTGGTGTATTATCATTGGCTTTTTTTTTTTAGTGTAAATGAGAGCAGAAATGTCGATTTTTGATATTTTGAAACCCATGGTTAATACGTGACATATACGGTATTAAATCGTCCGTGGTGTACAGTTGATAAAATACAAGAAAACACGCGACTTTCTATTGGTTTATAAATATTGCACACCTGAACCAAGATCCCGTTTTTCCTGTTGATTGTTTCTGAGAAATCAGTAGCTGCTGACCAAGTACTCCAAGAGGTAATTTTGGCAATTGTTTAATTTCATGTATTATCCCTCCCCATTTCCTTCTTCTGTTTTTTAAAGATTTAACTGGACAGATGTCACCCAAATTATTGAACTGATTACTTTGACTGGTCAAAATTTATATCTCCATCCCCATCAAAAATTTGATGACGTCATTTCAAAATTTTACAAAGTAATAAGTCTTTTCCAGGACAATCTAGCGACAAATATTGCATTTGTGTTGACTGTATAACTTATAGAATTGATCGTGTTATCGTGAAGGGCGGGGCTTAATTGCAAGATCCATATTTGTCTACTAGAATTTACCATTTTAAACATGTTTAAGATTCTTGTTCTGAAAAGACAACTACATATGTCAAAAAAAAGGCAAAATATAAGCCCCGCCCACCCGCCCGATCTCAATTGTGATTGTTTTTTTTTTAACCGTCGAGAGCCAAACGAGTGGAATTTAACTCCAAAATTCTTATTATTTATCTTTAAGAAATTACCATGTAAGATATGTTTTTGAGTATCGTGTTATTCAAAAAATACTACTAAGTATATTAAGAAAAAATGAAAGCCAAAGATTAAGCCTCGCCCATACCTGCCCTGATCTAAGTAGTAATGAAGTTTTCATTTTTTGGCAAACCTAAGGGCGGAGCCTATCTGCAAAATCCATATTTCCTTACAAAAATTTACCAATTTAAACGTGTTTTAAGGTTTCTAAAAATAAAAAAAGTCATCACAATTGAGATGGGGTGGGTGGGCGGGTTTATATTTTGCCTTTTTTTCTTAATATACATAGTTTTCTTTGAACAATACGATATTCAAAAACATGTTTTTAATTTGTTAAAAAATAAGTGTTTTGCAGTTAAACTCCGCCCCCTTCGTTCTAGGCGAATAAAAAAATCATCACAATTGAGGTAGGGTGGGTGGGCGGGCGGGCCTACATTTTGCCTTTTTGTTTTAACATATGTAGACTTCTTTTCCCAACAAGAAACTTAAAAGATGTTTAAAATGGAAAATTTGTCTAAGGAAATATCGATTTTGCAATTAGGCTTCGCCCCATGGTTGCAAAATCCATATTTCCTTGCAAAAATGTACCATTTTAACCATGTTTTAAATTTCTTGTTGTGAAAAGATGACTATATACATTAAGAAAAAAAAAAGCAAAATGTAACCCCACCCACCCAGTCGGAGGAAGACGAAGGATGGGCCGAAGTTAAACGTCGTTGAAGCGTCTGTCACAAATTTGGTCATTAATCGTACATGTATGATGTAGAACATCGTTGTAATTATCTGGTATACTGTCTGTATTTTAGGCTTTATTATTTCTTTTAGTACTATTTTAAACCAGTTGTGGGCGCTTTTACATTATTTTATAATTTGAATCAATACAATTTTAAATGGAGCACTAGTTTTTTTTTATACTATTGGTGTGTTATCATTGTTTTTTTTTTTTTTAGTGGGAATGAGAGCAGAAATGTCGATTTTTGATATTTTGAAACCCATGGTTAATACGTGAAATACACGGTATTAAATCGTCCGTGCTGTAAACTTGAGCAGTTAATAGAATACAAGAAGACACGCGACTTTCTATTGAATTTTGACGGTTTATAAATATTGTATACCTGAACCAAGATCCCGTTTTTCATTTTGATTGTTTCGGAGAAATCAGTAGCTGCTGACCAAGTACTCCAAGAGGTAATTTTGACAGTAATTGTTTAATTTCATGTATTATCCCTCCCCATTTCCTTCTTCTGTTTCTTCAAGATTTAACTGGACAGATGTCACACAAATTATTGAACTGATCACTTTGACTGGTCAAAATTTATATCTCCATCCCCATCAAAAATTAAATGATGTCATTTCAAAATTTTACAAGTAAGTCTCCTTTTCCAGGACAATCTAGCGATAAATAAATTGCCTTTGTGTTGACTGTATAACTTATAGGATTGATCGTGTTATTTATTAATTTCAATAAGAAGACGAAACGCAGGGAGTGAGTATAATTCGAGTATTAAGAAACCGGGCTTAGAACGAGGCCACAGAGACTTCAATTGTTCACTTAGTTTCGTACAGAGATTCCGCTTGGAAGGTAAGCCAGCTTATCTTAAACCAACAAAGAAAATTTGAAATGAAACACATTTTCTTTAACTTTTATTAAAAATCTTAAAAACAGTTAAGTTATAAATTATATATTACAAAACTATTCGTGAGAAAGCAGTTATTCACAGCAGAAGAAGATTCGAGGTTTAGTACAACATAATGGCGCCGTTAGTTTTTTCTTCTAGAACCGGTATTACCGTATCAACTTCCTTTTCACTGTTTGCTATAAACACTATGATAATATTTACAAATGAGGCTACAGCCGCTCCGACCACAAACCTACAATTTTGGATCATAAATGGTTGTTAACTTAGCCGCATTTTCCTACCAGAAAGAGTATCCCAGTTCGGCCATATACTCGGAAGTCCAGTCGTTGTCCCTGTCCTCCCTAGACAACACGTTGTACTGTATCCTAAGATAAAATTGGGCTATCCAAAAGGCTATGGCAATGACATCGGCAAACACTGCAACGATTTGATACATAACTGTGTTTAATTATAATTAAGTAATTAATAACGTACGAGCTAGACTATTCCAGACGTAGAGCCCCGAAGTCGAGCTCAGGCGTCTTGACGTCGAAGTGGCTGTGTTTATGGCGGCGAAAACAGCACTTAAAGCGGAGAATAAAAGGCCCCCACAAACGCCCACGAGCGTTCCGAGCCAAAACCAATAAATTAAAAATTCTGGTTCATATTTGAGAAGGTGGACCACTGCAACAGGATTTAACAAGTAGACAATATTTTTACAAGGTGTGGTTAATTAACTGTAATGTGGGTCGCACTCATGTACATTTTAGATGTGGGTTAGAGGAACAAAACTGTCTAATTATAAGAAATTCAACAATACCTATCATTATTTGTGAGTAAATGTTCGATCGTCGAGCGTATAATTATAATTAGTTTGTCCGGAGAAAATCGCTTAGCTGGTTGACGACTTTTTCAGTTCTAGGAGACCGCTAAAACAACTGTCTTTATATGGAGATCACAACAGGTGTTGGATGTGTGTTTATCTATTTATCCACTTTTCTAAACGGGCAGTGGTCGTAGACGAATTTTAATGGAAAAGTAATAAATCTGTCAGGATCAACTTTCATTTTTGGGTTTTTTTTTCATACGACTGGTTAAAGTAGACGTTGTAACGATTTCTTCGTGGGTTCTACTTTTTTACTATTTTTAATTATACAAGTTTTGTAATGATGCGACGAATAAAAAGTTTCTTACTTAACTCTGGTGAAATGTCCCACTTATTGAGGTGTTCGTGTTGTCTGCATAATTTTGTTGTTTTCTGTAATGTTTTTGAATTAATACTAAAATAAGAAGCTTATTCGTGAATGGTTACAGCGTGACGTCGTAGTAATGGATAATGCGCAGTAAACACAAGTTTGAACTTTTTGTTTAACAATTATTGAAAAATCGTACACAGGATGTAACTTACGAGTTGCTAAATTTTGTGGACGTTTGCCTTCATGCATGTTCGATCCGAGTTGAAAGGGCGGAAGTTAAATCACATATTCGACGTAACACTAATCCAAAATTTAATAAGGAAACACTCGCTGTTATAACAAAAGTGAGAAAAAATTCAATTAAAAGCATGTGCAACATATAGAAACCATTAGAAATTTTTGAAGAAAAAATTTATCGTGACGTGGAAATATTTTTGAGTAAAAACGTTTTCATTTTCAACCGTTGTTCTAAAAGAAAAATGATCGCAAGTTATTTCGACAGAACTTCCGTCGCCCCTGAAGTGCAGCCGAAGAAATCCCGCTTCCTTAAAAATTATAAAAAATGCTGCCATTTTATCCACATTCAAAAAAACAAATCAATTCCGTTACTTTCAATTAATTCAATTTGTAATGAGAGTTTAAAGGAATCCTCCACTCTCTAACTGTAACAATAAATTAAATTAAAACCAGCCAAGTAATTAACATTCCGGCAGCTTTTTTGACTTTCATTTTTCAATTCTTCAATTTTTAAGTTTTTTTTCTTTAGTTTTTTGATTTGCAAATTCCCGAGTTTTCAAGTTTAAATTTTTCAGTTTTTAGATTTTGCCATGTTTGATTTAAAATTAATTTTTCATTTATTCAGATTTTCGATTTGCAATTTTTCGTTTAGGTTTTTTATTTTCTTTATTTTTACAATTTTTCGAATTTTCAATGTTCCGATTTTCTAATCTTTTGTTTCTTCGATCTTTCATTTATCGCTTTTCACTTGTTCATTTTCTTTGTTTTTTCAATTTCATAGTGTGACTCTTTAAGTTTTCATTTTAAAATTTTGTAGTTGCTTGATTTTCCAACTTTTGATTATTTTTTTTTAATTTTGCAATTTCACAAGTTTTCAATTTTACGATTTTTCATTTCTTCAATTTTTCAGTTTTTCTTTGTTTCTTCAATTTTTGGATTTGCAATTCCTCGGGTTTTCAAATTTAAACTTTTTAGTTTTTCAATTTTCAACTTTTAAATTTTTCAGTTTTTAGATTTTGCAATTTTTCGATTTGAAATTGCTCGGGTTCTCAATTTTTCGATTCTTTAATTTTCCAGTTCTTCAAATTTTCAATTTGCAATTTTTCTTTCCAGTTTTTTTTTTTACTTATTTTAACAATTTTTTGCGATTTCAATGTGCCGATTTTATAATTTTTTGTTTTTGTCTATTTCAATTTTTCGTTTCTTAAATTTTTCGCTTCCCAGTTTTTCATTTTTTTTCTGCTTCTTCAATTTTATGATGTGTGACCCTTTAAGTTTTCATTTCAAAATTTTTCTTTTTTCCGAAATTGGACATCTGAATATTTAATCTAAATATTTCAATTTTTAGATTTGCAATTTCACAAGTTTTCAAATTTTAATTTTTCATTTCTTCAATTTTTCGATGATCATAATTTTTCGGTTCAATTTTTTATTTTATTTATTTTTTCAGTTTTTTGGTTTTTCAAAGTTCTGTTTTCATTTCTTCAGTTTTAAACTAGCAATTTTTCGAGTTTTTAAATAGGTATGTAATAATAATAATAATAATAATAATAATAATAATTTAATAGATCCAACGGCCAGAGGCCTTTACAGGAAAATATATTACACATCAATTATTACAATACAAAAAACACTTACTAATCAATAGACGAAATTACTTAACACTAATGAATAATTGCAAAGTGAAATAATAATAATAATAACTATGAATTTTAAAAATTTTCGCTTTTTCAGTTTTACGATTTTAAAATTTTTCTCTTTTTTGAATTTAAAACTTTTTCATTTACTTTAACTTCTTTATTTAAATTTTGAATTTCTCGATATTTCAATGTTACAATTTTGACGATTTTTTCATTTTTTCGTTTTCCAATTTTTCGATTCCATTCGTTTTTTCTTCTTTCCAATTTTTCGATTCATTATTTTTGAGTTTCTCGGTTTTTCGTTTTCCATTGTTTCAATTTTTCATTTATTCATTTCTTTGATTTCCAGTTTTTCAGTTTTCCACTTTTTTGATTTTGCAATTTCTCGTTTTCTCAGTTTTTCGTTTCTAAAATTTATCCATTTTAATTTTTGAATTTCTCGATATTTCAGTGTTACAGTTTTTCGACTTTACAATTTGACAGTTCTATAATTTTTTGATTTTCCAGTTTTTGAATTTTCCAATTTTTCGATTCGATTTGATTTTTCTTCTTTCCATTTTTTTTTTCGATTCATTATTTTTGAGTTGCTCGGTTTTTGGTTTTTCATTGTTTCAATTTTTCGTTTATTCATTTTTTTGATTTCCAGTTTTTCAATTTTCCACTTTTTTGATTTTGCAATTTCTCGTTTTCTCAGTTTTTCGTTTCTAAAATTTATCCATTTTAATTTTTGAATTTCTCGATATTTCAGTGTTACAGTTTTTCGACTTTACAATTTGACAATTCTATAATTTTTTGATTTTCCAGTTTTTGAATTTTCCAATTTTTCGATTCGATTTGATTTTTCTTCTTTCCATTTTTTTTTTCGATTCATTATTTTTGAGTTGCTCGGTTTTTGGTTTTTCATTGTTTCAATTTTTCGTTTATTCATTTTTTTGATTTCCAATTTTTCAATTTTCCACTTTTTTGATTTTGCAATTTCTCGTTTTCTCAGTTTTTCGTTTCTAAAATTTATCCATTTTAATTTTTGAATTTCTCGATATTTCAGTGTTACAGTTTTTCGACTTTACAATTTGACAATTCTATAATTTTTTGATTTTCCAGTTTTTGAATTTTCCAATTTTTCGATTCGATTTGATTTTTCTTCTTTCCAATTTTTTTTCGATTCATTATTTTTGAGTTGCTCGGTTTTTGGTTTTTCATTGTTTCAATTTTTCGTTTATTCGTTTCTTTGATTTCCAGGTTTTCAATTTTCCATTTTTTTGATTTTGCAATTTCTCGTTTTTTCAGTTTTTCGTTTCTAAAATTTTTCCATTTTAATTTTTGAATTTCTCGATGTTTCAGTGTTATAGTTTTTCGAATTTACAATTTTGATAATTCTATAATTTTTCGATTTTCCAGTTTTTGAATTTTCCAATTTTTCGATTCGATTTGATTTTTCTTCTTTCCAATTTTTCGATTCATTATTTTTGAGTTTCTCGGTTTTTGGTTTTTCGTTGTTTCACTTTTTCGTTTATTCATTTCTTTGATTTCCAGGTTTTCAATTTTCCACATTTTTGATTTTGCAATTTCTCGTTTTCTCAGTTTTTCGTTTCTAAAATTTTTCCATTTTAATTTTTGAATTTCTCGATATTTCAGTGTTACAATTCTATAATTTTTCGATTTTCCAGTTTTTGAATTTTCCAATTTTTCGATTCGATTTGATTTTTCTTCTTTCCTTTTTTTTTCGATTCATTATTTTTGAGTTGCTCGGTTTTTGGTTTTTCATTGTTTCAATTTTTCGTTTATTCATTTCTTTGATTTCCAGTTTTTCAATTTTCCACTTTTTTGATTTTGCAATTTCTCGTTTTTTCAGTTTTTCGTTTCTAAAATTTTTCCATTTTAATTTTTGAATTTCTCGATGTTTCAGTGTTATAGTTTTTCGACTTTACAATTTTGACAATTCTATAATTTTTCGATTTTCCAGTTTTTGTATTTTCCAATTTTTCGATTCGATTTGATTTTTCTTCTTTCCAATTTTTCGATTCATTATTTTTGAGTTTCTCGGTTTTTGGGTTTTCATTGTTTCAATTTTTCGTTTATTCATTTCTTTGATTTCCAGGTTTTCAATTTTCCACTTTTTTGATTTTGCAATTTCTCGTTTTTTCAGTTTTTCGTTTCTAAAATTTTTCCATTTTAATTTTTGAATTTCTCGATGTTTCAGTGTTATAGTTTTTCGACTTTACAATTTTGACAATTCTATAGTTTTTCGATTTTCCAGTTTTTGAATTTTCCAATTTTTCGATTCGATTTGATTTTTCTTCTTTCCAATTTTTTTTTCGATTCATTATTTTTGAGTTGCTCGGTTTTTGGTTTTTCATTGTTTCAATTTTTCGTTTATTCATTTCTTTGATTTCCAGTTTTTCGATTTTCCACTTTTTTGATTTTGCAATTTCTGGTTTTCACAGTTTTTCGTTTCTAAAATTTTTCCATTTTAATTTTTGAATTTTTCGATATTTCAGTGTTCCAGTTTTTCGACTTTGCAATTTTGACGACTTTATAATTTATGGATTTTCCAGTTTTTGGACTTTCCAATTTTTCGATTCGATTTGTTTTTGACTCTTTCCAATTTTTCGATTTTTGAGTTTCTCGAATTTTAGTTTTTCAATGTTTCAATTTTTCGTTTATTTCTTTGATTTCCAATTTTGCGATTTTCCACTTTTTTGATTTTGCAATTTCTCGTTTTCTCAGTTTTTGGATTTTAGAATTTTTCTCTTTTTCGATTACTGAGTTTAAAATTTTTTCATTTATTTTAATTTTTTCATTTTACTTATTGAATCTCTAGATATTTCAATGTTACAGTTTTTTGACTTCAGAATTTTGACTATTCTATATTTTTTCGATTTTACAATTTTTGAGTTTTCCAATTTTTTTGATTCGATTTGTTTTTTCTTGTTTCAAAGTTTTCGATTTATTATTTTTTGTTTTGATTTTAGAGTTTCTCGGTTTTTAGTTTTTCAATGTTTCTAATTTTTCGATGTTCCACTTTTTTGATTTTGCAATTTCTCGTTTTTAGTTTTTCGATTTTTGAATTTAAAACTTTTTCTTTTAATTTAATTTTTCCATTTTAATGTTTGAATTTCTCGATATTTCAATGTTACAGTTTTTCGACTTTACAATTTTGACGGTTCTATAATTTTTCGATTCATTATTTTTTGTTTCGATTTTTGAGTTTTTCGGGTTTTAGTTTTTCAGTGTTTCAATTTTCCGCTATTCATTTCTTTCATTTCCAATTTTTCAATTTTCCACTTTTTTGATTTCGCAATTTCCCATTTTTTCAGTTTTTTTTTTCCGATTTTTGGCTTTTCGAATTTTCAACTTCTCTTATCAAAAAAAAGGAAAAACTGCAAAATTTAAAAATTGAAAAGCAAGAACTTGAAAAATCGAAAAAGTGCAAAATCGAAAAAACGAAAGATTGTATTGCAAAATTGAAAAACTTAAAAATCGGAAAGTCGAAAAATTAAAAATCAAAGATTGGAAATTTAAAAAATTGAATAACGAAAAATTGTGATATGACATCGCGAAAATAAAAATTAAAAGATCGGGAAAATGAAAAATCAAAATCAATTACTAATTAAAATTCTAAAGATGACGTCACCATCTTGTTGGTGGACAAGTCTATCCAAATTTTGGCCTAGAGATTCCGGAGAAATTTTTTTCGTATTGTAAGGGTCATGAAACGTCGAGAAAACAAAAGAGGACTCGATTACAATACGTCCTTAATTACGCTCACACAAAAATGACAAACTATAGCTGAAAATTTTTAGCATTTGTACTTTTTTTTGTTGTTTCTTGTTGTAAAAAAGTCACTAGTTTAGTGGGAGAACTAAAAATGTACAGTGTTACGTAAAAGTAAAATTCGCAATCATGAGTCAGCGTTTAGTACTAGCAATGCCAAAGAAAGTACCTGGATTGACCGAATGCATATCTTATGACTGGTCACCGTTCATAACTACAATACTGGCTACACAGATCCGCATTCTATAAATGTTGCAATTTAAGATGCCTAGCGTTTCTAGTCCTTTTTATGAGCTTGTATATGGAATGTATACATGTGTGTGAGTCGGAAATTATATAGTAGACTTCTTTGTGTTAATTAACTGGAAGACTGTCGTTCTCCATACGTACACTTATTTCTTAATCAGGTACATGTTTCGAGAGAAGCCACTCCCACCTTCAACCCAGCAATTGAAAATAAATAAAAAAAATGTCTCCTTATTTGTTATTTGTTTGTTTGTTACACTACGATTTTAAAATTCCAAGTTTCTGAAAGTAAGTGAAGTGTAAATTTCGGTTAGCAAATTGCAGCAATTAAAAAGTCAACGTCTTATTTCTCGCAGGCATTGTTATAAATAGGTGAACTATCATAAACGACCTTGTCCGTGGGCGTAATTTTAACTTGACTAATATCCTCGAATAATGTTGCATTCATAATTACAAATTTCCATAAGTGAACAGCCTCGAAGTCTCTTATTACCAGCATACCGCACGATAGCCGCCGATTTTCCCGACGAGCGACTTCTCACAATACCTCATCACAATTTCTTTGTATTTTTGTCACATAACAATCCGATCTTAAATAAACGTGACGTAACTCGTCCATCTATGCTCTCGGAATTTCAACAAAGCCCCAACTTTCGTTTTTACGCATCTCAAACCCACAATAGCAATCTCCAGCGTTCTCACCGTCAATTTCGTAAGTCCTCCAGCCGTAGGCAACGTTGAGTTCCTTTTTGCCGTCGAACAGGCCAAAGCTGATCCTCCCGTCGCTTTCGTGGGGGTTCTTCTGGCGCTTGGCCTTCGCATTCGCCCATTGTTTCGTCCCTAAACTCGCCACCAGCAGGGCCATGGCAATGCAAGACCCGAAGAACGTCACGAAGATCATGCCACGCTTGAATAGGTTCATTTTGGCATTTTACTGACACAATTAGCCGGGTTAAAAATAACTTTCTAGCGCGTTTTTCTTACGATCATGGATTTAGAGAATCAACGGAACTCGGGTTGGCTCGCTCAAGCATGGATCCTGTCTGACTTCGCGTTGAAGTTTCCACGACACAACATTTTCTGGAATGTCCGTTGGCGTTCATCGATCACTGATTGATTCTTCTTCTTCGCATAGCTGGCCTACTTGCACAGATGAAGGCATCGCTGGATCGGGCATCGGACGCACGATTACTGCACTTATTGATTTTTTCTTCACGGACGCTGATTCACGCGGTTGTACGTCATGGGACGAAGATTGCCAGGATTGCCAGATTTTTGGGATGGTGTTGTTTACGTGGGTGAATTTGCGGTCAGAACTGCCACATCTTCGGTAGATGTTGGAACTTGGACAACTGAAGACTGAAGATCGAAGCAACGAGGCAGAATGAGAAGCACGATTTGTGATGTCGGGGCTTGTCGGAATAGCTCGGATAGGTAACGTGTTCAGAACATGATTATTGTGTTCATTTTTTGGGAAAAATTAAGGTCAAGTTTGTGCATGGTATATACGGGGTGTTCGTTCCTGGAACTTCGCTAGCTAATTATACAAACCGGAAACAGGTTGACTGGTTGAGGGAAATCTATTTTTAGGTTTTAGCGCGGTTGACGATTTTTATGAATCATTTATTGTTTTATCGAGCGGATGACGTCAATTCAGTTTTAAATGTTCATTATCGCATTTGCACTTTATATTTTATAATGGATGATATTTCTACAAATTGTTGCTCAATCTGTGATGATGGAAATTAATTAATCGTGTAGTTGACAGTTGCTAGAAAACTACAATCTATGCATATGCGTGTTGGTGCTTTAAAATGGTGCTACGCCGTAATCTTTTAAATTAAAATTATTAAATTTTTTTTTAAATACTTCCCTGTGCTTTTAATTGGAACTGCGATACAGGTGACGCAAAAAAATATAATCTGCAATCTCATCTAACTTCCTTGACACTTTAGAAAGAGGGTAACTTTCTGATTGACGCTGTTATGTTTTAAATATAAAATTTATGTCTACTTACTTATTTATAGAGTGAGTCACTAAGGACGCAATCCTCGATATTTGGTTCATTGTTGGATATAAAAAAGTTAAAGACTAAAATTCTATGGTTATTTGAGTTAACATCCCAAAAACATCAATTTTTTAGAAAAATGAGTCGATTTTCAAGTTTTAGTCGTTGAAGTTTGTGGAGTTTGAAAAACAGCCCATTGAGGTCTTTTCAAAAACACGAAAAAATTAAGAAAATGACCTGTTTTTAGGCCCATTTTATCTATTGAAACATCAATTTTTTATAGAAACTACCATATTTTTATGGTCTTTTTAAAAATAGGAAAACGACTAAGAAAACTAGACATAATATTCTGAGTTAAAAAGTTATATTGGACTACTAGAGTTGTTAAGAAATCCATCGATGCCAGAGGTCCCAAATGGAACCGCTGAAAATCGGTTTATTTTATAAAAAAAAAAAAAATACAGAACCAACGACCAGACGACCAAGAGGTTCTGCAGATAGTAATTGATAAGTCTAATCTCGAGGTTAAACATGAATTGGAATTGAAATTGAACGAGCAAGAAACGAAATACAAACTACTTGAAATTGGATTTGATAAACTAAGAACTTCACTGGTAAGTTAACGTGATTTTTATTGATCAAAAAAATTTGTCATTGTTTTCTTTTAGGGTGCAGCAAATTTGGAGCTGTTTAAAAAAAAAACAAAGATCTTACAATAAAGAGTTTTATGGATTATTTCGAAAGTAAATTCTTGCAGAGATAAAACCTATAACTTTAGTAAGATCAGAAAAATTGAAGAGATGGGCATGTAGTGGAGTTGACCTAGACATTCAAAATGAACGAAACAACATTTGTTAATATTTACAATAACTTCTATAAAAAATGCGTTTGTCCCTCCTTGAGCACGAGCTTGAGCAACAAGAAATAATACTACTAGCCTTTTTGTGGCATATAATTCCTTTTGATCTGGAAAAATTTACTGTTCAAAGACTTGATAATACCCTACTTTCATCCCCAATTTCTTATATTAACAGTATAGAAAATTAAAGATTAAAAAAATTTTCATTGTGTGCTGTTCAAAAAAGTGTTTTTCTAAATCAGTTTTCAAACAATCAAACCAAAAGAACCCAATTCATTTAGTAAAATTTTCAGTTGTCCAAAATCAAATGGAGCAGCTTTTATTAACATGTTTAAAAATTGATCATTATTCATATGAAATCGAAAAACACCGTTTATCACATGAGACACTTTCCTAGTTCGTTAATAATTCCGTGTTGTTAGGGTGTCCATTTATACAATAGTAAAAAAGGCACTTAAAATTCTTCAGAAACGTCACTTTTAGAGCGTTTTCTTGTAGTTTTAAGCCAATCAGACACCCAACGGGCTCGGAAAGAGCAACGAAACCATAAAATTTTAGCTAGAAATCGTATTTTTGTCGATTTTTATTAAGTCTGAACTATATTTCGACGTTTTTTGATGATTCTGTTCGACAAAACACACTTAGAGCATACAGAATCGTCTCAGATTGCCAAAAGGAGACGTTTGGATTAGTTTTTCACATTCTGGCGTTCGTGGATACAACAAAATTGTTATCTAAAAGATTAAATAAATGGCTTATTGTAAAATATGGAAAAGAAAACTAAATCCACTGGAGAACCACAATTTATTGTATAAAGTATAAACGATAGAGAAGAATAGGTATCACCTTGCAGAAATTGTCAATCAGTGAAAAATAATTTTTCTAAATCACCTGAAGATATTTTAATTATTGAATTATTCAAACCTGCTAGGAAAAACTATGAAACGCGAGATTTTTTATGTTTTTTATAGACCAAAAGGAAATCAGAAGATCTAAGAACAAAAAGCCTGAAACAAAAAACGAATGATTTTAATAAATTTAAAAGTCTTAACAAGGGATTTATCTATATTCAAGTTGTTGAAGACACATTTTCTAAATATGTATGGGTAGAACTTTTAAAAACTAAATCAAGACTAGAAGTAGCTAATGAATTTTTAAAAATCATAAAACAAGCAATTAAAGACAAACACAATCCATCTAAAAATTTGCTTGCAGATAAAGGAAAAGAGTTTTATAATAAAGATATGAGAGTTGCTTTAAATAAATACAATATCAATCTTTATAGTACACGAACAAAAAATAAGGCTTTCTTTGTTGAAAGATTCAACCGTACTTTAGGAAAAAAATTAAAGCCATTTTTTTTTTGGTTGGCTTTCACCGCTTCCAAAAATTATCTTAATGAAATAAAATCAAAATGAAACCAGAAATATAAATAAATAAAGAAAATGAAAGAAAATTATTAGAAACCGTATATATTATTATTATTATTAATGTTATTATTACTTCACATTGATCAACAGGCAAAGCCCCCTTACAGATCAACTGATCAAAGAAAACATGACATATAAATATAAATATAAATATGAGTGGTTAATTAAGTCAACAAAATATTTACTGCTTTACCCATACAATGTAATTAAAGCACTCACCAGAATTAGAAGAAATCATATCTCGTAATTTAAAATTATTTTAATTTGCTGAACATTAGATTCAAAAATATCAACCTCTCTCTCAATCAGTGAATAGTTGGAAATCATCTGATAGACTGGGGAACGTTTTAATATGTTTGTTCTAGCCGAGGTTACATGAAATTTATTGACATTTCTACAATTAAAAGGTGGTACCCACAGCCCCATGTTTTGTAACCGCCTGAAACTAAGCGGAGAAAAATGTTGTTACCTTGGTGGGAATTGAAACCACGCCTCTCGCATTCCGGGCAAGCATCCAGACCACTAGACCACGAGGCGATTTATCTTTCTCCATTTACCGACGTGTTATTGTGCCGCCACACCGCCCTTATCTCTTAACTGAGAAAAAGTATTTTTATCCACAGCAACACAAGAAATGTAATTTGCTCCACAATCTTTCCGTCATGACGGCCAATAGTTCTGTTTGACACTTTATGGCCATTATTTAAGTAGACTGTGAACTTAAAAGTATCTAAGAAATCAAGCTATCGAGGACAGCGATAGCAACCGCTCTATCAGCCAAGGAGGCAAAAAGAGAAGATGAAGTGAAATACTATTCGTAAAAACTGCACCTCGAATATAATGTAAGGGACTATCGCCACAAGGGCGCTAGCAGAACAATTTTGTAAAGGAAAGTAAATTGTAGTTATCCTAACTAGTAGAACGGTAACAAAATTGAAAATTATTTGTTTAGATATTCAGTAACACCATTCCTAATCACGGAGCGCTCACTCTCACTCCTACTCTACTACTCGTTACTAAAGTCTAATATATGATTACATTAACAAATAAAAAAACAAAATTTGAAGTTGGTGATAGAGTTAGATTATATAATATGGTTGATGTATATCGTAATAAATGAAAAACAAACTAGACTGAAGAAATATTTACAGTTCTAGGAAAACATGTAGGTATATAATGTTTGGATTTATTTTGTTTCTGATCTTAATGGTGGAAAAATTAAAGAGGATATATACGAAGCACAAATGCAACTAACATAATTTGAAGAATTACTGAGATAATGAATGCAAATATTTAAATTATAATAGTTTATATATTTTTTAAATACTACATATGTACTGTTTATTCTAAAATGAAAAAATGTTTAATTAAGTTGGTACCAATTAAAAATTTCATAACAAAAATGTTAAAATAAAATTAACGAAAACAACGTGTTTTGAATGAAAACCACGATCATCCTAACCTCAATTTTTTTGACAGCATATCTTGGCGCCAAAAATCCGGTGTTGCCGATATTTTAATTTTTGAACAGATAATAGTAAGATTAATACCACAAAAAACCTGTACTTTTGTTTACCTCTATATAAAATATTGTAACTAGCTGTTAAAAATAACCCTAATAAGATTTTTTTGTAAGCCTTTGCATTGCTTTCAAAAATAACCTACAGTTCTAACCTGAAGGCTTAAGAAAAAGCCTATCAGAATATATAAAAATATATCGGGTGATATGTTAAAAAAAAAACCAAGGTATATGTTACGCCCCAAAAATAAAACACTCTGTATATGTAATTAATGAGATATCGAAGAGCGAACGTATTTTTATTACTTACGATTTTTTGTGCTCCAGAGGCGAAGAAAGTCCATTTTGTTATGTCAAATTCAAATTTTGGGCGCCATTCGGTAGCTGCCACTTTCTCATTGGTGAACTAACATGTTAACTACCACTACCAATAATTCAGAATTGCCAATCCAAAAATTTGCCTCAATCATTAGATCACCCGGTATTCTTTGCAGCAATTTTTAGTGATTAACTGATTACGATCCTTATCAATGAGTTTACAAGTTAGTGTTTCTATTCATGATTTAATTAAAACTTTTTAAAAAATTTTATTTTAAAACTGAACATTTTGAAAATGTTGCACGATGAACATAAACTCGCTATATTTTTGGAATTAGCACGTCGAAATTTACATCCCTTTTTTAAAAGTGGAATTTTTCCAATTTCCCCCTTCTTCAAATTTCGACGAATTTTTGCCCATTTTCGAAACTTAACCAAAGATATTTTCTTTTAGATTTCGAGCCCTAGAACTCACTTCTGGCCTGATTCGCTTCTTTGACAACTTTTTAAGAGTTTTTCTAATCTGTTTTATTTTCATTAATCCCCAGTTTTCTTTAAAAAGAATTAGTGCAATAATAAACGAGCTTCCCTCTGAGGAGAGTCGAAAATTCTTTTTGTGAATCCCGAAAGGTCTAAATATCGGTTGATTTTTTAATTTAGACGGAAGATTATTACCACGCGAAATTTAAACCTTCTTATTCAAGCATTGTTTAATGTTACATAAACATCATATATAATCCATTAAAAAAATTAGACATATTTTTTTATGCATTATTTGTCTCTGAAGTACAATCAAACAAATACAGCTTCTGCGGAAAATATTTAAATTTAATTTTGCGAATTTTATTTATTTTTTATGACACTCCTACAACTTAAAATAAAGATATTTGTGGAATTTGAATTTGCATGATTTTGTTTCTTTAACACAAGGCAGACCATTAAAATTATTAATTAAGCTACAATGGAGCAAAACTCTATCAACATTAGTTTGTATAAAAGTGTTAGTAATTTAATATTTTTATGGCAGGCGGTAGGGCGGACGGGCGGAAAAGGAAGACCTACTTTTCGTATTCTAGAGGGGTCATAGCTCACGTTTAGGAAGTAACAAGTAAAAACAGAGCAGCTCATTTATACAAATTATTTTCATTTTTCTGGAAACCGAATAATCAAATTGACAGTATTTCAAAATTATTTTGTCGATTAAATATTTTTATTTAATTTATTTAAAGTATCAGTTTTGAAGTAATTTTGAGAATTTTTTATACGTACCTATCTGATAAAACTCTCAACCCAAAAAAAATATTAATTATATTGAAATTTGGGTAAAATTGGTCAAACGATACACAATCAAGTTAACTCAACATTTTTGGGTGACATGTTCCTGATACGGTTAAATGACAACCTAGGTTTTATCATACAAGTTCTAAAAAACTGTTAATTAAGATTAGATAAAGTGAATCAAAATCGTCCAAATTTTTAATTATATAGATACAGAGCTGTTCAGTACTTCAAGTAAAAGTACTTGATGTAATACTTCAAGTACTTTAAGTACTTCAAGTACTTTAAGTACTTCAAGTACTTTAAGTACTTCAAGTACTTTAAGTACTTCAAGTACTTTACTTGAAGTACTTTTATATTTATGTACTTGGTACTTGATACTTGGAGTATTTCTAAAATGTACTTGAGTTTAGTACTTGATTTTGCCAAGTACTTTACTCCAAGTACTTCACTCATTAGAACACCCTAAGAAGCGGTTTGATGTTGGTGCAACGGTTTTCTGTTTTTAAGTATCGCTTAAATTTTAAGTATACTTGCAATGCATTGGTGCAAACGGACATAAGAGTCTTAAAAGTACACATTTATAATAAATAATACGACACACGTGTTGTTGGCTGTTAATAAGTTTTTAATCTATCTGTTTTAGTAGTATATACATAGTAGTAGGTATATTACAGGATCTGCATTCTCTTCTAGGTCCAGGTTGACTTTAGTTAGGCTCTTTTGATTTTAAACAATTTCTGACATAGAGAAGGCATACACTGACCGCGTACAAAAACAAAGAAGCCAGATTTATCCTACAATACTGTAATTGAAAAAAATATATATACTCGATTTATTACTTACCAGTAGGAATAACCTAACTGTGCGTGATCTTTCGTTACAAAATCTTGGTCGAGCGTTTTGTAGCTGGGTATATTGTACCTTAGGTCTTGTGCAAAGGCAACACCCCATAGTATAATCGGTAATAGCACGGTGAAGAATGCTACGGCATTGGAAATATATAATCCCAATATCCCGAGGTAGACCTGATCAGGATTAGTGGCTGTGTTCCAGATTGCCAAACCAGCAGAAAACACCCCCATGATGCCAGATATTAACAAAAATAAAGTGGTACAGAACCACATGCCAGTGTTCAAAAATATTTTTTCTGAAAATGAATACAGGTAAATTATTTCAACAGATCTTTAATGTAAAATTTCAATAATGTTACCTGTGTTGTCTGCAGATGCGCGAGGAATAATTCGACGCACCTCCGTATCAGCAGCGCTTATTTTGGCACAACTCCTGTCATAGTTATAGGGTAATTTTTCATTATTATACAATTTTCTAAGATTGTCTTCTACGTCATCCCCGCACAAAAAGGCACATATGTTTAAGTCCCATGCACAGACCGCTGAAAAAATTAAAAGTTAAATCGAAGAACGGTGAAAACTTTTATAAAATTTACTTGATAATTCAAATGTAACGTATACTCCCGTCTCTTGATGAAATACACCTCCGAATAAACCAATTTTGACGTACTCATTCGGGTGCACAATGCCATCGATATTATTTGCAACGTCTGAGGTAACCCATTCTTGCGTTCCTAAAGCCACAAACGATATAATGGCGGCGGCGCCGGACAAAAAACATGATGCTAGAACGTATTCACGTTTCGTGTTTGCCATGATCACTTTTGTATTTATTTACATGGGATTTTATATTGCAACTAATTAGAAATGGCTACACCTTTATTAATATGTCTCTTAACTAATTATTATCTCGTTTCTCGCAATCGAGAGATAACAGTTGCATTTATGGCCGGATATGAAAGAATCCTGAAACTATTTCATCTAGCAGCGCATGGTTTAGCCAATAACGCTATTGTTTTGGGTTTTTTCTATATCTTTTCGTTGACGTCTGCTCTTTTCTGATACAATAAAGTATAGATAAATTTATGACTAATACTGGTATTATAAAAAAGTTTAATGTAATTTGTATGAGTCACTTTTCCGTAAGTTGTATTTATTTAATAATGTGTGGGACTACGTCATCGATTTTTTGGTAGGGGTAAAGATGCGCATGTACAATATATTATTATTTCCGTGCCACAAAATAAATGGCGATATTCTGCTATACGTCGTACCACCAAATGCACCTCGTATTACTGATGAAGCTTTTTTTAAGTTCAAAATTAAAATCGCGCGCCTAGTTACTTCACGCAGGACCATCACCTTCAAGCCACCAAAATCCCCAATCCCCCAAATGTCAAACTTGTTACAACAAATAAACAACACAGTTGTGCAATAATTTGTTATGGAGGTTGTAGCAAATAATTATCTGCCAGGCGACCAACGTCTAAGCGTACGTATTTTTATTACTTACGATTTTTTGTGCTTCAGAAGCGAAGAAAGTCCATTTTGTGATGGCATACCTGATGTCAAATTCAAACCTTGGGCGCCAATTCGGTAGCTGCTATTGGTGAACTGACATGTTAACATCGCTGCCAATAAATCAGAATTGCCAATCCAAAAATTTACTTCAATCGTTAAATCACCCGGTATTCTTTGCAGCAATTTTTAGTGATTAACTGATTACGATCCTTATCAACGAGTTTACAAGTGTTTCTATTCATGATGTAATTAAAACTTAAGCAAATATCGAAATTTTTGGAATTTTTAGAAAATTTTACTTTATATCTGAACATTTTGAAAATGTTGCACGATGAACATAAACTCGCTATATTTTTGGAATTAGCACGTCGAAATTTACATCCCCGAAATTTTTGAGAATTTTTAGACAACTTTGTGAAACAAGTGAAATTTTTCCAATTTCCCCCTTCTTCAAATTTCGAAGAATTTTTGCCCATTTTCGAAACTTAACCAAAAACATTTTCTTTTAGATTTCGAGCTCTAGAACTCACTTTCGCTTCTGACAACTTTTTAACAGTTTTTCCAAAATGTTTTCTTTGAGGAAAATTAGTGAAATAATAAACGAGCTTCCCTCTGAGGAGAGTCGAAAATTCTTTTTCTGAATTCCGAAAGGTCTAAATATCGGTTGATTTTTTTAGTTTAGACGGATGATTATTACAACGCGAAATTTAAACCTTCTTATTCAAGGATTGTTTAATGTTACATAAACATCATATATAATGCATTAAAAACATTAGACAGAACTTTGTTTGTCTCTGAAGTACAATCAAACAAACACAGCTTCTGCGGAAAATATTTAAATTAAATTTTGCGAATTTTATTTATTTTTTATGGCACTCCAACAACTTAAAATAAAGATATTTGTGAAATTTGAATTTGCATGATTTTGTTTCTTTAACACAAGGCAGACCACTAAAATTATTAATTACGCTATTAGTTTGGAGAAAAGTGTTAGTGTTAGTAATTTAATATTGTTATGGTAAGCGGTAGGGCGGACGGGCGGAAAAGGAAAACCTACTTTTCGTATTCTAGAGGGGCTCACGTTTAGGAAGTAACAAGTAAAAACAGAGCAGCCCATTTATACAAATTATTTTCATTTTTCTGGAAACCGAACTTACTGTAATCGAATTGACGGTATTTCAAAATTATTTTGTCGATTAAATATTTTATCTAATTTATTTAAGGTATCAGTTTTGAAGTGATTTTGAGATTTTTTTTATACGTACCTATCTGATAAAACCCTCAACCTAAAAAAAAAATATTAATAATATTAAAATTTGGGTAAAATGGGTCAAACGATACACAATCAAGTTAACTCAACATTTTTGGGTGACATATTACTGATACGGTTAAGTGACAATCTAGGTTTTATCGTACAAGTTCTAAAAAGCTGTTAATTAAGATTAGATAAAGTAAAATCAAAATCGTCAAAATTTTTAACTATATAGATATAATCGCGTTTTGTTCGTGTAAAACGCTCGTATTTTTTATAACATATGTACGTTATATATAAAATAAAATACACTGGACACTGGCAATGCGCTTGACGGCTTATTTTACGCGTTGTGGTGTGCAACGATATGGAATAAAATTAAATTCCGTTAAGTTTGTTATTTAATTTAAAAACAAAACGGCGACACAAATGAGCATAGAAAAAGTGACAAAAACAGTGTTACTGTTGTTGAAGCGTTAGCTTTACAGCTCACATTGCCTATAAAAGTTTAGTTTTTCGTTTTTACTCAAAAAAACGCTTGATTTATTAACAAAATATATTGTTAAAAAAACTACAGTAACAATTCTGTGTAGTGTTAAAGTTAAATAAATTATAAGAAAAATAATATGGTTCTAGTGACTGTCGCATTTTTTTGTGGTTGAATTATCAATAAATTGTCACTGATGATTGAAATCTTCCTAAGAGTCTTAAAAGTACACATTTATAATAAATAATACGACACACGTGTTGTTGGCTGTTAATAAGTTTGTAATCTATCTGTTTTAGTAGAGGTATATTACAGGATCTGCATTCTCTTCTAGTTCCAGGTTGACTTTAGGCTCTTTTGATATTAAATAATTTCTGACGTAGAGAAGGCATATACTGACCGCGTACAAAAACAAAGAAGCCAGATTTATCCTACAATATTGTCATTAAAAAAATATATAAACTCGATTTATTACTTACCAGTAGGAATAACCTAACTGTGCATGATCTTTCGTTACAAAACCTTGGTCGAACGTTTTGTAGCTGGGTATATTGTACCTTAGGTCTTGTGCAAAGGCAGCACCCCATAATGCAATCGGTAATAGCACGGTGAAGAATGCTATGGCATTGTAAATATATAATCCGAATATACTGAGGTAGACCTGATGAGGATTTGTGGCTGTGTTCCAGATAGCCAAACCAGCAGAAAACACCCCCATGATGCCAGATATTAACAAAAATAAAATGGTACAGAACCACATGCCAGTGTTCAAGAATATTTTTTCTGAAAATGAAATCAGGTAAGTTATTTCAACAGACCTTTAATGTAAAATTTCAATAATGTTACCTGTGTTGTCTTCAGATGCGCGAGGAGTAATTCGACGCACCTCCGTATCAGCAGCGCTTATTTTGGCACAACTGGTGTCATAGTTAGAGGGTAATTTTTCATTATTATACAGTATTCTAAGATTGTCTTCTACGTCATCCCCGCACAAAAAGGCACATATGTTTAAGTCCCATGCACAGACCGCTGAAAAAATTAAAAGTTAAATCGAAGAACGGTGAAAACTTTTATAAAATTTACTTGATAATTCAAATGTAGCATATGTTCCCGTCTCTTGATGAAATACACCTCCGAATAAACCAATTTTGACGTACTCATTCGGGTTCACATTGCCATCGATATCATTTGCAACGTCCGAGGTAACCCATTCTTGCGTTCCTAAAGCTACAAACGATATAATGGCGGCGGCGCCGGACAAAAAACATGATGCTAGAACGTATTCACGTTTCGTTTTTGCCATGATCACTTTTGTATTTATTTACATGGGATTTTATATTGGAACTAATTAGAAATGGCTACACCTTTATTAATATTTCTCTTAAACTAAATATTATCTCGTTTATCGCAATCGAGAGATAACAGTGGCATTCGTGGCCGGATAATGTTCATATCGGAGATGAAAGAATTCTGAAACTATTTCATGTAGCAGCGCATGCTTTAGCCGATAACGCTATTGTTTTGGGTTTTTTCTATATCTTTTCGTTGACGTTTGCTCTTTTCTGATACAATAAAGTATAGATAAATTTATGACTAATACTGGTATTATAAAAAAGAATTTAATGTAATTTGTATGAGTCACTTTTCCGTAAGTTGTATTTATTTAATAATGTGTGGGACTACGTCATCGATTTTTTGGTAGGGGTAAAGATGCGCATGTACAATATATTATTATTTCCGTGCCACAAAATAAACGGCGACATTCTGCTGTACGTCGTACCACAAAATGCACCTCGTATTACTGATGAAGTCTTTTTTTAAGTTCAAAGTTAAAATCGCGCGCCTAGTTACTTCACGCAGGACCATCACCTTCAAGCCACCAAAATCCCCAACTCCTAAATGTCAAACTTGTCACAATAAATAAACAACACAGTTGTGCAATAATTTGTTATGGAGGTTGTAGCAAATAATTATCTGCCAGGCGACCAACGTCTAATCGACAAAATCGTCTACGAATTAAAAGCCCAAGGGATTTTCGACCAATTTCGCAAAGAGTGCTTCGCAGACGTTGACACAAAACCAGCTTACCAAAATCTGCGACAAAGAGTCGAAGGTAGCGTTTCTGGTTTCCTGAGGGAGCAATCCTGGAGACCTGACATGAACAAGAACCAAGTGCGAGAGATGTTACGTAAAACCATCACAGAGTAGAACAAGTTCACCCACATAACCTCACATTAATTTTTCCATTTTTCCAGGTCTGGCTTCCTCGAAACGGGGGTGGAACGTATCGTTGATCAGGTTGTCAATCCGAAAATCAATTCGGTTTTTTTGCCCAAAGTGGAAGAGATTGTTTATAGTTATCTAGGGATTAAGAAGCCTAGTCGGAATGAAGTGGTGAAGCACGAGCATATTGATTTGTTACCAAATGATTTGGAGGCGGTGTCGCCGGAATCAGAGCCCGTTGATAAGAAGGACGATAAAAGCACGGATACGTTTCAAGATTTGGATGAAAGTAAAACGGAAGAGGATGAGTCTCCTCCGTTTGAACCGTTAGAGGAACAGTCGGTGTATGTTCCACATGAAGAGAACTCGGTTGATTCACACTTGTCAGGATTCTCAGGTATTTGTTTTTTCAAAGTTGGGGGCTTACAGGTCGGTTTTGTAGACTTTGGAAATCAATTTTGTTATTGTTTACAGGCATCCCTTTTGGGTATTTTTGTTTTTTTTTTGTTCTCCCAACGCTTATAATGAGTTTTTGCTCCCCTGATTGCCGATATTTTGTTATTAATTTTTTTTCGTCAAATCAAGTACACTGTGAAAACAAACAAATGACAACTAATATCATTGTGTGTGTGTGGCGTAAAATTGGTGATCTTTGACTAAGCCATAAGTTATACAAAAATAAGTCACAAACATTATCACAAAATTTTATGTAATGATTGAAGCTAATTTTTGGGTTGGCAATTCTGAATTATTGGCAGCTACTGAATTGGTGTCCAAAATTTCTATTGTAAATATTCTGCCAACCTGATAAAAAAAATCACAAACGCCAATAACCACTCGGTATTTTTTTCCCGAGCCCGTTTGTCTGTCCGTCTGTCTGTCCATCTGTCTGCCGTCCCGGATTTTTATTAGAGAGATGATCTCTGAAAGTACTGGGCCGATTGTTGTCAAATTTTGTATTTAATTAGGAATATCTTGTATTTTGTATAAAATAACATAATCCTACACATTTAGTTTTTACTCGAGTCTTCTGGAAAAAAATCAAAATTATAAAACATTTTGTAATTTAATTTTGAATCTGCAAAACTGAATGTTTTTGAAATCTTGCAGATGTTTTAAAGTTATGATAAGCGTGATCAATTTTTAATCAAAATATATTTACGTATCCTCTCCAAAAAATTGATGGCGTCAGCTCAAAATTTTGCCGAATAAATCCTATCTAAAATGTTTAAAATACGATGTGATTTACTTATAAAATGTGACTCAAAAAATTAATGAATGCGTGAATTTATTTTATTGATTTAATCAGGAACTGCAAAACCGAATGCTATGAAATCTTGGAAATGTTTCAAAGTTATCCTAAGGATCTCTACAACATTGATAACGTCATCTTAAATAAACCAAAAAAAAGACATAAACTATAAACAAAAACAAAACCAACAAAAGAAAAATCCATTAAAGCCACTAGAGAAGATGTTCAAATTTGCTGCTTTGTGCATATAAGGTCGTAATGTTTCCAAATTTTTATCATTTTTTATAAAAATTAGTTATCAGTACTTGCCAAGATAATACTGATTTTGGCAGTGACATACATACCTTCTAAGAAAAGAGAGGGTGGGTGGGCGGGGCTAGTAGCTGCCAAGCTAATACTGATTTTGGCAAATAGCATACCCTCTAAGAAACGAGAAGGTGGGTGGGCGGGGCTAGTACCTGCTAAGAAAAACTGATTTTGGCAAATGAGATTCCTCTAAGAAAATAGACGATGGGTGGGCGGGGTTAGTACTTGCAAAGATAAAACTGATTTTTGCGAATGACATATTCTATAAGAAAAAGGGGTGGGGGGTACCTGCTTAAATAAGACCGATTTTGGCAAATCACATACCCTCTAAGAAAATTAAGGGTAGAGGGTATATCATTTGGCAAAATCAGTTTTATCTTAGCAAGTACTAGCCCCGCCCACCCGCTCTTTATTTTCTTAGAGAGTAGGTCATTTGCCAAAATCAGTCTTAATTTTACAAGTACTAATCCCACCCACCCGCCCTTAATTTTCTTCAAGAGTAGATTATTTGCCAAAATCAGCCTTATTTTGACAAGTACCGGCCCCGTCCGCCCGCCCTTAATTTTCTTAGATGGTAGGTTATTTGCCAATGTCAGCCTTATCTTGGTAAGCACTAGCCCCGTTTACTCGCTCTTTATTTTCTTAGAGGGTAGATCATTTGCCAAAATCAGTCTTACTTTGGCAAGTATTAGCCCCATCCCCCCACCCTTTGTTTTCTTCCAGAGTAGGTTATTTGCCAAAATCAGTCTTATTTTGGCAAGTACTAGCCCCACCCGCCCACCCTTTGTTTTCTTCCAGAGTAGGTTATTTGCCAAAATCAGTCTTATTTTGGCCAAAACTAGCCCCACCCGCCCGCCCTTTATTTTTTTCGAAAGTAGGTTATTTGCCAATTTAAGCCTTATCTTGCCAAGCGCTAGCCCCCCCGCCCCCCCGCCCTTTATTTTCTTCGAAGGTATGTTATTTGGCAATATCAGCCTTATCTTGGCAACCTGGCTAGTACCTGCTAAGATAAGAGTGATTTTGACAAATCTAAGAACTCTAAGAAAATTGAGGGCGAGCGGCTGGGGCTAGTAGCCCCGTAAATTTTTATAAGAAAAGACACTAGAGGCTCCAAAACACTTTAAAAGTCTTTCCAGGCAGGAATACCTAGAACGTCAAGATTGTTTTAACTTTTCAAAAAAAAAACAGATCCTAAAATTAACTCAAAAACAGGTCAAGTCAGAATTTTGCAAAAATAGAACACCAAAATCCCCCAAAATTGTTTTAAATAAATTACAAAAAAATATCCACGGGCTCCCAAAATAATACACTATGCGTGCCCAAGAGTCTTCCTAATTAAAACAACAAAAATACTGCGGCACTCAAGACTTTTTCAGATTCGTGAGAAAATAAAACACTAAAAGCTCAAATGATTTTTTCAAGTTCATCCATCAACAAAACACCAGATTCCTTAAAATTAACTGGGAACATTTAAACGTATGGTTTTGAAAGCTTCGACAATTTTTGATACGTCAAATATTTTTTCTGGAAATCGTCATAGAAACATTTTCCTGCCTATCTACGCGCAGGAAAATTGAATTTTCCGGACTAGTACTGTAAAGACTTTACAAGACGCAAAATAAAAAATATACTATAAACAAGAACAATTTATTCAAAACTATTAATTAGAAATATTAACATGAATTGTGGAACTTGTTATGTTTGACATATTAATTCCCGATAGTGAGCATCAAATTTCCAGTAAAAGTCCTAATCGAAATTTTAACATAGAATACATGCTTCAAAGACTTGAGGGTTTCTGCAAACTTAATCCGCCATTTTCCAGACCCGGTCTCAAAAAAAAAAAAAAATACTGAGTCAATTTGTTTTATTGATTAAGTCAGAAACGGCTCACTCTGTTTTCCCAGAAATTTTTGGGAATACAATGCTGTTATTGTTAGTATTACACTGCACCAATCCAAGCTGATTTACTTACGTCTCCTTGCAAAAATATTGATGACGTTATCGCAAAATTGTGTAAAGAAAAAATTCAACTGGAAAATGTTGGCTATATTTCATTGTACTTCAAAAGCGAGGGAAGTTCTGTCCAAACAACTTTCGACCATTTTTTTACCTGTCGTTTAATAATCTATTTCACGGTCTAGACCAGTTTTTTTTTATTCTTACGTGCACTGATTGTTTATTTTTATTCTCTTGATCAATAAAATAATTATTTATTTAAGAATTTTGTAACTGAATTTGAAATTTCTTTGTTGTTTTTTTCTTCTTTTTTTTGGTTTAATTATACAAAATCTACTAAACTTGTGGTCTTGCTTTAACATAGCCATGAGGTCAGTGACTCAAAATAGTTGAGACGGGTCTAAAAATAGCAAACGTTTTTTTCATAATCTCTTGTGCAGAATATTAATCACCTTTTACCGTAAATGACTAAAGAAGAATGTATTTATGTTGCAAAATATGGTGCGATCATTAAAAACGTCCTCAAGTTGGCGCTAGACAAGCAAGCTATCTTTGTCATCGTACTTAGTACTGACAGCAGAGAATGAGAAAGACATTTTTTTAAGATATTTTTATTTGGTGTTCAAAGCCCCAAAAGTCCTCCGCAACACACTCACTAGTTTAAATTTTGCAATTTAGGTCTAATTAGCCACGAGTCCAATCAAAGTAACGAGAACAAAGTTACCCCCATGGAACAAGACTCCCAAATGTCCCGTAACAGTTCCGATAGTCGTCTTTCAATCGTAACCTCAGACGAAAACTCAAAAATGGAAGTCTGCGAAGATTCGCAGTCAAAATCTGTGAAATCGAACGATTCCAACAGCAAACACGACAGTGACAAAAACAAACAGAAATCTTCAGAGCGACATAAATCCAGGAGCGAAAGCAAATCCGATAGAGACCGAAAAAGCAGCAAAGACTCCAAATCGACACATAGCAGTTCTTCCAAGGAAAAAGATAAAAGTCGTGATAGAAAAGATTCGAAAAGTACAAGCAATATTAGTAAAAATGACAAAGATAAAGACAAACCCCGCGACAAAAATGACAAAGATCGCAAAACTTTGAGTGGCACTAATAGCAAACATAGCTCACACAGCAGCAACAGCAGTAGTAGTAGTAGCAAGGACAAAAACGGGAAAAAAGAGTCACGATCGGACAAAGATCGCGACAAGAGTCGACCCAGCAGTAGCCACAAAGATTCCAAATCCAGAGATAAATCCAGCGATTCCCGCTCGAAAGAAAAGTCTTCTGATAAACACAAACACTCGTCTTCGCACAGCGACAGACACAAAAGAGACAAAGACAATAAAGACAAGAAGAAAGATAAACCGAAAGACGACCACTACAGTTCCAGAGACAAGAAAAACGATCGCAGGTCGACCGATCGCGATTCGAACGATGGTCAATCAAGCCGGCAAAACTCGACCAATTTGGGTGAAAGCCATAGTTCTCAGAACCACAAGGGGTCTCAAGATTCCAACTCTGGAGGCGGCGATTCCGGGAATTCCGACCAAAGCGACAATACGACTAAAGCTCCAATTAATATAAGTCAAGAGGTGGAAAGTTCGGAAGTGACTATTTCGGCACCAGACACTCAAAAAGTGAAGGTTTTCAAACCCAAATGCGCTTCGAACATGCAGGAAGCGTTACGTTTGAGAAAAATTAGAAAGCAGTTGGCCAGATTGGAAAAGCAGAATCAGTTGAGTCTGGCGAGTGTTGATGTCAATTCTTCTATATTGTTGTCGGCGAGTATCAATTTGGACGACTTGAACCAGAATTGTATCAGTGATGAGAAAATCAAGCAGGAGTCTTTGAATAGTAAGATGGTGGCGGAGCTGGAGGTGGTGCCGTCGCCTCTGCAGAATACCGTAATCAGTCAGGATAATTGGGATGCCATGGAGGCGAAGTTGCGAGAGGAAGTGTGTTCGGAGTTTAAAGAGTACAACGATGATAGTCTTGATGACAGTGTAGAAGAAGCACAGGTGGTAGCGGTGGACGAGAAAACGAAAGAGGAAGAAAACACGGAAGAACCACCGTGTAAATATTTTGATAGTGTTGATATCAAACAAATTGAGTTTTTGCAATTTGTTGAAAAGTTGATTAAAGAAATTGAGAAGGAGAGGGCGAAGCGTAAACGAAAGGTGGATGATAACGACTGGAAGAACAATAATAACAACAAGCAAGTCGTACCTGAGAAGAAGGCGAAAGTCGTGAGGAGGATTAAAGAAAAGATTAATAATCATTCAGGTGAGATTTGACGTTGTAATTTTGTGAGAGTGGTAGTTAAGGGAGGTTTTAGCAAACGAGAAATTTCCGTTGCCTTTGAGTCCCGCAGAAAGCGATAAGTCTGTAGGGAAAAAGGAAGACCCCGTTGTCACTCCTCTCAAAGTTAAACGCAACAGCATGAATAAAGGTGGGTTTGAGCGTGTTCCTTTTTTATATGACGTTGGTTTTTTAGCAAACAACCAGAGATACTCGAGCGACGACCTGTACAAACCACGCCCAACTTTCGCCAGTTCTAGACGTAGAGGTGCCAAAAATTTGGAAAACTGACTAAGGTTTTATTGTTTTCGTCGTAGCGTTAGTGTAAATAAGTCAATATTTTTATATCTACAGATGTTTGATATTAATTAAAGTACAACAGCTTTATTGATATATTTTTGAAATACAAGTACTACACTAATCACGTGATTGTGATTTTTTAAATTACACTAAATGTCCATTTATCCTATCGTTTGGATTGTATTAGAATGGTGTTCACTATTGCGAAAATTATGATCCAGATAACTTCTATGGCCATACCGTTCCAGACTTGGAAATTCACTATGGGCCAACCTTTTTGCATCACGTTGCGGAAAGAATCCATGGCTATTGTGAACGGTAAGCAGCGTGATATCCACTGGAGGAAAACCGGCATGCCTTCGATGGGCCACAAACTACCTGCAACATTAAAAAAAAACGTAATTTTTTTTCATTTCCGAGGCAGTGTGACATGGTATTTAAGTACATGGTGATTTTACTGATGGGTAGACACGGCTGGAGGTCTCAAAGTGCATTAAAATTCTAGAGGTCATTATTACTTTTTTAATTAAATTAAATAACTACGTAAAAATTATTATTCAGGTTGTTTACATTCGATGTAAAAACTTACCGCAGATCAAAATCATTATGTAGAAACTACCAGTGGTTATAACATTCGCCATGCTTACGTTATAAGATACTATGGATATCCAGAAACCTGCAACAAAATTTACATTTTAACGTATCGTGGTGTTCTGATTTGAAATTCAAATTTCGCGCTGAGAGGAAAAAAACCGCCGCGAAATCGTATTTGAAAATTTTTAAAATACATAAATAGTGAAAATCACCGTGTAGGTTGGATTCCCTTTGACGCCACAGTCTGCTTCGACAAGTGTATTTATTGTAAGACCAGTTAATTAGCGAATTTCTAACCTGAAATGCGCAAAACATTGACGATGCCGTCAACAAGTGGTATTTTTTCCATAAATAGAATAATTTCTGGCTCATTTTGCCTCATAACCTGAGCCAGAACCGGCATTATTTTCTGTCCATATGTCATTGACCTGAGCTAGAAATGGCATTTTTTGTCAATTAATTTGACCTGTTTTAAAACCGGCATAATTTTTTCTAGAAAGGACATCAAATTGATAACAGAAATTGATGGGGGTGCTAAAACTGGTCAAAGAGACTTAGAACTGAAAATTATCCGTTAAATTTATATCCTCGTGGACTTGAAAAACGGGAAGGCTAAATTTTCTTACAGATTTAATCATTTGTTGCGACTTGAATTTGAACATGTCTTCTCGAAGTACGCCGAGCGTTTCCCAAGCCACCTTATTTTGATTTGGATTGTATTTCATATCCGTTGTTTGTATGTTACGAGTATACGGGGTTTCGGTCCACGAGGTAATCTGTGAATACATGTTGTTTTGATCCATAACTTGAATTATTTAATACACTAATACATGATTTAACCTCATGTAAATTTTTTGTTGTTTACAATTTTCTATAGCGTGCGGTGTAATTAAATGTTACTCGCTTCATTTCTTGTCATTCTAAAATTCATTCAGTTATCGTTATAAATTAGAGAAAAAGAGGACTGGAATTTTAATTGAAATAAAAACCACGAGGTCACGTTGCGAAAACGGAAGTTCCAAGTTAAAATTTGCGGTTTTTATCATCGTCGAAGTTGATTGTAAATTATAAACTTCATAGCTAGCTGTTTTGCGAAGACCGGGTAAACAATACAATATGCGGCAGGTTTCCGCTCTCGTTTTCCAACTGTGAATTTGAACGCATTCCGCCATAAAAAAAAACAACGTAGGGTTTACCTGTCTAATTTTGGCGGGATGACTGGATTAATACAGTATCAATGGTCAAAAAAATCATGGAAAAGTGTCAAGTTGTATGTTCTCAGGTGTTTTAAATTTAAATGATATTTTTGAACAAATTTATAATTTCGCTTTTGGTAAGTTGCATTATTTTGAAATCAACTTAAGTCACTGGTGGTCCATCTTTATGTTTTTCGTTATTGTAATACATAATTTGCTAATGCCTTACCATAACCAACTCCGTTGATGCCTTGAAGGAAAGTGAGCAGTGCCAAAATCCACATACTTCCCACATATTTCAAGTGAAATAGCCAGAAGGTAATAATTAAAACTGTTGCGGTGTAAACTATGACGATACCAATTTGCATGATGAAGTGGGTTATAGAAATCTCAAGGGAAGAAACTCCTGCTATGATGGAACGGTCCCAGAGTCCTTCACATCGATCGGTAACTATTATCTGGGACGTCATCAAGGTCATCATGAAAAACATAATTCTGAAAAAATCCCATAATAATAATGATTTATAACAGAGTTATTTAGTGATACTAACGTTATTATAAGTCCCGGTGTCATATACTCAGTGAAAGTATCATCTTCGTTTCCATAATATGTCGTCAAATTAAAAAAGTCCGCCATTTTTGGGTCATAATTACAATCCTTCATCAGATCCTTCTGGAAATCCCTATAGAGCGCCAGAAGCTTATACTTTATAGTAGCTCCGATTTGTCGATCTAGAACAAACTCTCAACAAACGGAACAAACTATAGACATCATTACTTGACATATCCAGCCAGATTTTAATCTCACTTAGCGACAAAGCGGCCGGATCTACACTTCTCCCTTTTTCAATTCTCGCCTCAAACGACTCAGTAAAATTCTCAGCCAGAAACATCACCCCGACGACTTTCCCATGCCTCGCGTCTGCCATAGCCTCCGACAGATCGTCGTACCTGATTTTATGGAGCATAGGGTCTTCAATATACGACAAAAACCGACAACTCAGGTTCCTGTAGTGACAACTAGAATAATCGTAAGGAATCGCGGTATCCATCATCGAAAAATTGTGGCAGAGGGTCGTCATGCTCTCTTGATTCACAACAGCTAGTCCGATGTTCTTCGGATCAGGTCCAACGGCAAGAAGAAACGCAACATTTTGTACTATAGGAAATAAAAACACGAAGATCATCCCACTGAAAATCAAGTTCAATGATTGTACATCTCGAAAACAAACAGTAACCTTATGTTTCTATAAAATTGCTTCCAGTTTTTATCTAGAAGAGCCTTCATTCGCCGTCCATTCAAGCTATAGCCGCCGACCTTTTTTGGTTTTTTCTCTTTTGCATTGGGTGTGAGGACCTGAAAAACCTGATTATTGCGATTCGTGGTAGTTTGTATAATTACGTCTGTGGATGCGCGAGTTGTATCATACGAGGCTAAGCTAATGTCGGTGTTCGAATTTTGGATTGGTAGAGGAGAGTTGCTTGGTAAAATCTCATTTAATTGTCCATCGTTTTGTCTTTGGCTGAGGATGAAAAATACTTCTTCTAGGACTTCGGTGTTGAACATTCGGAGAAGTTTGGGGGGGGATTCTTCGGCCAGGAGGCGACCGTTGCGCATTAAGCCGATCTGAAACGGAGTTTTTAATGGAATTTGAATGTTGATAGTATTTTGACGTGAATTGTTTATACAATTATGCAATTAAAATATAATGGGGAATTTGCTTTTTTGTTGCTAAAATTTGGTACTACCTATACTCATCGCTAAAGTCTTTTTTGTTTATGAACTGGTTTTTGTATGGGTATTAGGTATGCTAATGAGAATTCACTAAAAGCAAAACTTGTTTTTTGAAAATTGGCAATTTCGCATTTTGCAATATAATTGTCCTTAATTTTTTTCTTTTTATTCAGTTATATGGAATTGGATGTTGTTTATGTTCACTGTTTTTCGAGCAATAACTCAGAAATTATGTATAGTAAACGGAGTTTCGCCTAAGTCATGTATAGAGTGTTTCATCAGAAAATTGTTTCAAAATTACTAGCTTAAGAAACATTATACTACGCATTTGCCAGAAACGAGATTGTTTAAGAACACTCTAAATTTGATTGCATCACTTTCGCTTTCCGAAAAAAAGACAACGTTTTACTTATTTTTTTTAATATTACTTTAATATGGTATTTCTTAATTATGCAAGAACAACACTAATCAAAATTTGTCTCAACTTGTCCCCTCGAAACTGTTTAAAATATAAAGAAAAACATGAAGTTTTGAGAGAAGAAACTCAAAATAAATATTCACACAGAATAGATACATTCAGATTTATTCATACATATATTAAGCTTTTGACGCACTTTGAAAAAACTGGAAATTAAAAGCACTATTTATTGTTTAAAACAACGTATATGTATACTACTTTACATTTAGTAACATTAACATATTTTAATTACTTCTGTCATTAATTGTGATGGGGATATCTAGATATCCACAAATAGCACCTAGATAACGAACGAATTAACTAAACATAAATTCTCTAAGTAGTACGTGCGTATAAAATACAAACAAGTTACAGTTATATACTTGAATAAAAAAAAACATCTTTTTTAAATCCTGTTAATTATTTCAATTTTACAACGAAGTAAAAAACGGAAAATAGAGAATGTAGCACTACAAAAACGTATTATAATAAAACAATCACATTATATAATACCGCTGCAACTAATTACATTTTTATTAAAACGGCGTAAATTATGTATTGTGAAATTCCAATTGGAACGCGTTTTATAGTACCCTTGAATATGTACAAGTCATCGACAAACAGATGACTTAATGTGTATCGACTAATCACCGCTTTGCAATTTTACTCGACTTAATTAACTGCGAAAATTTTCAAAACTTACCAGACTAGCCTGTCGGGCTTCTTCTATATAATGAGTTGTAATAATCACAGCCGTACTTGTTTTACTTGTTATGGAAAGTAAATAGTCCCATATCCTGAAATAAATTAACTTGAAATCACAAACATAGCGCTTTGTAGTGTAGACTAACCGTTCTCGCAGAATCGGGTCAACACCTACTGTAGGTTCGTCTAGAATCAGCAATTCGGGCATTTGGACCATAGAAGCAGCAAAGGAAACTCGTCTTTGCTGACCCCCACTACAGTTTCTTATAAATCTAAAAATGTAAAATCGTCACTAATGCTCATAAGTGACCCTTAACTATATTCCTTGCCTGTCAGCCGGTGGTAGATCCAATAAGTTCGACAATTCGTTAAACCTCTCGTCAATTTTCTTCTCTGGCATGTTGAAAATGCGCCCAAAATAGTATATAGCGTCCTTTACCGTAAACTCACCCACTAAAGCGATCTCCTGAAATTGTTACATGTGTGAAGATATATTTATCCGGAAGCAAGTTGTTTTTACTTGAGGCATGTATCCGACTTTTGGTCCTGGAACACCGCTTTCTACGGTTCCGGGTTTCCCTCCCAGGACCCATATTTCTCCAGAATTTAGTTGCCGTCGTCCCACTATACAACTAAGGAGGGTGGTTTTGCCACAACCGCTTGATCCGAGAAGACCATAGCTGATTCAGAAGTGTAAACAACAAGAATAAGAAAAAATAGTACTCACATGCTTCCTTTCGGCACGTGCATGCACAGGTTTTTTAAAACTTCTCTTTTGCCGTAGGATTTGCATGCATTTTGTACGTAAACGGCCGATGTTGTCGCCATGTTAACATCACTGTAATTTTTTCACTGATTAGTCGACGATATTTTTGCAAAAGCCTCTAATTAATTATACAATTGTAATGTATTCAAGTGTTACAATCTCTTTTTTTATGGAGTAACTGGAAAGGAATATCTTAATTGTGAATTAATTTGTTCAACAACAAACAACTAATAGCGTAAGCTTTGGCATTTTTATTCTTTTCTATAGATAAATATATTGAAGTGTGAGTTAGTGTCAGAACTGAATAGAAGTGGACAACGGTTTTTCTTTTTAGTCTTTATGTTATAGTTTGTTTGTAAAAGAAGTCGACCATGCGCACAATCATTAACGTAATGATTTATCAATACCCAGAAGACATAATGGTTCTTGATAAATATACAAGAATATTAAACGAGGGGTAACGTCCGTGTACGTTATTGACGAAAAAAGTACACGTGAGGGTGATTTTATTTTTTTATAAAGCAGACGCATCTACAACGAATAAAACTATGACTTAATTAATTATTGGAACGCTAGGCCAGTAATTATGAAAATGATTACGATGTAGGTAGAGGGCAATTTAAAACAATTATTTATTTTATCCTTGAATTTACACTTGAAAGTCTTAGAAAAACCAGAATGACAAATGCATTTTCTTATGTCATAACTAGAACTAATGATTTGGAAAATTAAGTCTATTAGACGTTCTAGAGAGCAGTATCATTATCAGATTTTTAATTCATAGTGTCCTTAGTAAACTGACGTCGTATTCATAATGTGATTTGTATCTGTTTCATGTGATGATTTAACATTCATATGTACAACGAATCTTAAAAGTCCAGATGACGTATTTGGACATCCTATGCACCTGATTAATAAGTAGAAGTCAAATTTTCTTTCGCGATATAAATAACAGCCTTGAAAAAGATTGATATTATTATGCAACTAAACCAATTTTTTTATTTTGATTCTTTTGTTAATCTGACTGAATTCGTTATCCAGTTTCCACGATTTCCCTCGTGTATTGTTTTATTGTTTTTTACGCAATTTTCATACGATATTTTGCCATTGTTTCAGTACACTTTTTAGAGATACAACCCATTATTTTTAATATCGACAGTTTCGTGAAACACAGTTCAAATTAAAATTTTGAAATTTGTTTCTAAAAATTTGAACGCAAAAAATGATACCTTGTCTAATTTTTTTAGTTTTCCACCAAATTTTTCCTTCTTCTTTTCTAAATGTTGTAAAAGAAACCTGTTCTACAATCTTAATTTGTTGTCGACTAAACAAGACAATTTAAAAAAAATGTTGAAAATAACCAAATATGGTATTTAAAAACTAAGATTATTAGTTACCAACCAAAGAAATTAAATAATTTCAGCGGCAGATATTTCACGCTGTGGGTGGAAGCACCTGACGACCGTTTTTTAATGATGAATATGTAAAACTTCCCGTTTTGAATATTTTTTTTTATTCAATTATTGGTTAGTTGTATTGATCATCGGTAATCCCGAAGCTTCACATCTCTGCACACTTTCTTAGAAACATTCAAATATGATTAAATAAAATAAGTGTGCATAACGCGGCAATAGAATATTTATAGATCGCTAACATATGTTTCAAAAAGCAAGGGATTCAACGTTCCTTCCTGCAGCATTTCTGTAAATCGTCTGACGGCGCTACCTACTTTTAAAGAAAATTTACGATCACTAAAGAAAACTGTTGTAAAGTATGCTTTTATGTCAAGGTGTTCAAGTTAAAACACCATACGGCATTTGAGAAGACAATCAAAGGTCTTGGAAAAGTCTTAAGTACAAGGTATCAACCAATTTCCTTAATTAATCTCCTTTTCAGCCAAAAATCTTGGGATTCAATGAATAAATAAAAGCACCAAATTATTGAATATCCACTTGTTTTTCATATTTTTGGCGAGGCGTCAGTCGAGCAACAAATCACCCGAGAGCTTTAAACGTATTTTGTTTAAACTGTACTTTGTGTAAAAGTATGACGCCGTTTCAAAGAATCCATTAAATACATAGTTATTAAATTGAGGTTGGAAAATACATCTTGGAAAAAACTACGCAAATGTTATAAATAAATAATAATGTACATAAAACGCAAAAATCCCATGAAAGTGTGAAAAATTTCGTAAAGTAAAATTTTGTGTTTAATTCAAAAAGATGTGATTAATTATACTAGAAGCCCTTGAGGCACCATATTATTTTTAATTTTCGCTTCTCTTTATTTGAATGTCAAAATGAATCTCGAAATTTCATTAAGGTTTCCAACACTAGGTCATCAACTTGTGATAGTCATTGAACAGGTCTGTCATGTGTTTTCGGCTTCGACATAACTACTTGCGTCGATATTTTCATTTTAACACGTAAGTAGTATTTGCAGAAGGTTCAGCCTACCACAATATTTGCGCTCATAAAAATTAGTTAATGTTGAAGTTTATTAAGTTTGTTTAAGTGGATTGAGTCATTTTTATATAGTCAGAAGATGATTTCAATCGACGAAGAAGGTTGTACTTAACGCATTAAAAGCTTATTTGCAATGGTTTTAATTATACGAAGGATCTCATAAAATTTTCTTCCTGCAAAAGGTTGTTGCTATAATTACTTAAATAGATTATTATTAATATAATAACCTCTGTTACATTAATTCAACACAGCACTCTTACTCATAGAACCAATTCTATGCACTCACCAGCGCAACGGTACCATAAGAAAGTAAAGTGGAGGACCTTGATTTTCAACATCTTTACATAATTGATTAATAACAATTCTCTGACAGAACTTTATAACACTTGCAGCTTGTTCACGTGTTTCAATGTCATATAAAAATTATTTTTTACTAGATCGTTCGTAATTACTCTTAATGCAGGTGATTGTTAGTTTGAACTTGTTTAAGTATTCATTTCTCGTCAGTAATACGATGTGTGTTAATTAAATTAAAAAAGGATAGTGCAGCTACACGTGTATTTAATAAGCGCGTTCATAGGATTTCTCAAGAGTAAACGGACAAAATTCGACAAACCAGAGATCATTTCGACATTAGAATTCGGGTCAGGCATCAAAGTGCGTTATGGTTAATTGTAAGCCTGGAGTTTTTACGTAACTTATAAAGCCGAAGTCGCAATCGGTTATTGCTACAAAGCTGAAATTATATATCCGAAATTTAATGTATGAAATAGGAATCGTTTTTCCAAAGGATGGTAAAGGACAATTTTAATATGTATTTGGAACGTTAATTTAAAAGTCTAATTTTTATACATGTTTCAAACATAAAACTAAACACAATGCATTACAAACGTTTCAGAAATTATTTTTGTGACGGTATTTCGGCTGTAATGAAATATTTATGAAGTGCTTGTTACCGACTATAAGTGAAGTGGTTGTAGCCCAATGAATATCGAACTAATAACGTGAACGACCTTTAAATGTAGGAAGGAATTTTGAATATTAATAAACAAAGAAATTCACGATTTTGATGTTTCCTCGTTGTAAAGGTTATAAATTTTGTTTGTCCTAGAAAACAAATTCGTTTTGAAAATTCAAGGCAGCTACCGGAGGATATAAATTTTCACGATATTGAGTAGTGGTGTATAATTATTACCATTTTTTCTTCAAGTTATCATTATTAGAAAACAGTACGTTGCAACGTTTATTTTGCAATTGCTTCATTCAAACTACGAACTAGACAGATTTTTATTTATTGCGCAAAATTGTAATAAATTACTGACTTAATTTAAAATTGTCTTCATAAAAAAATATATACATGATTTTTCCAAAAATAAAAAAAAATAAGAAATAGGGTTACCCGAAACGTGTAGTAATTAACTATCGCTTACCTTTAATTAATAGATATCCAAATGTCAATTACAAACACAAATCTGTTGCAAGTGTTTCTTAATCACAAGTCTGAGAGAAACTGATCGCTAGTCAACTGCATATTCACATTTGCAGAGTTTCAGTAGGAAATCTCTGTTCATATGGTACTAGCCTTGAATTTGCTAGGAGGTGTCGATCATCATACTAAAAGGAAATAGTGGTAAATGATGGGTGTTATTTGCCATGATAATAAACAGAATTTGATTTATTTTTAGTATTACTTTATTTTACTAGCGACTATTAAAAATAAATTGCATTAAAGTCTAGGTTATTTTTTAGTAATTTATACTTGCAAAACACGGTTTTATTGCAGGAGTATCGGTTTTATTTTATCGTTGTTTAATTTGTGCAATGCAAATGATGCAAAAAACACGTGTGTGAAATCCCATAGTGGCCACTATGTAACTCACCGAGTTTTTTTTTAAATAAAATATTTAATATCGCATATATGCACACTTTCGAATTTTTTGGTCACAAAAATATAAGTTCGGCGACAAAACCGTTCCACCTTATCGACATTTCAAACAGTTGTGAGTTAGGTTTTTGCGTAATTTGGTTTGTTGTTTGCGTCCACAGTTTTTCATGGCAAAATTTGTAGTTGGTGTTAGACAATATTTAAAAATCACCATCCGATAAGCATTTTATGACCAACTTTTAGTGTTGCCTATAAACATTTATCATCATTTTTATATCCATAACAAATACGACAGTACTAGCTTTTAGAATTTAAATATTTTTATATCGAGTTAGGGGTGACTCAGTGAATTAAAACTTTATTTCGGGGGGATTGGACTATGGAAAACCTTGAGGCTTCATGCGTATATATATTTTTTATTTTTATTAAAGTGCCACTATAATTTATCAATTGTATTTAATTTTACACGCTACTTTACTTACATGACGTGTAATTATTGCCACAGTATAATGATATTTTAACACAAATATATATGCACTTGTTTACTCAGTGACTTACTTAATTACTTACTAATGAATAATTGTCATTTACCAAAAGATTTACGTTGCACTACATATATTAAATTTAAAAACAAACCTTGATTGAAGAGTAATTTTTTTCACATTAACCTATGTACTTAACATAAAAGGGAAGTGATTACATCCGATGAATGAATTTTTTTGCCGACAAATGAATGTAGATGTTACGGTGACAAAATTCCTAGTCCGTATGCTATTTTCCGTTTTAGAAAATACACGGTATGTTGTCATAACTGACACATTTTCCTTTCACTTTTTGCGTGCATTCCCATCCAAATTATTCACACTCCGTAAGAATGATTTTTGTTTTAAACACTACGGACTTCCCGTGATTGTTTTAATCATAATAATTAAATAATTAAAACAAAATTTTAAAAAAATTTTAGCGCTTAACCATAATTGACCGCAGTAAGTATTAAATATTCTAGTGGTAATTATGGACGTCATGTGGGACTTATTTTTGCGATATATTCATAAAATCACGAATATTTTCTTTTTTAAATAACGGAGAAAACGCCGCTTTATTCGGCGCATCCACCATTTTTGGCGATGTATTGAAAACTGCTGTAAATTTTAGCCCTAAAGAACTTTTTCACAGGTTCGTGGTAAATGTGCAAAAATGGTTTTTTTATTACAAAATTAAGTTAAATTAATATTTCTATATTAGTATCAAAAGTGCATTAAGATGGAGCCGATGACCTTTCTGAAGTGTGCATGTTACGCTACTGACTGACAGTCCGTTGTCAAATTCTGATGATCTTTAGTTGGTAAAACGCTAACCAAATTTTGGTTAATGATCCCCACCAACAATTTGATGACGTCATTTTAAAGAGTTCTGCTTTAAAATTATTTAAATGTTATACAGTAATATACCCCTATACTTGTGGTGTATGAATCCGCTTTGAGTTTTTTCCCTAAACGTCCAAATGTCCACTAAAAAATTAGCACACAGTTTATCAATAGCATACGAAATCTCGACCACGGCGCAGGGGCTGCGGGGGTGTTGTTTATGCCTTTGGTGTTAATTTTATAGAGGTTATTACAAAACAAACATCCCAAAATCTAATTTTATAATTTTTCGAAGAAACAGGACTTGTACTTCAGAAGCCACGGAAGTTCTATCGAAATAAACTTCAACGAATTTTTTAAATAAAATAAAAAAGTAAACTGAACATTCGGACAACTGAAAAATCGAAACATTGAAAAATTACGAAAATTGAAAAACTGAAATGGAGAAGAACTGAAAACTCGACAAATCGAAAAACATAAAATTTTAGAAACCGAAAAATTTAAATACCGAAAAGTTGAAAAATTGAGAAATGTTAAAAAATTCCAAAATTGAAATATCGAAAAATTGAAAATAGAAGATAAATTGAAGAATCGAAAAACTGAAAAATCATAAAATGGAACGAAATATCCAAAAATTGGGAAATTAAAAAAAAATTGAAAAATTGAGAAATCAACAAGTCAAAAAAGCAAAGTCGAAAAATCACAAACTTAAAAACCCGAAAAAGTGAAAAATCAAAAATCAAAAACCTAAAAATCGAAAAATTTGTGACTTTGAGTCTTAAATGATATTTGTTTGTTTGCAGGGCGTGGGTTTGTGTAGGCAATGAGTGAAATAATTTCCAAAAACTATATTAACATAATAATATGCATATGCAACACACAAAACATAAAGGGCGCCAGTCGTTTTTTTCTATTTTTGAAAAACGACAAAAACAAACATTTGAATAGGTGTTTTGAGCTTTTCTTTTTTTTTATAGAATACACTGTAATTATTTGTGGCTCAGCACACTAGTCTTTATAACACTAGAATCTTAAACAAGTTAAAATTGATATCTAAACAAAATGAGCTTACAATTACAATTACTCAACCACCAGAAGCTATACTGATAAGATTTGTATACTGATCTTTGACTGATATACTTTTATTGCTATAACATTGAAATTCAAAGAAATATCTATTATGGAGCTTGGAACTTTTCTTTTCGGAAAATGAGCATTCGTGTACTTGAGCGTAATGATAAGTACCACCTGGAGCTGCCGCAAGACAACAAAAACTCTCCCCAAATGGGTGAGACTGGCCGCTAGACCCCCAAAGAACCACTCATAATATCACTAGACATAGGGTTAGCCCCTTTACAATACGTTAATAACAAGATCTAAATTATTCACTCTCTCGCATCTAACCTGTTTCTAACCTAAAAATACCTATGTTTACACGGAATTTTCCTTATGATATTGTGCGGGCAACAAGCAACCTAGAAGGTGTTCACCATGGGGTTGTGGCCTCCAGTTTTAAGATATTGAGTTACTGGAACCCTGCTACTTGCGCTGGTGGTCGCTACTTCCACAGATAAGGTGCTACCCCCGTGGTGATGGTTCCGTGGGTGTCATCAATCGGTTCCCTTCAGATAAGTCTCCAGTACTACTAATGTTTCAACGACAGGTCTCTGGTTGTAGGTAGTACCGAATCGTTACTCCCAGCACAACTTTTCACGGAGTTGAAGATGATACCAATTACAAGCTCAATCCAAGTAGCGAATGACTCCAGTGATCAAAATTGACGAATATTTCATGTTCCAAACTCGATAGTTAAAACCTAGGAAGTGGTGTTTTATTGACATGTTTATTTTAAGAGATCTCATGTGACTTTTATTTAAATATGAAATTTTGACTCACCTAGGTCTCATAGGTTTATTAAAATCTTCTTTAATTGTTTAAAATGGCTTGAAATCTTGGTTTTTATTTCACGTTTCTGACAACCACCATTTTGTCCAAAATCTTATCAGCAAACCCTTTTTTGTTCGCCTGACGTTGTATCGCTATAAAAACTCTCATGCCGAGGCGCACAATTTGAAATGCTCAAATCACCTACTCGTCCTTACTAAAGGAAGTTTAAATTATAGTAACGGGACCGTTACAAATTAAAGAATTGAAGAACTGAAAAATCGAAACTTTTGAAAGTCGAAAAATGGAAAATAAAAAAATAGATTAACTGACAAATCGGAAAAATAAAAAAATGTTGAACAACTGAAAAATCGACGACTCTAAAAATCTAAAATTTAAAACATTGAAAAATTAAAAAATGGAAAAATCGGAGCATCAAACAATCAAAAAAATAAAACTTCGAAAACCTAAAATTTTAAAATCGAAAAACTGAAAAATTAAATCAAGAAATCGATAATTTAAAAAATTGGAAAATTGAAAAATCGGATAACTGAAAAATCGAAACATCGAAAAATCCAAAAACCGACAAATCGAAAAAAATTCAGAAACTGAGACATGCAGAAATCGAAAAATCAAAAGAGGACTCGAAATGTTAAAAATGGAAAAATTGATAAGTCGAGAGATCGAACAATCAAAACATCGGAACATCCGAATCTCTATAAGTCCAGATCTCAAAAAATTGAAAAATCGAAAATTTAAAAATTCGGAAAATTGAAAAATTAAAATATGTACACAAGAACTGGAAACTCGAGAAATTGAAAAATCTAACATTTTAAAATTGAAAAATTAAAATACGAAAAGTTGAAAAATTGAGAAATCTAATTATAAAACAGGCGAGAAACTGAAAAATCTAACGTCTAAAAACGAAAAACTGAAAATCCGAAAAATAAAAAATTTAAAAATCCAGAAATCGAAAAATCTAAAAGTCGAAGAATCAAAGTATTGGAAAATCCCAAAACTGAAAGAAATATCAGGAAGTTGAGAAATTAAAAAAATGGCAAATTGGGAAATTGAAAAACCAAAGAAGCAAAGTCGAAAAATCGAAGAATTGAAGAACTGAAAGTTCGAGAAGTCGAGAAAAGGGAAAATCAAAAATAGATTAATTGAGAAATAAGAAAACTGAAAATTTAGCAACGTCAAAATTTGAAAAATTGAAACATTAAAATCAAAAAATCGAGAAATCGAGAGACCGAAATAGGCCAAAATCGAAAAATCAAGAAGTTAAAAATCGAAAAATTGATAAATCGAGAGAATGAACAATCAAAACATCGAAACATCCGAATCTCAGTAAATCGAGATTCCAAAAAATTGAAAAATTGAAAATTCAAAAATTCGGGGAATTGAAAAATTAATAAAATATAGAAGATCTGAAAACTCCAGAAATTGAAAGAAATATCAAAAAATTGATAAATTAAAAAACCCCAAAGTAAAAAATCGAGAAATCGAAAAATCCAGAACTCGAAAAGTCGAAATACTAAAAAATCCCAAAACTGAAATAGGGGAACATTGAAGAACCGAAGAACTGAAAAAACGAAAGTTTGGGAAGTCGAGAAATAGGAAAATCAAAAAATCGAAAAAAGTCGAAGAATCAAAGTTTTGAAAAATCCCAAAACTGAAAGTCGAGAAATCCAAGAATTGAAGAACTGAAAGTCGAGAAATGGGAAAATCAAAAATAGATTTATTGAGAAATCGGAAAACTGAAAATTTAGCAACGTCAAAATTTGAAAAATTGAAAAATAAAAATCAAAAAATCGAGAACTCCAGAGACCGAAATAGGCCAAAATCGAAAAATCAAAAAGTCGAAGATCGAAAAATTGATAAATCGAGAGAATAAACAATCAAAACATCGAAACATCCGAATCTCGATAAATCGAGATCCCAGAAAATTGAAAAATTGGAAATTCAAAAACTCAAAAAATTGAAAAATTAAAATATAGAAGATCTGAAAACTCGAGAAATTGAAAATATTATCAAAAAATGGCAAATTGAGAAGTCGAAAACCAAAAAAGCAAAGTCGAAAAAATCGAAGAACTGAAGAACTGAAAAATAGAAACTTCGAGAAGTAGAAAAATGGGAAAATCAAAAATGGATTAATTGAGAAATCGGAAAACTGAAAATTTAGCAAGGTCAAAATTTGAAAAATTTAAAAATAATAATACTGAAAAACTGAAAAAACAAGAAATCCAAAAATCGAAAAATCAAAAATTTAATACATCGAACAATTAAAATATCGCAAAATATCAGAAAATCAAAAAATAAAAATGCGAAAATCTGAAATTTAAAAAACGAAAAACTGAAAAATCGACAAATCGAAAAATCGAAACTCCAGAATTTAAAAAATCGAAAAATTGGAAAATAGAAAAAGTAAAAAGTCGAGAAATCGAAAAATCCAGAACTCGAACAATCGAAATGCCGAAATACTAAAAAATCCCGAAACTAAAATATCGAAAAATTGAAGAACCGGAGAACTGAAAAAACGAAACTTTGGGATGTCGAGAAATAGAAAAATCAAAAAATACATTAACTGAGAAATTGGAAAACTGAAATTTCAGAAACGTCAAAATTTGAAAAATTACTGTATCGTAAAATTGAAATCGAAACATCAAAAAATCAAAATAAAACTTCGAAAATCTAAAATTTAAAAATCGAAAAACTGAAAAATCAACAAATCAATAAATCGAAACATCGAAAAATTCAAAAACTGAGACATCCAGAAATCGAAAAATCAAAAGATCGAGAAATCGAGGAGTCGAAAAGTTGAGAAGTCGAAAAATCGAAAAACTGAGAACCCGAAATAGGTCAAAATCGAAAAGTTAAAAATGGAAAAAAAATGGATAAATCGAGATCTCAAAAAATTGAACAATCGACATTTCAAAAATTCAGAAAATTGAAAAATTAAAATATAGAAGAACTTAAAACTCGACAAATTGAAAAATCTAGAATTTTAAAAATTGAAAAATTAAAATATCGAAAAGGTGAAATATAAAACAGTCGAAAAATTGAAAATTCTGAAGTTTAGAAAACGAAAAACTGAAAATCCGGAAAATAAAAAATCGAAAAATCTGGAAGTCGAAAAATCTAAAAGTCGAAGAATCAAAATATTGGAAAATCCGAAAACCGAAAGAAATATCAAAAAATTGGAAAATTGGGATATCGAAAAACCAAAAAAGCAAAGTTGAAAAATGAAGAATTGAAGAACTAAAAAAATCGAAACTTTGAGAACTCGAGAAATGGGAAAATCAAAAATAGATTAATTGAGAAATTGGAAAAGTGAAAATTTAGCAACGTCAAAATTTGAAAAATTGAAAAATAAAAATACTGAAGAACTGAAAAATCAAAAAATCAAGAAATCGAAAAATCTAAAATTTAAAACATTAAACAATTAAAATATCGCAAAATTAAAAAATCCCGAAATCCAAACATCAAAAAACCAAAAAATAAAAATTCGAAAATCTGAAATTTAAAAATCGAAAAACTGAAAAATCGAGAATTTGAAACTCCCGAATCTAAAAAATTGAAAAGCCCAAAAGTAAAAAATCGAAAAACCGAGAAATCCAAAAATCGAAAAATTAAAAACTGAGATATCGAGAAATCGAGGAGTGGAAAGCCGAGAAGAAAAGTTAAAAATTGAAAAATTGATAAATCGAGAAATGAACAATCGGAACATCCAAACATCTGAATTCGGTAAATCGAGAAATCAAAAAATTGAAAAATCGAAAAATTTTAAATAAGAAAAATTGGAAAAATTTAAAAACTCTGAAAATTGAAAAATTGAAACATTGAAGAACTGAAAACTTGTGAAATCGAAAAACCCAGAATTTTAAAAATTGAAAAATTAAAACATCGAAAAGTTAAAAAATTGAGAAATCGAAAGATAGAATAATCGAAAAATGGAAAAATCCAAAGTATAACGAAAATCTGAAAACCCAAAAAGTCAAAAATCCGGGAGTCAAAAAATTGAAATATTAAAAAATTCCAAAACTGAAAGAAATATATAAAACATTGAGAAATTAAAAAAGTGAGAAATCGAAAAACTAAGAAGCCAAAAATCGTAAGCTTAAAAACTCGAAAAAAGAAGAATTGAAAAAATGGAAACTTTGGGAAGTCGAGAAATAGGAAAACAAAAAAAAAATAGTTCAGAAATCGGAAAATTGTTAAAATTTGACAATCTGAAAAATCGAAATATTTAAAAATCGTAAAATTGAAGAGGAAAAAAACTTGAGAAGTCGTATCATTGAAAATTGAGAAATCGAAAAAAAAAAATCAAAAAATCGAAAATTTGAAGAATGGAAAAATTGAAAAAGCCCAAAATTGAAATATTGGGAAATTGAGACATTTACAATCGAAAAATCGAGAAATCGAGAAGCCGAACAATCCCAATAGCGTATTTATAGACCACAAGTTCAGGACTACGCTACTTTTTAATATTTAAATAACAGATCAATTTTGACTAACGATTTAAATAAGGGTTAAAATCGTTCGCATCGTTGACAATAGTTTTATTACTGCTATTGTCAGCTGGGCAAGTTTATTTCTCGGTTTGCAGGTAAAGCAGAGTACGGAACTAAAATATTTATCAATATTGAAAGAAAACAAACAATATGATGTTGTTCAAGAACTTTGTTCACTTATTTGTTGTAAAGTCAGTAGATGGTCGAAACGGGTTAGTTCTTCGTAGTGGATGTGAATCAGCTTTAACGAAAGTCGGCTTATAGATAACATAAATCGCTTAGAGTCGATATTGGCCCGAGTGCGCTCTGGTCTGTGGATCAAACAAGTTCTCAATTGATGATTTCTGTAAAATATATGAAAAAATATTAAATTACCGGGTTGAAGATCACGTCCTGGAATTAGATAATTCTTTTAAGACCATACTTTTAGTGCACATTTTGCAATACTACAATGCTTCATATTAATAATGGTGAATTCATTTTCAATTGGTGTTGTTTGTATTTAATTTTGGCTATGTAGGCAACCAACAATACTCCAATGTTATCTATCTTTACAGGTCGATACGGTTTTTAAGTTTCAAGGGATCTAGGCTACCAGTTGATCGCGTCGCCTGGTTTCTAAGGATTAAAAATTTGACAGTTTTTGATATATGAACTTAACCTACATCCATATTTTATTGTATGATTGATAATTTATTTTATTGTTTTATTTATTTTATGAACACTTAGTATACCCTTGAGATTACCGTATAAAGTATTAATTACCACGACTAAAGTTCGTATCGTTTCTAAAATAAAGTGAGAATGCTTTATTTTATTCAGTAGTAAAAACGCTTATCTTAAAATGTTACTTGCTGACAGTTTATTTGTTTTAAATATAAATATTTACAAGTAAAAATCAGATAAATTCACTATTATATCCTTTGGGTGTTGAGGGGTATAAACAAAACAGCGTCAACTGGAATCCTGACAGAACACAACCCAGGAAATTGGGTATCTGAAATAGAATTGCTGACATTCATGGTTAGGATTTTAATACCAGTACCTGTATAAACTTATCTTCAAGAATAATCCCATACAGCAACCACTGCAACGACGTTATAAAACTGGCCAAAATAATTGGAAAAGGCAAACTTTCAGTACTTTTCATTTTAATTACATGTAAGAGAGACGCTAATGGCGCAGCAAAAAACAAAATAGTCACAATGCAGCAAACAATCCCCAGACATTTCTTAGCTTCTTCAAAACTCTCCTGATTTTGTACATACAACAACGTCGCAACCAAAACAGCAGTACACCCAACTGTCTGCCGTAACACCATCGACTACAAACAAACCATCAAAAGCCAAACCCACCACACATCCAAACCTACCTTCTTTATACTATAAATAAAAAACGTCACGACATAGGCGAAAAACAAGCTCGCCCCTATCGTATTCACTAAAATTATGGAACTATCATCAATGTAAAACCCGTAACGCAACCATAAACTAGTCGATAAACATCCACTAATGAAGGGGAATGGAGAAATGTCACCTGTACTTTTATTTCGAGCGATTTTCAAGCAAATCAACCTGAAAGAACCCACTTAAATTCATTCAATATAAGATAAGGCACTTACGTTCCACTTAAAAACTGTAAGATCGTCGAGATAGATGCTGTCGGCGCTATTATGTTTTTTAATTCGTCTAAACTCATTACTGCACATCTTTTGTCAGTGCGACGCGTCAAGCTATGATAAAAATGTAATTTCTGATAAGAGTCTCAGCCTAACAAGCAAACTTGGCAGCATTGAATTGTAGAAAAAGCAAAGTGGCAGTGGACGTAGGCAACCAGTGATTCAGCTCATCTGTTCGAAGGAGCGGGTTTTTTGAATTAGGTCCTAAATTTATCAATACAGGCGAGATATACTTAGACCAGAACTCTTGTACGGAGTAAAATTTCATTACGACAAATCCCCTCCTTCAGTTAAACCCTCATAAAAATTAGTGGAAGTCAGTAGATGCCTCTCTCCTTGAACAATAAAAAAAACTCCAGTTTAATAAATAAATGTTTTAATTTAAAACACTTTCATTAATGTAACACTTTCAGTTGCCATATTCTTTTAAATATATCCTACATCTATGAATTAAAAATAAGAGTATCAACCTAAGACTGCTGATGTATTGATATTGATCCTATTCTGGCGAATTCAACCAATGATAAAATTTGAGCGTTTTAATTGAGTCCACCATGGCCCATGACCATGCAGTGCCAATAAAATAAAATACACTTTAAAGATAACCACTAATTATACTAATTTGACATAACGATACTATCACAAAGTGGAAGAACATGCCATGCTCACGTAATACTAAAAAGAGAGAACCCAGCTTCTGACAACTCGCCACAAACCAGTGGAATGTCTTTAACGCATGTTTCAAATACAATTAAAAACAACAAAGCTTCCGCCAGAGTTTCTTTTTCTTGCGGTTCCTCAAAGCCAGAGTGATGGCCAGATCGAAAGCTTCCTTTAAATGATAACAGTCCTTGGCTGACGTCTCGACGTAGGGCGCGTTGAGCCTTTCCGCTAGGTCGGAGGCTTCGGACGGAGATACTGGACGTTGTCGGCGCATTCTTAGACCGTGAAGAATATCGGCGTTTTCGCGAAGATCACTTTGGGTTCCCACTAGGACCGCGGCGGCTCCGAGTCTTGTCAGTTCTTCGGCCCAGCGGGTGCATGCGGAATGGAAAGAAGAGGGTTTTACCACGGAAAAGCAGAGGATGAAGACGTCGGCGCCGGGGTAGCAGAGGTTACGTAGAGGGATTAAATCGTCCTGGAAATAGAAAAATATATTAAAACACACACAATCGCGTAAACAAACATATTAATTACAGCTTCGGCGTCGGTTTCTTTAATTGGAGTTTTATTGTAAATTTCGAAATAATTTAGCCACAAAACAAATAATATAATTTCTTGCTCTAGTCAATTAAGATAAAAAATGGGCCCGTCGGGAAGTCCACAAACAAACCATCTCGTGTTGTTTTTAATCGGCAAGCGTTTGTTCGTTGGGCTACTATTCACGAGGAAGTTCTTTATTGTGGCGCTTGGTCATGTTTTGTGTTACTGATGTAATATTTAGATTTGGACCCCCATAATCTACCGCGGAATTTGCTTCATAGAGATAAACGTTATTTGTTGTGCAACATTTATTTTTTTTTTATGGCGCTGAACCTAATAAATGACGCCCCATAATTCGAGGTAAAAATAATCACGCAACTTGAATAAATCTTCGTGTTGGACCATGGACCGTTTTAGAGAAGTTACAAGTGGGTCAACTTTTACTCGTGCCAAAAGAAAGGTTTTTTTTTAGTTTGGCGAGTTTTTGGAACGAGATTGTTTGATAATGTTGGTCTAGGGTGGAATTAATTTGAATAAAAAAGGTGCAAGAGGTGCGCTTCTAGTTTGAGTCATTGCTGTTTACCGCATGTTCTTTCACAAAGACCACAGGTCTATTTTCGTGTACCTGCATGAGTAAGAGAACTCTTGGATGAATCATTCGGTGGCCGAAGGTTTCTTTTATCCCAATTTATGACAAAGTGGGTATATTTTACCTCTAGTCATTGGCGCCGGGTGCATAGGGGGCTAACAAAATGCAAAATAAAAATAGTTATTATTTCCGGATTATAAGCTAATTTCATGGTTGCAGAATACGGAAACGTCAGTCGCTCTTTTCCGCCTGTTTGTCTGTCTTATACGACAGACAATTTCCGAAACTACTGAACTGATTCCCTGTCATCTACTGTAAGATTATTATTAGCATGTTAAAAAATAGTTATCACAAATTTGTAATCAGTAAAGTATTTTCCCGTAACCTGTTTTTTCAACAAAGTGAATTCATTCACTTATTATTTTATCTAAATTGATTATGTACATACATAGACATTATAGAATGTCCTGATCGTAAGTGTATGATTAATGAAATAGGCATTTATACGTGCATGACTATTTTTAAATTATAAATGTTTACACAATTTTATGGGAAATTTCGTCAAAATCAATGCACATATCACCGGACTTTATTAAATATTTAAGTGCGAAGTAAAACTTGATCCTAAAAATTTGATTTGTTAGTATGATCACGTAATCAATTAATTGCATAATTTGAGTTGATGACTCTTATATAAACCGGACTCGACATTGCTAAATTGAAATATTCATTTTATCTGTAATTTTATTAAAGAAATTTGTGGGAAGACAGAACTTCCCTTATCCCTGAAGTGCAGTCCAACAAATCCTGCTTCTTTGAAAAATTATAAAATTTATTTTTGCGTAATTTAACTTTTTTATGATAACATCTATGGAATAAAAACAATATAGAAAAAAACAAGGTGTCACCTTCTTAAAAAAAAGACAGTTGGGGCCCCGAGGTTTCACTTTCTTAAAAAGAGGACAGTTGGGGCCTTCGAGAAACTTTCACCTTCTTTAAAAAAGAGACAGATGGGACTCCTGAGAAGGTTTTACATTCTTAAAACAAGACAGTCGGTGCCCCTGAGAAGGTTTCACTTTCTTAAAAAAAAGCAGCTGGCGTCTCCTAGCTTTCACATTCTTAAAAAAAACAGTTGGGGCCCCCGAGAAAATTTCCTCTTCTTTCAAAAAAGGCAGTTGGGACCCCTAAGAAGTTTTCACATTCTTAAAAAAAAAATAAATAAACAGAATCTCCGAGAACGTTTCACAAAATCGAAAATTCCTTCGACATAAATTTCTGTCTAGAGACTGATTTTGGCAATTGATATACTCTTGAAAAAAATAAAGGGTGGGTGGGCGGGGCCAATACTTGCCAAGGTAAGACAGATTTTGCCAAATGATATACCCTCTACCCTTCATTTTCTTAGAGGGTATGTCATTTGGCAAAATCAGTGTTATCTTAGTAATAATACCCGTCCACTCGCCCTTCATTTTCTTAGAGAGTAGGTCATTTGCCAAAATCGGTCTTATTTTAGCAGGTACTAGCCCCGCCCACCCACCTTCTTTTTTCTTAGATGATATGTCACTTGCCAAAATCAGTTTTATCTTAGCAGGTACTAGCCCCGCCCACCCACCCTCTCTTTTCTTAGAGGATATGTGATTTGCCAAAATTAGCCTTATCTTGGCAATACGTCACATTTGTGTATTCAGGTCGTCAAAATATCTCTCTTCGAATTTTTTGTGGAATTTTAGGCAATATCGCGATAAGCTCAACTTTTCAATGCTCCCAAAGCAACATTTTGACTTTTTCTCGATGACTTTCGAAATTTAGCATTGATTTTTCTGTTGATTTCGATTTTCTGAAGTTTTACGAGGTTTCAGTTCTTAGAAAATTCTCATCGTTTTTCCAAAATCGCCAATATAAAATATTGCAATTTTTGAGACATTTTCAAAATTTGACTTTGAAACCGAATATTTCGAAAACCAGTTGTCCTTTTGATTTGGGATTTCTTTCACTAATAGACCGATCATTACTGCCTAAACATTATTTTTGTTATAATTTTTGGTCTCCTAGTTTTTCTAGAATTGGGCAAATACGTCCTTGGCAAAAATGCTGCGATAGTCTCGGAATTTTCGATGATAGTTCTCCATCTTGGTCCAAAAACATGTGAATTCAGCTGGTTAAAATCTATTGCTCAAAATTGTTTGTGAATTTTTAGGCAAAATCGACAAAGTGTAGTCCAAGAAGTCCCGCTTCATCAAATACCGCGTGATCAGAAATTAGTGGGTCTGTTGACAATCTTGGATTTTTAGTTAAAGTTGGTATCATGATGTTTTCTATTATTTCCAGTTGAATCTTTCTCAAAATTGACAGATTGTTGACATTTTACTTTCCGAGCGTAAGTTAAAAAAGTATAGTAATCAAGTCCATTGGACGAATAGCCACTTTTATATTTTCTTGACGTTTCATGACCCCTAGAATACGAAAAAAGTAGTCTTCCGTTTCCGTCCGTCTGTCTGTCTGTTCGTCTGGTGTCTGTATCCATTTTTAATAGACACAGAACTGCTGGAGTAAATTAGAAATATCATGTAGATGGTTAAATGCTAACCAAAATTTTGCTAATCATCCCCACCCACAATTTGATGACGTCATTTCAAAGAATTCTATGTTTATTTGATTTTACTATTATATAACAATATATGTAGTCCTAAAATGTGGTGTACGAATCCGCCTTGAGTTTTTCCCGGTCGTCCTCTAGTGATTACGAGTCAGGAATGCAGACCAGACTTCCCGCGTTTGATTCCAAACATTTTTTTCTCTTTTTCTCTCGCATTGTGTATTATCTATGTTTATGACGTCATAACAAATTTTTTATTGATGAAATTACACCACTTTCTCTTTATTTAAAAATAGAAAACCTTCGCGGGGTCGCCAAATGTCTTTTTTTTTTAAATAAAACCTTCACGGGGACGCCAAATTTCTTTTTTTAAGCATGTGAAACCTTCTCGGGCGTCCCAACTGTCTTTTTTTTTAATGTAAAACCTCGGGGGCCCAATCTATTTTTTTAATGTGAAACTTTCTCGGAGGTACCAACTGTCTTTTTTAAAAATGTAAAATCTTCTCAGGGGCGCCAAATGTCTTTTTTTATGTGAAACCTCGGGGGCCCCAATTATCTTTATTAAAAATGTAAAACCTTCCCGGGGGGCCCAAAGGTATTTTTTTTTAATGTGAAACCTTCTCGGGGGTCCCAACTGTCTTTTTTAAAAGTGTAAAACCTTCTCAGGGGCGTCAAATTTCTTTTTTTTTTAAGAATGTGAAACCTTCACGGGCGTCTCAATTGTCTTTTTTTTAATGTAAAACCTTCTTGGAGGCCCCAAATGTTTTTTTTTAATGTGAAACCTTCTCGGAGGTCCCAAATGTCTTTTTTAAAAATGTAAAACCTTCTCAGGGGCGCCGACTGTCTTTTTTATGTGAATTAATCTTCTCGGGGGTCCCAACTGCCTTTTTTTTTTTAAAGAAGAGGCAATTTTCTCGGGGGCCCCAAATATCTTTTTTAAGAATGTGATACCTTTCTTGGGGGTCACAATGGTCCTTTTTTAAAGACGCCGAAACCTTCTCGGGGGCCCCAATGTATTTTTTTAATGTGAAACCTTCTCAGAGGTCTCAACTGTCTTTTTTAAAAATGTAAAACCTTCTCAGGGGCGCTAAATGTCTTTTTTTATGTGAAACCTCGGGGGTCCCAATTATCTTTATTAAAAATGTAAAACCTTCCCGGGGGGCCCAAAGGTATTTTTTTTTTAATGTGAAACCTTCTCGGGGGTTCCAACTGTCTTTTTTTTAATGTAAAACCTTCTCGGAGGCCCCAACTGTCCTTTTTAAAAGTGTAAAACCTTCTCAGGGGGGCCAAATTTCTTTTTTTTAAGAATGTGAAACCTTTTCGGGCGTTTCAATTGTCTTTTTTTTTATGTAAAACCTTCTCAGGGGCGCCGAATGTCTTTTTTATGTGAAATCTTCTCGGTGGTCCCAACTGCCTTTTTTTTTAAAGAAGAGGCAATTTTCTCGGGAGCCCCAAATGTCTTTTTTAAGAATGTGATACCTTTCTTGGGGGTAACAATTGTCCTTTTTTAAAGACGGCGAAACCTTCTCGGAGGCCCCAATGTATTTTTTTAATGTAAAACCTTCTTGAAGGTCTCAACTGTCTTTTTTAAAAATGTAAAACCTTCCCGGGGGGCCCAAAGATATTTTTTTTTTAATGTGAAACCTTCTCGGGGGTTCCAACTGTCTTTTTTTTTAATGTAAAACCTTCTCGGAGGTCCCAACTGTCCTTTTTAAAAGTGTAAAACCTTCTCAGGGGCGCCAAATTTCTTTTTTTTTAAGAATGTTAAACCTTCTCGGGCGTTTCAATTGTCTTTTTTTTTAATGTAAAACCTTCTTGGAGGCCCCAAATGTCTTTTTTAAAAATGTAAAACCTTCTCAGGGGCCCCAAATGTCTTTTTTAAGAATGTGAAACTTTCTTGGGGGTCACAATTGTCCTTTTTTAAAGACGGCGAAACCGTCTCGGGGGCCCAAGTGTCTTTTTTTTAATATTAAATCTTTTCTTGGCTTCCAACTGTCTTTTTTTAAGAAGGGGAAATCTTTTTTTTCTATTACACTGTCACTAATACCTTCTATATTGTTTTTACTCCATAGAGGTTGTCACGAAAGAGTAAAAATAATTCCCCAAAATCAATTTTTTTAATTTTTCAGAGAAGCAGTATTTGTTGGACTGTACTTCTGAAGCGAGGGAAGTTCTATCCAAAAAAAACTTTCGACCAGTTTTTTAAATTTATCATATGTCACGATTGACATATCTATCACAGAATTACTGCCGTTATGTCAACATAAACGCATGAAAAGTTCACATTTTTGTTTAAAAATTACTGTCAATGATCACGCGGTTTTATAAAATTTGATTAGTCTACATTCAATTTTCACAATGACAGAACAATAGTCCAAGATTTCCTAGCCCCGATTGTATTTAAAGCAAATAACCAATGGAAAAAATGTAGGTGTTCTCAATTTCTCAGTACATGCTTAACATCGACTGTTTATATTTATAAAAAAATTCGACTGTTAACACGTTCAGATTACAAGCATCAGCGGATAAAATGAAATTTGATTTTGTCTCTTCAACGCAGAAGAGACGACTGATTAATCAATTAACCACACTCAGTTTTTTTTTCAAAAAACACTCACAAATTTGAAGAACATTTATTTATTCGGCAAACCATACTTTCAATAACTTTATGATATTTGTAAGATTTCACAGCATTCGATTTTACAATTTCATTTTTCGTAGTTTAGGGGTCATGAAACGTCGAGAAAAAACAAGTAAAGAATATTAAAGATTTTACTTACAATTTTTACGTATTTAAACACTTAACGCGTCTTTTCTCCACGACTCGTATTTCCCCATACATTAATTGATTAAATCGCGCATTGCACGAATTAAATGCCAGAGGAGTTAAAACCCAAATTATGCTCATAAACATTTCTTCGAATAACTATAATTTAAAGCTTTATTAGAAGGTCGAATTGTAAACAAATTTATGCTTTCATAAACACTAAATGCAATTAGAGACTTTTAACATGGGAATTTTTACCGATCACTTGATGCTCATTAACAAATTGTTCCACAGTTTAGGTACCTACCAAATTAATTTACTTAGCACATTTTATTTTTACTTCATTAAATTAAAAACACACACAAACACAGTAAACGCGGATTGTTTTAATTTTTCAAGTTAGAACCCGCACCATCTAAAGAGTCGACGCCTATGCCTCTAAAAGGCGAAGGAACCCACAATACCACACACCATCACACATAAAGAAAAAACGTTTACCTCGCCAGCTGTATCGCAGAGATCCAGTCTAATTGGCTTTCCGTCCACCTGTACCTCGACTGAAACAAACAAAAGATACATTAGGTCGTTGAAAGCTTCGAACCTACCAGTAGATCACATCCGATATTTTTAAAATTGTTGATCGCGTAAAACGCTTGAGCGGCAGGTGACAGGATATTCGTGACAAGAACGAAATTAAAAAATTCCGTCACATTATGACTGGAAATGACCGAATTCGAAATTATATGCGTCATGGCAATTACAGCACTTCAGTCAGTTCAGCTCTATTATTTTTTTATGAAAAACGAATCAATATTTATTCGCCAAAAACTTATTGTTTCATGTTTATCGGAAAAAAACCTTTTGCAAACCGTGAGTCACTCGATTATAGTAAAGATAAATAGATTTGATAAAAAAAGCAATTAAACATTACGTGTGTTTTGAGAAATTATTGCAACACCGTTTTTTATGCGTCTAGAATTTCGATAAAATGCAAGCTTTTGTATACAATGTGTGAAAACGGTTGCTGACCCCTATGTATAACACACGACAAAGGAGGCCGCTTTTACGCGAATCGCGTAAATGCATTACTTTTTACGTGTTTTTTATGAATTAATAACGTCGGAAACGACCATAATAAAAGTGAATAATGACGATAATATTGCACAGCGATAAGGTAATGATCCATGCCGTGGCTTCGTTAAAATTTTCGAACGAAGTGCGAAAGTTATCACAGCTAATTAATGACTAAAGTTTCCGGGGATCGACCGCACTGAAGATCGAGCTTTGTGTGCAACGAAATGGATTCTTAGAATTTTGGTTCATCAACTAGTTTTCTAAATTAAGAAATACAAAAAGTGGTTTTGAAGTCAAAACATTTAAGTTATACTAAAAACAAACACAAAATAGATGTATTATAAATGTTTCTGTTATTTAATACCGGTGTACTTTACAGGAGACTTGCTTAATATCTTTGTTTCCAGAGCGGTGATAAGCTGTTTCAGAGATAATCGATAACATAAATCGGCGACTCTAAAAAAAGCTTATTGTTATGAACTAAATATCGCATCTAAGGTTATGGTTTTTCGATGCAGGTGACTTATTAATGTTTGTCTTGAGATGACATCATTTCTTTTTAGAATGGATAAATACATAATTTTGGTTAATGGTAATATCTTATCAAAATTTAGAGATAAAGTGCACAATTTGGGTCGTTCTAATTGATTTTTTAACACAATCCAATAAAAGTGTCCAATCATTAAAAAAGGAGAATTTTATATTGCACACTTGAATTGATATTTACTCGACAATGTTTAGAAACGATGATATCAATTCTTTATAAAGGATAAATATACAAATGATAGCAAATCTTCACGATAATCTTAAAGTACATCTAGAATTGTAAAATAAAAGCATCTTCAGACTACAGACTTTGGTCCTAATGTTAATTCGGTTTTACTTCCTAAGGTATAGTCTATTTAAGTTGCCATGTAAATTGATTATGAATTTTTTTTCGGAAAATGTTGGCTCAGAAATCTAGTCATCTTTTTCAAAAACGGACGTCGAAGTCGTAGGTAAACATTTTATGTTCGAGTCCATCCTTGGTACAAGGATCAAAATGCATAGCAAATTTGGATGAACAAACATTTATAATTACTGTGCACATACAGGGTGAGTCACTAACGCGCGTTTCTCGATATTTCATTAATTTTTAGAAGTAGATTCATTTTGATGCGATATTGCTACGTTATTCCAATTTTCTTGAAATTTTTAGAAATGAAAGGGTTCAAACATGGGTTATTTTTAAAGTCTATCTTTCAATATTTTGTGGAGAAGTACGCACTTTGTTGTGGCATACGTGAAAATAAATTTTCATTTACAGAGTGTTTAAATTCTTTTAAATATTATAATTTTCAAATATCGATATTCCAGTTTTTTCTGTATTTTATTACTGCATCTTATAATATTCTTTGTTTTCTTTCTCCTTTGTGAAGTATTGTCAATATTTAGAATTGATGGTTACTGCGATTTTTGTTTTAAGAGACACAAGTGTAATAAAATACAGGGTGTTGCATGTGAAAAAAATTGAAGTATCGATATTTGAAAATTGAATAATAATATTTTGCAATATAACTTTGAAACCACAAAACCGATTGCTCTGAAATCTTGTAAATACACTGCCCGACAAAAAAAACCCGGACACTTGATTTTTTTGTGATTACTTGTAATTGGTCGAACTTTTGTTAAAAATATTCCTTAATCCTTAATGAATTCATTAATAGGAAATATAACTTTATTCTAGAACAATTCCTTTATTGCTCAACATCTTCTCTTTTATTTTTCTAGCCTTTTAATACTTTTTCGCGAAATTTCACTATTTTATTTTTTTAAATACATACTTGGTTTTTAACCTAAAATTTTGATTTTTTTTCCCAAAATCTCGTCTTTATTTTTTCTGAAGATTTTTACCAATTTTCAAGTTTTCATATTTTTCATAAGATTATAACCCTTTTTTCAAAATTTGTATGTATTTCTCACAATTTTGACTTCTTTTCAAAAGCCTTTTGATATTTTGGTCCCAGCCATCAAATTTTGCGACCTTAACTTCCTTTAAGTTTGGACTTTAAGGTTTCAATATCTAAAAAAAGTTTTCGTTATGATTAATTTTGCAACATCTCTTTTTTCCTAGCATTTTAGTATTTTTTTCCCGAAATTTCACTTTAAAATTTTATTTTTTTTATTTATTTTTTTGAAATATTTGTCTCTTAATAACTTAAATTTTGATATTTTTTCAAAGTCTCATCTTTTCTGAAGAGTTCTTTTGTTAATTTTAAATTTTTCATCACTTTGAGTGCGTCCACAAAAGTTCAGATTCATTCTTAATTTTTTACTAATGATCAATTTTTCAATTGATATACGCTTTTTTCAAAATTTTGACTTCTTTTCCACAGCCTTTTGATATTTTTTTCGAAAGCATCAAGTTTTAAGATCTTAATTTCCTTTAAATTTCGAGTTCAAGGTTTTCAGATCCGATCAAAAGTTTTCGCTTTGACTTTTTGTTCAACATCTTTTCTTTATTTTTGTAGGTTTTTAATATTTTTTCTCGAAATTTCACTTCAAAACTTCGTTTTATTAGTTTTTTTGAAATGTTTGGCTTTTAACAAACTAAAATTTTCTTTCTTTAAAAAAAATTATAACACTAAAGGTTAGCGTAAATTTACAAATATTCAAATGTCAGGGTTTTTTGTCTGGCAGTGTATTTTAAGGTTATCGTAATCATAGTAAATGGTTAAGCAAAATTTAGTCGTTTATCTCCTTCAAAAAAATTGATGACGTTATTTCAAAATTTTGCCGAATAAATCCTACCCAAAATGTGCAAAATATGACAACTCTATCCTTGTGATTAAAAAAATTAAATAAGTTTAACTTTTCCTTATTGAGTCTTCAATAAAAAGACAATAGCCCCGCCCACCCACCCTCTTTTCGTTCTCATGACTACTCTTAATACTGTTAACTAATGACAACATTATTATTTTATTCTTAGGCAAATCTATTGAACCGTTGGTGAGAAAATAGATCAGTTGTTAAACAAAGTATCTAGAAAATATTAAGCCGGTGTTAAATAAGCAAACCAGAGGTGAGCATCATATTTACAAAGCAAGATTGTTGATGCTCCTCCCACTCGCATAAGCTCCACCTTAATAAATCATTTCATTGGCCTGCAGATGAACGACTGTTTGCAATTATACCTCATTGTGTCTACATGATGTTTTATTATTTAAGTGTAAACGTTGACGACAAAATCGTTAAAAAAATTAAATTTACCAAAAAATATATTTTATTAAGAGAAAATTTGCAATCTTATAGATCCTATTTATCTCAGAACTAATAAAATGAATGATCAAAACCGAGTAGGGGTGGGCGGGCGGGGCCAATTTTTACTCCGTTTAAAAAATCTTAAATTCTACCGTTTGTCAAAACAGAATTCATATCCCATTTTACAATAAGCAAATAATAGCCCCGCCCACCCACCCCTTCTTCATTCCAGTGACTGTACTTAATATTGCTCAGTCATATCTTAGCAAGTGCTAGCCCCACCCACCCGCCCTCTATTTTCTTAGGGGTGTTATTTGTCCAAATCGGTCTTATCTTGGTAGATACTAGCCCCACCCACCCACCCACCCTTTATTTTCTTAGAGAGTGTGTCATTTGTCAAAATCAGTTTTATCTTAGCAAGTACTAGCCCTGCCCACTCGTGCTGTTTTCATTCTAACGATTTTATTTCTGTTCAGTATAAGATTCACCTCTCATTCCGACCAGATAAAATAAATGAGCAAAACACAAGGCGGGGTGGGTGGGCGGGGCTAATTATATTCTTCTGTCGAATGGGAGTGGAAACTAATAGAATCTAGGATGCGAAAAATGTAAACAAAACGCTAATCGTAACTGCTTTTTATTTAAAAAAGTAATTTCTTGTATACAAAATTTATTTCTTATTTCAGAAGGAAAAAAGAAAACGGACGGGTGGGTGGGTGGGGCTAAGTTTAACTTTTCTTTCCTGAGTCTTTTATAAGTAAGTAATAGCCCCACCCACCTACTCCCCCTACGTTCCAGTGGCTACTCTGTTAATTAATAATAACATTATTATTTTATTAGTATCTTCAGCAAATCCATTAATCTATAAAAAATTATAAAAATTAATGAATGAGTCAATTTATTTTATTGATTAAATCGGGAACGACCCACTCCATTTTCCCAAAATTTGGGAATACAATACTGTTGTCATTAGTATAATAATAGAAATAACCTTCGACCAATTTTGTTATAAATACTATTAAAATTTGATTTAGCTGATACTACAACAAAAGGCGTACCTTCCACAAAATATTGTAAAACAGACTTTAAAAATACCCATATTGCGATTTTTTGTGAACACTTCCATTGCCAAAAATTTTCAGGAAAATTGGATAACGTGGCAACGTCGCATCGGAATTTCAAAAGTAAAGTTTGATGGTAAAGCCTAAGAAGAAGTCAATCAAAACATGTAAAAATATATAGGGTGTTTCATTTATAAAATGCTGTATAGTTGACGATTCTTTCAATTCTCAGGTGTGTTTCTTTTGGACATAACACACCCTTATTACATTATATTCTGTTGTTATTTTTTAACAATCGTTTTAAAATTCTTTTGAGTCCTTGCACATTATATTTTCAAACGTCTGTTGCCATCCAACGTCTTTTTAAAATTACTGAACCTATTTTTTTTCAAAGGACCAGAGTACGAGCAAACAACGAATCGAATCACAACATATCTAATAGGTGACTATTGTGTGAAAAACCAATCAGAATTATATGAAAAGTTGTTTCAATGTTTAAATTTGATATGTGAACTATTTTGTTAAATGCTTGTTGTTAAATTGAATTGTCATAGCAAAAACGTTATACGGCCAGGGAAAGGTTAATTATGTTATGACAAGAGTGACAAATGTCTTTGTATGTATAATAAATAAACTTTCTAAATTGCGCAAAGCTGTTTTTCAAAAGTATCTTTCGATATTGCATATTTATCCAGTGTCACTTTGAAGAGAGTTTTTGAAGAAATTAGGCATCTACAACATTTTTTCTGTTTGCGATTCCTGGAGGTATTCAACACCTACCACATTCGCCTGGAGGAATCAGCCGACTACTACATTTTTAACTGCACACCACGATTGATTCCACAGTCTTTCAGCTTTAAAATAACGAAAATTGGGAACGTACAGAATTGATAATTGAATTTGAAAAAAATATTCGGCTAGGCAAGATCACGACATTACCAGAATGTCAACAGTTTAATGATCTTATGGATGACGCATCCAGTTATTTAGTGGAGGCAGATAATGGATTTTGATATCTGCTTGCAATTTCAGGAAACTCGTTAAGCTATTTCATAGAAAACCGATATCTTAATTTTTGTCAAACATCCTGCCAAAACAAAAGCTGCCAGAACGTACTTTTCCGCAATAACTTATTAAATATTTCTCTGACGTTATCAAAGGGAGATGAATAAACTTTGGTTAATATTCTGTAAACCCTAATCTGTGATAAGCTGTAAAATCTGAGAGTCGGACCCAACCTTGTTTGTTTAAGTTAATTCGCAACCTATAAAGTTGTGGTAGACGTTTTGATCTTTTGACGTCATCGATTTTTTGGGGATGGACAAAAAATTTTGATTAGTGTTGCACCACTTTCACGAATATGTTAGAGGATATCTAATTATCAAGGTAATGCGGTAGTTTCGGGTATTACCTGTCTAATAAAATCGCCTACAAACTACAAACGAAAATTGTATTAATTCAATGGTGCACCATTTCCATATTCCTTCAAAATTACAACGAACTTATTCCAGTTAATAAACCCGGCGACTTTTATCACTGTCCCTATTTAGCGCAAGTCAAAAGGTTAAACACCCCGACCTTATCACCTCGTTTGTTGCAATAATTACCATTATTAAACTCATAAAAAATTCAATTTATCCACATACTGAGCAACTCTAGAGCACCACTCTCCTGGGAAAGGCACGATCTAGTGAAACCTGAATCATACACTATAAAAAATTAACAACTCTCTTACTACTAATAATAATAATAATAACAGTGGTGTGGGGCCGCCAGCCAGCGTGACGCGCACACTTTGTTTGAAACAGCCTGTACATCGTCGTTCTTATTCATCGCTGGCCGCGATTAGCGTTGTGCAAATTTGCATACGTACTTAATAGGCACTTTGAAACTCCTGTATAAATATGGATATGAAAAGAATGGCTCCGTAAAGGCATGAATGTGTCTACAACGTACAAGACCAAAGCAAGGTCACGTCACAGCCTTCTTTCGACCTTTCAGCCCCGCTTTCCTCGCGAGCAGGTAGAGGAACACGGTCAAAAAAAAGGTCGATTTCGTAATCACCCATTCGAACTTACCGTTGTAATTGTCGTAGGCTGTCGGGACATACTCGCTGGGAAAGCTGTCGTTACTGTAGGACACCGCCAGTGCCGTTTTCCCGACTTCTTTGTCTCCGACGATAACGCACTTGATTTTGTTCTTGCACTTGCCTTTCGTCTTGGATTTCCGGGAGGCGCCGCTCGAGAATATCACAGGTGTTTCGTGGGTCAGAAGGGGTTGTTTTGTGTAATGAAGGTTCACGTTACATTGAGGAGTCATCTTGATCGACAAGAAGGGATGACCATAGTCGGGTAGGACGAGAGGTTGGAGGGTGGTTAGTGGTAGCGAGACTTGGAGGGTTAGTTGGTTTGTTTTTGTGGTGATGATATGTTTTGGGGGTGCATGTCACTTTTCACTTGACAACACGGAGATCACAGACACTTTGTCATTTTGACTTCTAGATACAACTAACGTCAGCGGACGAATGACTGGATTGGTGGATTGGCGTGTAGATGAGGTTTTCACCTGTGTCTGGGCGCAGCTGGCTACATCTAGTGACAAATCTAGAAGATTTTTTAGATTTCTGTAATTTTATAAATATTTTCAAAATTATTTAGTTAAATGTTGCGACATTAGCATCTATATTTTGACTCTTTCAAAATTTCGTTACGTTTTTTTTTCGAATGTAAAATATATTGTGTATACATATATGTATTCCAAGTTGCATATACTCCCCGGCGTTTACAAAGTCCCATGACAATAATGATTTTTGATTTTGATGGAAACGATTGAGAGGTTATAGAAAAAAGTCCATAATAGGATATATTAATGTCAACAACAATAAGATATAACAAGAGATATTTATAAATACATTTATCTATAACCAACACAACTACTCTTTAATGAACGGCATGAAAAATGCAAAGAAGCTAATGGAATCTTTCACTAAGTAACCTAGTCGATTCTGCTGGTTGTTCTCTACCATTAAGGTAACGCCACGTCATAACAAGAACCTGAAAATTTTGACAGGTCTACGATTTTTTTTTACTATTATTTTAAATCACTAACCTCCACAAACCCCCATGTGATAGAGATGACAGCAACTGCTATAATTTTAGGAATTATGGTTTTCTGAAAAACAGACACACATCCATTTTCGTACAAAGTATTTTTGTCGAAGATGCTTTCATAACAACTAAAAGGATACTTTTCAAAACCAGACGAAATCCAATAGTGAGGGCCTTCAACACCGCAACATTTAAACTAAAATAATTAATTATTAATCATTTAAATCAAGCTTATTTCTGCCGAACTTACATTTTGCTGGATGGTATCAACAACCATCCTTTTGTCGTTGTCGTTCTGATCGTTGACGTACTCTTCAAACACTTTTTTTACAACGTGGTGTACATCGCCATCGTTGTTAGAAACAGCAGCTAAGGCTAAACTTCCTAAGATAATCAGAAGGATGAAGATTATAACGCGCAAACAACTAAACTAAAAAAAATAACAACAAAAAATCACGTAAAGAGGTAACTCTTACAGTCGGTTCGTCTGTATATGCTCCAAGTAAAATCAAAAGAATGGTAATAATTCCCATGGTCAACGCAAAAGCACCTAGTGATGTTGAAGTGAATCTGTCGATGCCTTTGCTTTCGTCTGATAAAATTCCTGTACCAACACCTATCAAAGAACCAGCAGCCACCTATTTTGGAGTAGCGATATATTAGTGACATTTTTACACGAAATAAAGTCTTACCAAGAGTACAAGGTTCAGAAAGAAAACAATAGGCACACTTTCATTTCTCCTTTGGTGGTTGTTATTCAGAATCTGGTACATTGTTCTTTTACGTAAAACTTACTCTTAATAAATGTATGTATCACTCGTTGTAAACGATATTTTTTGTTGTAAAGTAGTCAGCACATGTGATAGCATGTTTTTAGTTATGTGATTGCATGTTTATATTACAGCGGTCATGTTTCGGGTTGATAAGCTGTCCGGTTTATCATAATAAAGAACAAAATAAGACGTTTTCATATTTAGTAACAAGGCTGCCCTAGACATAAAAGCTTTAACACACTAAAAATTAAAAACTTAGAAACCCAAATACATGTACTTCAGGTTGAGTAACCAAAAAAAATCCAGCAGGTATAGTAGCCTGCATAGATATTGTAGCCGTCCATAGAGTCGAGATTTGCGAATAAAAATAAAATAAAACCGGCTCAAACGGAGCCGACGACGGCTTGTAAGTTCTGTCACTACGGCACGCGTCATATCACACAACCGATGATCTAGAGAAAGATGGAAGTTTGAAAATTTATTTCAACAAGTGTAATAACCGTTTGGTGCAACACAATTGGTTCAAGCAAAGTAAAATATGACAGGAAACAAACAGTCCACGTGGACTAGTTTATAGGCGTGTTTGCTGCTAAGATGACTAGGTTTTTCGCTCCACCTGCCTCCGCAACGATGAATATACCATACCACAACTTGTGTACAGTGAACAAAGCTTCGATTTTATTGACGAGATTCAGCTCAGAAATTAAACAGATTATATCATAACGGAAAAAATGACATTTAATATTAAATACGTCTCTGTGCAACGTGTGCCAGAGTGACGTCAGACTTTGAAAGCCACCGTCGGCTCCGTTTGAACCGGTTTTATTTTATTTTTATTCGCAAATTTCGACTCTATGGACGGCTACAATATCTATGCAGGCTACTATAACAAACATGTTTTGTCTATCTAAATGTGATGTGAAAAAGACAACATTCGAACCAAGTTTTTAACGTGATTCATATATGAAATATGTATTTCAGTTTACAATTGGCCAAGTAATCTTTATCATTCTTAGAATACCTTGTCGTTCATTCAGATGACAAAATAAATGACGCCAAAACCGTAGAATCTATTCGTTACATTTTTGTCTTAACCATGTAAAAAAAGTACCTCCAATATCACCAATTGCTTGAATTTTGGCATAATAATTTCTTGAAAATTAAATACGCATCCCTCATGGTATAACACTCGCTGAGTAAAATAAAAGTGGTAGCAAAAAAAAAACAGAATATTTAATGTAAGTTGTATGTAATAAAGTAAATGTCGCAGGTAGTTATACACATATATAAAATTTGTTTCAATTAAACATTAAGCAAGTAATCTTTGCCATTCTTCGGGGTCGCTGTTGACGAGGATGTAACAGTAAACGATACCAAAACCCTGCAACGTTCTTGTTAAATTTTTGCCTCAACTGTTAAAAAAAAAGTACCTCTACTAGCGTCATCGCAATTGCTATTCCACCAACTGCCCGGAATTTTGGTATAATGCTCTTTTCAAAGCTAGAAACGCACCCCTCTTCGTATAAAGCGTTGTCAAAAGAATTATGTTTGTAGCAACTAGTCGGATACTGCTTAAAACCAGAAGAATTCCAGTACTGGGGACCTTCAACTCCGCAACATTTAAACTGAAATTTCTACCTACAGTCGTGTTAAAAATTAAACAAACTCACATCTTGTTGAACAATATCCACAACAGTTTTCTTGTCATCGACCTGCGGGTTGTTCACATAATCATCAAACACTTTTTTGACAACAGTGTATATGTCACCATCGTATTTAGAAGTAGCCGCCAAAGCTAGGCTACCCAAGACGACATGTAGAATGAAAATCACAGCAAGAAAAAAAATGTACTAGAAGAAAGAATTAGGTTTGAAAATCAAAATGAAGTATTCTTACAATTGGTAGTTTTATACAAACAGCGAAAAGAATCATGATCACTATTAAAACACCAATGGTTAAAGCGAATGCACCTATTGAAACCATTGTGAATCTCGGAATGCCTTTGCTTTCATCGCTGAGAATTGTACCACCTATGGCTACTAAACAGATGGAGCACATCTACAATAATATTAATGCAAAAGTAAAAATCTTGACGATATGGCGGGTGTTAAAATAATTTTACGAGAGGAGCTGACTGTCCAGATGTTTGATTTAGATAGACTTACCAATAACACGATGAGGAGTATGCACGGAGTAATCGTGTATTTTTCTTTATAGTTGAAACGGGGCATCCTAAAAATCAATTTTTGTTTTAATAAAGGTCAAGGAGCTTAATTTCTGTACCTACTTACTTACTTTATTTTGAAATTTTCTTGTGGTGTGCAACCAATAAAACTCCGCTTTTAACGGAAGTAATACTTCTGGGAATTGTGTCCCATTAAGTTCTTTTGAAGTTCTTCCACTAAACGTACGGATTTACCAGTAAATAATAGTCGATTCTATTAGGCACCGTCATAATTAGGATAAATATAAATATATACGATTTTTTCATACCTCCTTATGTATCAATTTTGCTATCAGTGTCAGTGTATGATCACGATCAGCTTCGCAGTATAAACGGAATGGAAAATGGGAACAACATATACCAAAAATACATAGACAAAAACTATGCACTTTTTACACGGTTTAGAAAATTCTTTTTTGACAAAAGATAATGAGTTTACCTTCGCCCCATCACATCTTTATTAGAACAGGAGCACATGTTTTATCAATTTATCATGTTTATTCGAGCATCCATTATACTCTAGATCGAAATATTTGAAAATTAACCTTTTGAAATTTTTTTGTTTGCTATATTTGAAAGCTTCGATCTACATACGCTCAGGAAGTAAAAAGACAAAATTCTCACATTAAAAAATTCGGATTGTTGTGAAATTGTAAAAGCTTTGCAAATAAAAACAAGTTTTTAATGGAATTATGCAATAGGTACATATGCAAAATACGTATTTCCGTTTACAATTACCCAAGTAATTTTCGCCATTCTGAAGAATCGTCCTTGTTTAAGATGTAAAAATAAATGACATCAAGACCCTAGAATGTACTCGTTACAATTTTGTCTTAACCATGTAAAAAAATACCTCCAATATCACTGATATAGCTGCTATTCCACCAAGGGCGTTGAATTTTGGCATCCTTCTTTCTCGAATGCTAGATACGCATCCCCGACCGTATAATTCTTGATCAGTCGAGCTCAGTTTGTAACAACTAGCGGGATACTGCTTGAAACCAGAAGAAATCCAGTACTGTGGACCTTCAACTCCACAACATTCAAACTAAAAATTTTTAAGTGTTGTCAGTACTTAATCTTAAATAAACTCACAGCTTGCTGAGCAGAATCAACAATTTTTTTATTGTTCTCGTTTTGCGGATCGTGGACATAATCATCAAACACTGTTTTGACAGCAGTATAAACGTAGACATTGTTTTGAATAGTAGCCGCTAGAGCTAAGATTTGTAGAATCATAAGGATAGCAACAGAAACATAATACTAGAAAAAAAATTGTTTTCAAAATCAAAACGAAATTTTCATTCTCACAGTATTCTTATACGCGTCGTACAAACAAACGCCGCAGATAAAAAAGATCAGCATGAAAAAACCAGTGACTATAGCAAAAGTGCCTAATGAAGCACTTGCGAATCTTGGAATTTCTTGATTTTCCTCTCTGAAAATTGTAGAACCTAAGCCCATGAAAGTGATGGAGCATGCCTACAATATGATCATTAAATTATTAATATTAAGATAAAAGTGGTAACGATATACATAATGTTAAATTAATTTTACGTTAGGATGTAAATGTGTATCCTAACGTTGCTGCTATGTTAAAAAATTATTGTAAATTCACGCCATCTCCAAACGTGAAATAAAAGAAGCAGTAGTTTTTAAATAGACTTACCAACAAAAAGATGTTGATTATACAAGCCACTGACATTTCGTCCTCAAAGCACCCGCATATGCTAGAAAAACTAGTCTAAAGTATTTAGACGGAAGACAGACGAACAAATACAGATTCTTCGAAGAATTATAAAATTTAATTTTGCCAATTTAATTTTTTTATGGCAACCCCTATACCTAAATTAAAATAAAGACATGGTATAAATGTATACATAAAGGAGCATGTATACGTATATGCGTATATGTTTCAGGCACAAAATTTTTTGATGAGGTCATCAACAATTTACCAAGGACATATAAGTATATCAATTTGAATAAATGAAGCGTATACAATATTCTAAACTTACACATAAAATTTGACGACAATCGGTCTAGTAGTTTCGGAAATCTGTCTAATAAAAATCGACACGGACAGACAGGGAATGCGAGACCTACTTTTTAGTACTCTAGGGGCCATTAAATGCTCAGAAAACAAAAGTAGCTGTTCGTGGTATGGACCCTACTACAGTACTTCCTTAACGCGCTCAGGAAATAAAAATGTGTTGTTTATTTTTTGATAAATAAAAAAAATAAAATAAATAATATTATAAGTTGTGGAATAGACCAATTTTTGTGACATGGGTGATGGGTGTATAAAAGCTCCTGTATATCGCTAGCAACGAACTTTGGTCATCACTCATCATAATCATTACAAAGAACGTATTATTGTCTTAAGATACCTTTGGTTAGAGAAGTAAAGAATAGTTTTCCCAAATAAACTTTCCATTTGTTCAATGGAAGTTTAATTCATGGACTTACCTTAATATAGATATGGTAAAACCAGTAAAACTTACAAAGTGCACGTAACATGCAATAGTTACCATTGTTTTCCATATCTCCTTACTCCCTAAACTTATCTTTTAATCCTTATCAACCGTTTTTCCCAGTACAAACAAATAAAAAGTGCAGCCAACCGATCCAGAAAATATAGAACTTCTATCACACGAAAGTTGTAAAATTCGTTGCATGATTATAAAACTACTATATCCACAAGTTCTAGGCCATTTATAAAATTATTTTGCTTGACAGCACACATTATTAGAACAAAATCAATCAATCAATTTTATAATTTCCCTAAACAGGGCATATTTTATTGTAGGTAAAAAGTAACATCGTTCAGGTATATAAACCGAATGTGGCATAAATTAAGGTTAACCAAGTAACCTCTGTGATTCTTCGGAGTATCTGTTGTCCAAAATGCATAATGAAATGATACCAAAAGCCTAAAATTTGTTGTTTCTCAAAATGAAAGAAAACCAACGTGTTTATTACAATCAATAGCACCGCCTGTTGTAGTTTTTTTGTTTGCTATATTTGCAAGCTTCGATCTACATACGCTCAGGAAGTAAAAAGACAAAATTCTCACATTAAAAAATTCGGATTGTTGTGAAATTGTAAAAACTTTGCAAATAAAACTAAGTTTTTAATGGAATTATGCAATAAACATTGCGTATGTACATACGCAAAATAGGTATTTCAGTTTACAATTAGCCAAGTAATCTTCGCGATTCTGAAGAATCGCCCTTCTTTAAGATGTAAAAATAAATGACATCAAGACCCTACAATGTACTGTTTACAATTTTGTCTTAACCATCTAAAAAAATACCTCCAATATTGCTGATATAACTGCTGTTACACCAAGGGCGACGAATTTTGGCATCATTATTTCTCTAATACTAGATACGCATCCCCGACAGTATATTGCTTGGTCAGTCGAGCCCAGTTCGTAACAACTAGCGGGATACTCCTTGAAACCAGAAGAAATCCAGTCCTGTGGACCTTCAACTCCACAACATTCAAACTAAAAATTTGTAAGTGTTTGTCAGTACTTAATCTTAAATAAACTCACAGCTTGCTGAGCAGAATCAACAATTTTTTTATATTTCTCGTTTTGCGGATCGTGGACATAATCATCAAACACAGTTTTGACAGAAGTATAAATGTAGGCATTGTTTTGAATAGTAGCCGCTAGAGCTGAGATTTGTAGAATGATAAGGATACCAACAAAAACATGATACTAGAAAAAAAAATTGTTTTCAAAATCAAAACGAAATTTTCATTCTCATATTTTTCTTATACTCGTCGTCCAAAAAAACGCCGCAGATAAAACTGATCAGCATCAAAACACCAGTGACTATAGCAACAATGCCTAATGAAGCACTTGTGAATTCTGGAATTTCTTGACTTTCTTCTTTGAGAATTGTAGAAGCTAAGATTATGAAAGCGATGGAGCATGCCTACAACATAATTATTAAATTATTATTAATACAAAGATAAAAGTTTTAACCATATAAATAACAGATGTTAAATTAATTTTACGTTAAGATGTGACTGTGTAGGTTGCTGCTGTGTGATGTTTAAAAATTATTGTAAATTCACGGCATCTCCTAACGTGAATGAAACCAAAAGTAGTTTTTAAACAGACTTACCAACAAAAAGATGGTGATTATATAAGCCTTTGACATTGTGTCCTCAAAGTTATTTAAAAAAACTTGCCTCGTCCCTAAAATACAGATGAACAAATATAGATTCTTCGAAAAATGATGAGATTTAACTTTGCGAATTTAATTTTTTTATGATAACTCCTAAAGAAAGAGCACCGAGGTGACTCTAAAGCCGGAAACACGGATTTCCAGGTGGTCTGGCGAGCTCCCGTGGAAACAAGAAACAAACGGCGGAATTTTTCGCGCAACACTCGGGTTTTTACTCCTTGCCACCAGCTATACGGCTAAAATAATTTTACGGCTAATCTTAAATATAAAATTGCAAATCGGTTTTAACAAAAAAAACAAAACGTCCTCTACGGTCGTTCCTGGAAAGAGAAATCGCCCGGTGCGGTAAAAAATAGTGACGGCGGTACGGTTTTTCGCTCAGGGGCGACGATTCGAAAACTGTACGAAAACAGGCAGAAAACTCAAATCGGTACTTACGGTGGTCGGTTTTCAAAGGAGCCCTGTGCTAGTCAGCTCCACTCGAAAAATTTTCCCACTGTCGCAGCACGGGATACTTCTCTAGCGAAGAAGTTCACCCAAGTACCGTTTTCCGGCCGTGTCCAGGGCTATGGCACTCCATACAAAATTGGTGGAATCACATTTAGTTTTAGGCGGCAATCATAGAGGACAGCACAGTAGGAGTTTTCAACAATGCTCACCAATTACACTAGTTTACAAATTTAAACTTTTTTTCGTATCCAAAAATAAAAAAAATATTTTTTACTTCTAAATTACTGACTGATAACAAATCCAAAAACGGATAATCCTTATCACGTCAGGTTTTTTCATAAATCCAAAATAATGAACTTTGCTTTACCTTCACGTTTGTGTTAAACTGATTCATGTTAATGCACAATTGTCGCATAAAAAATGTCTTCGAGATCGTGGAAAGTAAGTGCAAATCAGTTTTGTTACATTTGTGGTAAAATTATAGTACCTAAAGCGGGAAGACCTGTTCAAATATGCTTAAAATGAAGGTATAAAGGTTTTTGGGACGAAAATGTGTTACTGTTGATCTATTATAAGGGAAACTGACAGTACCTACTGCTAATAAAAGAACGTCAGTGTTAACCATTTTTAATTTTCAGTCATAATGTTTATAATATATACTGGGTGTTGCTTTTATTTGATACAACCCCTGTAACTTCTTTATTCTTATAGATAAACCTGTATTTCTTTGAGCTAATTTGTATCATTTTAAAAAATCTTTGTGAGGTCAACCTCACATTTTTATTATCATTTCCCGTAGATAAGTCAAAAGCAACCAATTATTCTAAAATCAATACTTGAAAAATTTTAAATAACACATTGGGTGGGTTTTTCCAAAATGTAGTTAACCTCTGGTTTCGTAACTTTTAGTTAACTTTAACTCCAAGTTAACTAGCAGTTAATTTTGAATGCGTTTTTCCAACAAATTTGTAAATTTGGTTAGAAAACTAACAGTTAACTATGATTTATATTTGGTATCTATGGCAACGTTTCACAAATCTGTTGTTTATTGTGATAAATGTCATTCAAATTCTTTTGGTGTGATTATTTTGTACAAAAATGAGTAACACAGAGAAAACAAAGCGGTGTTCTAACTTTGCGAAAGAAGAGGAAAGGATTTTGACCCAATTGGTTCATAAAAACAGAAATATAATTGAATGCAAAAAAAGTGGCCAGGTAACATGGGAGCAGAAGGCAAATACCTGGCGTACTATTGCAGATGAATTCAATTCCACTGTTGGGGAGCAATTTAAAGGGATCCAAATTTTAAAATGCAAATACGCCAATTTAAAAAAAAGTTGCAAACGTTTATCTTTGTAAGAATTCTTTTCTATCCCATTTTTCAAAATGGTTTATACTTTCCCTTAAAACTCTTTGTTTTCGTACAGGCACCTCCTCATCGTCGCTATAAACGTTAATATCGACGAAATCCATCATTTTACTGATGACAGTTTTATAAAATCAAACGTCAAAATATGAAACTACTAGTTAACTGATACTTTGAGTTCTGGTTAAATGAAATTAGAAGTTAACTTTAAACCGTTAGTTAACGAAAATGGAAAAACACTGCAGGCCTAGTTAACTGTGAGTTAGGTTAAACCGTAAGTTAACTAGAGATGGAAAAACCCACCCATTGATGACAATCTAGTAGCTTGAAAAATTGACACTCATGTTATTTATTTACCTAAATGGTCTTTTAAAATGATACAAATTTGCTTAAAGAACTATATGTTCATATATATTTAAAAATAAAAAAGTTATAAGAGTTGTATAAAAGAAAAAAAATCCGGGGTATGTTTATATAAATATCTCAAAAACCTGACGTGATGGATTTTTTCTGCTTTCAGATTTGAATTTCCCGAACCCAAATCCTTTAGATTCAACTATTTTTGTCTTTGGATATAAAACCTTGTAAACTAGTGTTATCAGTTGGCATCCCTGTAGAAATTCCCAGACAATGTATTTATTTTTTTTTTAAATATTTGATAAAATCTGCAACTTTTTTGTTGCTTGGGTTATTTTACCATTTGGTTTCACACTCTTTCCGATAAAAATTATTGTTTTTATTATAAAAAACTGTGCACCGAATTAAGATGAGACGTTGTTGCGTACCTGGTTGTGAAGATAAAACTAGTCGCAGGTAAGTTGTAATATTCGACATTAATAGTATATTACATTACAAGGGAAGTAAACAGGATTTACCATGTCGAGCGAGAGAGTTTGGAAATCGAGGGTTAATCCGTTACTTCCCGCATAATGTATATTAGTTTTTTCCCGACCCAATCGGTAAACCAACAAATAATTAATTCAATATTGCCAAAATGCATAATATCGAATGAAAATAGTTGGCCTTCTTTGTGTTGTGGTGACCGAATTTAAATCAAACTTTTCGCGCTGAAATTAATTGACAACGGCGCGAAATCACATTTGAATAATTTTAATTTGAAAAAAAAAGAGTTCAATCACAAAAAGGAAATCCTTAAACATAGGCAACCAAATATGCATGGATGGTCTAATGCACGTAGCGCTTAGGAGTTAGTTTGCATGATCTTTGGGTTAGATGGCAGCACGTAGCGCTAGGGTAATTTCAGTTAGAGGGTTGGTAGAAAAACGGCATGGTAGGGCATTATAGAGATGGGCAAAATCGTTCCACGCGTGGAGCGCTACAACCGCTACCGCTACAAGAAAATAGCGCTCCAAGTAACTAGTTACTTTGGAACGTATTCATCACGAGTGGCGTTTGAGTACGACGCTTCCACTTGTCCGCTTGGAACTTGGAACGAATGTTCCAATCTCAAGTACCAATATGTAGCGAACGGACATTCTGGACACAATAAATACTGACAACAATTAGGACGGGCACTCTACTTTCATTTTAATAAAAAAAATAATAAAATAAACAAAACTACAAATATTTTTATAGTCTTGTTTTCGCAACTTTCTGTGTTAATTCCCAATCTTCTACTAGACTGAGATTTTACAATTTTTTTCGGTTCCTATTGAAATACATGTATTCAATTAAAACTTATTTATGAACTATTTTATACCTAAGCTTTTATATCTTTTCTGATAATGAGTCATTTATATCGACCGTCGCATTCTTACAAAAAATTATCGAATATGCCGCCCTCAAACAAAATACAACACTTGCTGATTTTGCCGATTGCTTTATGATAAAACCGCTTTGCTTTTTATTTTATCTATTTTTTTAAATATTGTTAAACCTTTACTTTTGATCTGCGTTGCATATATTTTGTTTTTCTTTTTTTTTTCATAAATATTATAAAATAAATACCTATTTATAAACGTTTCCTGATATCTTTTTTTGTGTTGATAAACACACAATTATTTTAATGACTGAAAGATTATTCTCTTTTTTTTTTCAGTTCCCAAGCCCTCACTATTTGCGTTTCTTGTAACGTTCCGGACAAACGTGTTTTATGATTTCGTTCCTTGAATTTCCGTCCCGTAACTCCCGTACAAATATCGTTTCAAGTTCCAAGTGGAACGCAGAGTGGAACGTGTTACTTTTGTGGCGAGGAGCGCTACACTCCGCTACTCGATAGTAGCGCTACAATGGAACGGTTCCTAAAGTAACGACCCATCTCTAGGGCATTACGAATGTGGCTGTGTGTGTGTGACCACGTGGTAAGCGCTAGGTTTAAATTAGTTGGTTTGGTAGTTAATAAAACGGGAGGAAGCCTTTGTTTAACGACGATCAAACGTATTTTTCATAATGGTACAGTTGTCCCCAACCCGCGCGGTAAATTCTTGCGCCCCTTTAATCGAAAATTGCAGACTTCCGGTCGGACGCGAACACGTGTTGTGAATCTGTTTCTTTGTTTGTAAATTCACCAATCAAGCTAGTTTTTCTTAATAGTCAGCTAGTGCAAACACAATTTAACAATCAGGATTATTTAAATTAACCATTTGCTAGAAGATTTCATGAAATTCACTTAGTCAGGAAAAACACCTTATGTTTAATTACGAATAGGTCTCTGGATGCATATACGTAAGTGTTACATTATAACACTTCTAAATTCTTCACACAAGATTGCTAATAGTTCATTTACGGCAGTTAAACAAGTTCATTATACTGCGGACTGGCGGGGGGTTATGATATTTTCTCCCCTCAGGTGGTTATCATCGTTATCACGATTAATTCATCGGGGCATGTTTCGCAACGCCAGATTGATTAATTAATTAAGGCATGCCCCCAACGCTACAGAAAATTTACATTACCGAGACGCTTTTTCCTCGCAACGATTTTGGAACTTACATCACCGAGACGCTTTTTCCCTCGGAGCGATGATTGGATATTTTTGTATTTGTTTATTATGTGTTTTGTTGGGGTAACCAGTTCGTAGTATTTTAACTTCTCAAAGTAAATTATTTTTGAAGTAACCAATCATTTAGATCATGATATAATTTGGCATAATGTAAACTCTTTGTTTGAACCGTTGATAAAGTGTGGCAAATATTAATCTCCTGTAAATTTTGGTAACTCTGCAATCTTCCACCTCATACATACTATATTTATTTAATCTCACAATTTTAACCTCAGTAATTTTGTTTGTGGTATAATTTTGATTAAACGTAAATCTCATGTTCTACAGTTTTAACCTCACATAATGTTTCCATTTGTACAAGTTTATTTCGCACCAGATCTTTGTTGCATAAATCCTTGCTAAGTTTTGTTTTGTAAATACTTTGTTGGTGAATGTTTCTATGATATAAATTAATTGATGTCCAACTTTAATCTCACATACGAATTATTTATTGTTTAAAATTTCACAAGGTTGTATGGCGAATCTAAATGTTGTTTATTGCTTTTTGACACTTTAACACTTGTTCAGTTGTTGTTAATATCAGAGTTATAAGAGATTGAATATTTTAAAATGGAACTGAGGTTAAATGACACAGAAAACGTGGCAGAAGCGAGGTTTGGTTCCTAGTCGAGCTGGCGAGATATCGCGCCACCTGTACAAGTCCACAGGTTTGGATAGATTCAGGGGGCGGCCGCCGACGTGGTGAATTTCTCGATTTGGCCCAATAGTCGAGATCTTTGCGGGTTGGACGACCGTAATGGCCTAGTTCCGCAGGGCAAAGTTCGTCATGGGATATGCGTGTGGGGTAGGCTTTGCGATAGATAGAATCATCGTCGCGGGGGGAGAACAGTTCCAGACCGGTAGCTCAGACTCCGCTTATGCTACAACGCTCCAGGGGTACTTTTCTTGTGCTCCTGTTAACTGCCGTAAAAAAAAAAAAAAGGAAAGGGAGATCGGCCGCCACACGCCTGTAATAACTTGTGTACTTGCATCCAGTTACTTGATTCAGCTTTTGCTTTGTTTTACTAAATTTGTGATATTCAAATATTTGCATTGATTCCAAACAGATGTACAGAATTTCCGTTTGTTCGTTTTTCGTGTGTGTATGTCTGTCAATTCGCGAGTGTTTTTCTTTCACATATCTTAAGGTGTTTGAAATGTAATAATATGTCGTCCGGGAATAAAACCAAAGGGGGTTTTTGCGCTGAGGGGTAATTCTTCGCAGCGTCTTTCCCCCTGTGAGGGTGGTGCCGTTTCCCCCCCTCCAAAACAATTTTTGTCTATTATTTCTTGCGCTCTCGACAGTGTATGCACTTGTATGAAAGAACGTCTTCCCGCCATTTTTCAAAAACAAAAAAAAAAAAACACAACGTAGGTTCCTATTTGTTAGACGATCATAGCCAAGGCCAAACTTTGAATTTTTGAATTTTTCGCGGGCCTTTCAAACTGTTTCAAGGTCAAATTTTAAGGCGGGAAGTTTGGGTTATCACAGTGTTGCTAAGGGTATCAATTAAAGATAATTTCAAAAATACATTGTGTTAATTTTTGTTACAAAAAATCGTAAAATTAAACGGTGTTCTTGTATTGAGTTCTGTCGTTTCACTTGCTTCCCTAGCGAGGTAAGTAGCTCTAGGGAGGTAAGTGACACTATTTCACTATTTCCGACTTACGTGAAGGGTCGGGAAAAAAGTTTATTACGCATAATGTTACGTGATAACATATATTGAAATAATAAAATATATATCTTTTTTATTAGATTCTTTATTCCAAGGCTAAAAGAAGTTGCGGATATATGGATCCATCGAGTTGGAAATCCAAGAATCTGTTGGGGAATAAAATCTTTACATAAAAGTTACGTAGTATGTGAAAATCATTTTTCACATGTATGTAGAGATGATAACAGGCGACTATTAAGATATAGCCTTCCCACTTTAAACTTGCCCGGTAAGTTGTTACATATTTATTTTTATTATAAGCTGCATGAAATGCATATATTTACTTCTAGCATTTCATGAACCGTCAAATGAGGAAAATTGTTTTTATCGTGGTGCGCAGGAATATAAATACATCACCCCCGAAAAATTAAAAGGTTTAACAATTTAAATGTTAAATAATTCAGAATAGTTAGTTTTTTCATGTCGTAGAGTCACTTCAAATGATCCCTTCAACATCGACATATTCACCAGAAACCTTGAGTGTAAAGACTCCCCTGAAAGTGTACGCTGGCAAGGTGAAAACGAATACAAAAAAGTTTCTATTTCTACCGGAGATGTCTAGAAGTACAAACAATCTTTTTTTTTGTTAACATTTTGTCAATTTCAATTATTTGTTAACAGATCCCTCTGTTCACGAAGAAACGAGCGTATTTCTACCAATAAGTACATCACATGTGGTCACTTCATCAGCAGAACATAAACACCTGGATCATCTTACATGTAAGTTTGTTTTTAATAATTTAAATAAATCTTTGACAATGGAGTTACTTTGGTAGTAATTTCTGTAACTAAGTTTGTAAATGTATATTGTTGTGATTATTATTATTAATGTTAAGCTATTTGCTTTACTAATTTGTCTTCATATCCCAATCTAGATCCAATGACTTTTAAGAAGAATAAAGGATTACTCCGTTCTGGTGGAGTTACTCGTCAAGAAGACCTAGTGCCTCAAGCTAAGTTTTTTTTATAAAAAAGCAAAGTACTTGCAGCAAGTAGCCACTAAGTTGCGATATAAACAAAGTTCAATTAGGAGCAAGGTGAATTATTTACAAAGCAATGCAGGATTACTTGGGTATTTAAAAGATGTGAATGAAATTACAGCAAACTTTATTATGTCACAATTGAGAACACAAAAATTCAAATCTAGGGGACGGCGATTTACCATCGACGATAAAATTTTAGCTTTGGCAATAATGAAACAAAGTGGAAAAGGTTATAAGTTTTTATCAAAAATTTTTAGTTTACCGTCTAGAAAAGTACTTAGTACCATGTTAAATACCATCCCATTCCGCGCCGGTATTAATGAACCTCTTTTCGAACATTTGAAAAAACGGGTTTCAAAATTAAAAACTATTGAGAAATATTGCGTTTTAATGTTTGATGAAATCGCTTTGTCCCCTGGTTTGACATATAATCGAAAAACAGATTCTGTTGAAGGTTTTGTAGACCACGGAGGACCAAATCGACGATTGGAATTTGCCGACCATGCCTTGACTTTTATGGTTAAAGGTATTCATACTAAATGGAAACAAGTAGTGTGCTTCACTTTCTGTCAAGGAACTACATCAACCAGTGATCTATGCAAAATTCTAACAGAAGTTATTCGTCATTTAAAAGGTTGCGGTTTGAGGATAGTGGCAACTATATCAGATCAAGGTACTACTAACCAAGCTGTAATTAATCTATTATTAGCAAATACCAGAAGACATTTTTACGTACAAGGTAGAGAGAATAGATTACAAGGTTATTTGATAGATGGCGAGGAAATTGTGCACTTGTACGATTTTCCTCATCTAATGAAATGTATCAGAAATATGTTATTATACAAAGATCTACATTTTGAACAACAAGGTATAGCAAAAGTAGCGTCTTGGTCTCATATAGTTCGACTGTATGAGCTGGATAAAAGTCACGGTAATTATTACAGCCAATTTTGTAAATTAACAGATGAGCACGTAATACCAACAAAAATTAAGAAAATGAAGGTGAAAAATTGCACTCAGGTATTTAGTCATACAGTCGGTACTGCCATGCATGCTGCAGCCCGTGTAAGCACGGAACTTTCAACAGAATCAAAGTTTTATATAGATCCCACATCAACAAATACAGCTGATTTGTTGCTTTTTTTTTATGAACTTTTTGACAGTGTCAATGGCGAATTAAAATATCCATTACCCGGAAAAGAGCTGCGGTCTGTGGTGACACAAAATTCTAACCATGTTTCATTTTGGAATTCTGCACTACCCATCCTTTCATCCATGTTCTTTACAGTACCGCATTCCAATTCACCAATTCGACCGCCTTGTTTAAAAAATTGGGTGTTTTCAATTCGTGCATTAATTTATTTAACACCTAAATTATTTTCAGAAAATTTCAAACAATACGCTGGTCGCTGTTTCAATCAAGACCCTGTAGAGAATTTTTTTTTCCTGCATTAGAAGTCATGGAGCGCGGAATACAAATCCTACTTGTTCTGCTTTTATATCTTCTTGCAAATCATTATTGGTTAATAATTTTGTATCACCATATTCCGTAGGAGCTAACTGCGAATCTGATGAATCAACCGGTCCTCTAGATAATTTAAAACTGTTCCTCATAAATCCGATGCAAGTGCATGCTATAGGACCCCATATTGATAACTTAAATTTTCCTCAATCTGAAATTTCTGCAACAGAAACTGCAGTGAACTTTGCATCTAACTATGTTGCTGGATACGTAGGTATAAAAATTCTGGGCAAAAACCCGTGCAAGTTTTGTAAACAGATAATGTGTAGTTCAGATACGATGTTGAAGGAAAATCTGCTAATTTCTGAAAGGACTTACGAAGGATGTCAGTTAATTCGTCCATCTAGTAAGTTTTCCAGGATTTTTAGGGAAGTTACCATCACACTGTTATAGTTTATTCCAAACTGTATTTTGTGTTATGAAATCAAAAGAAAACTCCGAACATTACTAGCTGACAATACTAATATTCCCACACTTTTCTGCTTACAACATCAGGGGAATGCCATCAAATTTATTAACGTTTGCGTGAACGTGCTTTTATATTCTTATATCAGAAATGTGAATAAAAAATTGTCTGGCAAGGATTTACGGTATGTTACTCAAGATCCTGTAGACGCTTTGGCTTATCAGAAGTATTTAAAAAGACGAAAGCAGTAGTACATATTATTTTGATTTTACTTTATTTACATATTTCATTTTATATATATTTCATTTTAGTTTATATACACATTATAGTTCATATTATTTAATTGTTCATATGTTACTTCTATTTTTTTTTAATGTTAATTTGCTTCAATATATGTTGTTTCCACATATTTTTGTGTTTATATATTTTAAACAATTTAAACAAAATAAAAGATTTGAATTTTCCGATCGTGACCTCCCGGTATATAATTACAGGTTTCTAACACATGTTGTTGATTTTGGTCACTTTGGTTTGTGGCGGCAAATATAGATGGCGCAGAAATTCAATACACGTTTTGAGTGAGAGAGTCGCCCATCTATTTCTATCTCATCTATGCCTATGGTCACGTACGCGGCGCGGCGATCGGTACACGCAGCATACGGTATTTGTGCCTAAGAACCTGTATGTATGCGCATGCCTGAGCTGTCATTGAAAAACCCGGTAAATTCAAACGTAGGTGTTTACACTTGTCATTTAAAAAATGTGGCAAATTGAAATATATGTAATCTCATTGAATTACCAAAAGGATTAACCCCCAGTTATCACAACAGAATTAGTATCGAAATGATAAATATAATTCATAATAAGTTGATCATCGTTTGTGTTTGCGTATAACCTGCCTTAAAATCTAATATTAATGTACTTAGGGTCACACCAAAAACTGTATAATCATGCTTTCCTCCAGACATACCTACTTGCAGGGCATAACCAACTTAAGTATGTGATTATAATTGTATATGATTGTTGCGTCTTTTATCCAACATAATGAAACTTAATAATACAGCTTTAGTTTTTTTTATTAATTAATGTGCTATTTCAATCAAGCGTAACATACAAAAAACGCATAAAATAGAAATGTATTTGTAAAAAAAATTGTATTTGCTTTATAGACATAATCTGAATCAACAAAAAATACAACAACAGAATTCATCTTTACCTAACAGAAAAATACATAGTAATAGTAGCAGTAATAAAAATTATAATTACTAAATTGTAGAAATAAAATTCGCATCCTATTATTTATAAAGGTGATTCTATGAGGACCTATTAATAACCCATGTCACAAAAATCCACTCATTTCTCTAGTGTTTCTGTAACCGATCAGTTCATAATAATGTTGCTTCATATTTGTTCACTTACGGGATAATATTGCTGCGTCTCTTGCACTCTTTTCTTTGTTAAATTCTTCTCGTCTTTTTTTCTTAACCATCCATCGATATTGCTCATAAGTTCTTTAAAATCATCTATGTTAAGTGCATTCAAAGTATTATTAAGTGACTCCTGCTTTAATTTTCGAAAAGTTTCATCATCCAATGCCAACGGTGTTTGCTGATTATTTTCTATTAACATTTTTACCACGCCCGGTTTCCTGTCCGTGAAATTTGCTTCGTTACAAGCACTGATTGTCGTCTTAAGATATCTTCGATTAAAGAAATAAACCCAAATAAACTTTACATCGGTTTAATGGAAGTTTAATTCCTGAACTTACAAGGAGATTATTTTAACTGTTCACACCTGGATACTTTCGTGTAGGCAACACATTATACATATAATAAGCAACTTTGATCAATCTATTAATCTTTTTAAATTAGCAGTCATAGCAACAACACAAAAATCACACTGTCATAATGACAACAAATACGTCAAGCGACTAATAATGGCAAACTTTAAAGAAAATAAAACGTAATTTATTAGATCCTTAAACAGACATGGAGACATCAATAAAATAAAATAAATAAACAGGTATCCTATAATAAGTACTTAAACTGTCCGCCTCATCCTTCTCCACACAGCACTAACTGCGTGCAAAATTTCAGCGTAGTCTAACAGTAGTCTAATAATTAGAATCTCGGGTGTTATATGATCGTCATTTTGAATTGGAAGGGATGAAATGGCATGGGTGAAATCTGTTTGCACTCAGGATGTTGAAAACCGAATTCTGACTAATCTACATCTAACTTTAGTTTTCTTAAACCAATCAAGTTCTCTTATTTTTTTTCGATTTTTCTGAATGCTTGGTTAGAAAGAATTGTATCGTCTGCCATGCAAACGAACGGCAGTATCGAAATTTCCATCACACTTTCCCAAAGTTAAAAACATATCGGTTCTTTCGGAATTTGAAACCACTGTTACCAGAAGTTAAACTAAGTTGTCATAATTTTAGCGCAATCATTGCCATTTACACGTTATTTATTATTTATAAAAAATTTAAGACGAAGTCGATTAAGGAAAGTAAAATGTGTTGCCTATTCGGACTTATTCAGGCGTGAACAGATAAAATAATCACCAAGGTATTTAGATAAAGATTGTCCAGAATTATATGAATTTTATGGACTCCCAACGTTAATTCATTTTACAGCCCAGGCGTCAATTCTATTGTACAGGTAAAGAGCCTGTCAGGGGAAAGCCGATGTTTTCTGTACCTGAGTTCACCCCGCTCTTCAGCTGTACAATAAAATTGACAACAGGGCTGTAAAACAAATTAACTTTGGGAGTCCATAAAATTCATATAATTCTGGACAATCTTTACCTTGATATCCACCCTGTACCTTAATGTAGATATGGTATGAAACCAGTAAAACTCACAAAGTACACATTTTTATTACCTAATCCTAACCGATTTTTATATTATTGGTAAATAATTGTCAAGAGTGTCGTGAAGATAATAATAGTTATGATTTATATCTTTTAATACGTACTTATCAGCTTAACTACTACCAGTTTAACCACATATTCTAGCTGTGCCATTTATAAAATTATTTTCTGACCGAAGATAATAAATGATATTACTTGCGCGACAACACACATTATTAGAACAAAATAATATTTTTGTGAGGAATTTATAACACTTTTTACTTCCCGAGCGTAAGCAAAGGAAGTATTGTAATCGAGTCCGTCGGCCGACTCTCTACTTTTACGTTTTCTCGATCTTTCATGAGCCCGAGAAGACGAAGAAATAGGTCTCCCATTTCCGTCTGTCTGTCCGTCTGTCTGTCCGTCTGTCCGTCTGTCTGTCCGTCTGTCCGTCTGTCTGCCGTCCCGGAAAGTACTGGACCGATTGTTACGAAATTTTGTACTTATATTAGGAGTATCATGTAGATGGTAAAACGCTAAACAAAATTTGTCTAATCATCCCCACCACTAATGCGATGACGTCACTTCAAAATTGTACATAGTAAATGGGTCTTAAATTATATAAAATAACATAGTCCTACACAGTTTTTACCCGAAACGTCCAGATTTTTGGAAAAAAATCAAAATTATAAAACAACATTTTCCAATTTAATTTTGAATCTGCTAACCCGAATGTTTTTTCAATGTTGCAGATGTTTTAAGGCTCTAAAGAGCATCATAAATCTTAATCTCCTCCAAAAACTTGATGATATCAGCTCAAAAGTTTGCTGAATAAATCATATCTAAAATGTACAAAATATGGTGAGTCTCTTCTTGTGATTTATCATTCCATTCAAATTTTTTCGATTTGCATATACAGGGTGACTGAAAAAATTAATGAATGCGTCAATTTATTTTATTGATTTAATCAGGAATTACAGAACCAAATGCTGTGAAATCTTGGAGATGTTTTAAAGTTATCATAAGCATGGTAAATTTTTTATCAAAATGTATTTGTTCATCCCTCTAAAAAATTGATGACGTCACCCCAAAATTTTGCTGAATAAATCCTATCTAAAATGTAGAAAATATGATGAGTCTGTACTTGTGATTTATCATTCCATTCATATTTTTTAGATTTGCTTAAGAGGTGGCTCAAAAAAATTAATGAGGCCAATTTATTTTATTGATTAAATTAAAGGCAACACTTATTATTAGTATTACATTGGACCAACCCAATTTGGTAGACACAAAATTTTGTAAAGTAAAAACTCGGTTGAAACATAAGGGTAGCACGCTTATTTCTATTTACTTTAACATTACAGACGTGCATTTGTTTTGTGCGCGTATGTAGTATAGACATGTTTATAATCAACCAATTGTGAATTCCACCGTCAAAAGTTAAAATAAAACCCAATGTTTTATATAATAAGCGGAAGTCGAGGCAATAAAAATCTCTAGACCACCATCGGTTTTGTTTACAGTTTCTTTGTTTGACTCTCACGTATGCTATGTTACGCTTGTCGTCTTAAATTAAGAATGCTTATACATAAACGATTTTCAGTTGCCTCTCCTAGTACACGCCGGCGCCGTATACGTGAGTAAATTGTTTCGTTATTTTATTGATTATTACAAATCAATATTCAAAACGACCCAATTCATTTTTCCGAAAATTTGGGAATACAATAATCTTATTCTTAGTATTACACAACATCTATTCCAACTGATATACGTGTCCTTGAAAAAATATTGATGACGTCATCGCAATTTTTTTTTTACATTACCACTACAAAAATGTAATGAGAATAAAAACACAATAGGCATGCAGTCGTCAAGTTTCCGACAGCGAGGGAAGTACTGTCTAAACTCTTTAAACCAATTTTTTATTTGAGCATTCATTATAAACTTGATCGAAATATTTAGAACCGCAATATTTTTTTAATAACAAATGTTGTACTATCAGAAAACAGAATAGATTTTTAAAACAAGTACAAAACTCGAAAATTAGCGAAAACGATGTATTTTCTCAAAATGAAAGGAAAACAATCAATTCTTTTGAAGTTTTTTTGTTTGCTATATTTGAAAGCTTCGATGTACATACGCTCAGGAAGTAAAAAGACAAAATTCTCACCTTAAAAAATTCGGATTGTTGTGAAATTGTACAAACTTTGCAAATAAAACCAAGTTTTTAATGGAATTATGCAATGAACATTGCATGTATTTCAGTTTACAATTAGCCAAGTAATTTTCGCGATTCTGAAGAATCGCCCTTCTTTGAGATGTAAAAATAAATGACATCAAGACCCTAGAATATACTCGTTACAATTTTGTCTTAACCACGTAAAAAATACCTCCAATATCACTGATATAGCTGCTATTCCACCAAGGGCGTTGAATTTTGGCATCCTTCTTTCTCGAATGCTAGATACGCATCCCCGACCGTATAATTCTTGATCAGTCGAGCTCAGTTTGTAACAACTAGCGGGATACTGCTTGAAACCAGAAGAAATCCAGTACTGTGGACCTTCAACTCCACAACATTCAAACTAAAAATTTTTAAGTGTTGTTAGTACTTAATCTTAAATAAACTCACAGCTTGCTGAGCAGAATCAACAATTTTTTTATTGTTCTCGCTTTGCGGATCGTGGACATAATCATCAAACACTGTTTTGACAGCAGTATAAACGTAGACATTGTTTTGAATAGTAGCCGCTAGAGCTAAGATTTGTAGAATGATAAGGATAGCAACAGAAACATAATACTAGAAAAAAAATTGTTTTCAAAATCAAAACGAAATTTTCATTCTCACAGTATTCTTATACGCGTCGTCCAAACAAACGCCGCAGATAGAAAAGATCAGCATGCAAAAACCAGTGACTATAGCAAAAGTGCCTAATGAAGCACTTGCGAATCTTGGAATTATTTCACTTTCCTCTCTGAAAACTGAAGAACCTAAGCCCATGAAAGTGATGGAGCATGCCTACAATATGATTATTACATTATTAATATTAAGATAAAAGTGTTAACGACATAAATAATGTTAAATTAATTTTACGTTAGGATGTGAATGTGTATTCTAACGTTGTTGCTATTTGATGTTAAAAAATTATTGTAAATTCACGCCATCTCCAAACGTTAAATAAAAGGAGCAGTAGTTTTTAAATAGACTTACCAACAAAAAGATGTTGATTATACAAGCCACTGACATTTCGTCCTCAAAGCACCCGCATATGCTAGAAAAACTAGTCTAAAGTATTTAGACGGAAGACAGACGAACAAATATAGATTCTTCGAAGAATTATAAAATTTAATTTTGCCAATTTAATTTTTTTATGGCAACCCCTATACCTAAATTAAAATAAAGACATGGTATAAATGTATACATAAAGGAGCATGTATACGTATATGCGTATATGTTTCAGGCACAAAATTTTTTGATGAGGTCATCAACAATTTACCAAGGACATATAAGTATATCAATTTGAATAAATGAAGCGTATACAATATTCTAAACTTACATATAAAATTTGAGGACAATCGGTCTAGTAGTTTCGGAAATCTGTCTAATAAAAATCGACACGGACAGACAGGCAATGCGAGACCTACTTTTTAGTACTCTAGGGGCCATTAAATGCTCAGAAAACAAAAGTAGCTGTTCGTGGTATGGACCCTACTACAGTACTTCCTTAACGCGCCCAGGAAATAAAAATGTGTTGTTTATTTTTTGATAAATAAAAAAAATAAAATAAATAATATTATAAGTTGTGGAATAGACCAATTTTTGTGACATGGGTGATGGGTGTATAAAAGCTCCTGTATATCGCTAGCAACGAACTTTGGTCATCACTCATCATAATCATTACAAAGAACGTATTATTGTCTTAAGATACCTTTGGTTAGAGAAGTAAAGAATAATTTTCCCAAATAAACTTTCCATTTGTTCAATGTAAGTTTAATTCATGGACTTACCTTAATATAGATATGGTAAAACCAGTAAAACTTACAAAGTGCACGTAACATGCAATAGTTACCATTGTTTTCCATATCTCCTTACTCCCTAAACTTATCTTTTAATCCTTATCAACCGTTTTTCCCAGTACAAACAAATAAAAAGTGCAGCCAACCGATCCAGAAAATATAGAACTTCTATCACACGAAAGTTGTAAAATTCGTTGGATGATTATAAAACTACTATATCCACAAATTCTAGGCCATTTATAAAATTATTTTGCTTGACAGCACACATTATTAGAACAAAATGAATCAATCAATTTTATAATTTCCCTAAACAGGGCATATTTTATTGTAGGTAAAAAGTAACATCGTTCAGGTATATAAACCGAATGTGGCATAAATTAAGGTTAACCAAGTAACCTCTGTGATTCTTCGGAGTTTCTGTTGTCCAAAATGCATAATGAAATGATACCAAAAGCCTAAAATTTGTTCGTTAAATTTTTAGCTTAGCTACTTTAAAAGAAAAGTACCTTTGTTAGTGCAAATGCAATTGATATTCCACCCACAGCTCGGAGATTTGCTGTAACGCTTTCTTGAAACTTAGATACGCATCCCTCTAAGTATAAGACGGTACCGCGTCAATTCGTCGTGCACAATTCGTCGCGCGACAATTGATCGCAAACAACTGATCGCAGCGTCAACTGGTCGCAGCGACAACTGGTCGCAACGACAACTGGTCGCAGTCACAATTGATCGCAACACAATTCGTCGCAAGTACAACTGGTCGCATGCGACAATTGATCGCAGGCGAAAAATGATAGCGTTTATAGAGAAATAAGTAATTGTTATGAATGAGGAAAATAAAATAATGTGCTATATTCTCAAAAATTTCATTATTTCTAAAAAAAAGTGTCAAAATAAATACATACGAGTTCCATAAAAACAGTAACTATTAGGCTCAGTTCCGACTAAACCAAAGTGCAAAAAAGTGAAAATATTGTAAAATATTTTTTTTAATGCTGACACATCTCGTCGGTATGCTACTGTAATGTTCATTTGGATTATTCGTCTTATTGATTAGACGCTCAAGTAAGTGATTCAAGCTTTTCTTCTCACAAATTTAAAGTTTGTCAATTACACGAGTGAAAAAAATAGCTTTCAAAACGTGTTAGACGTCATTTTTCTTTAATAAAAAATGGTTTTAAAATTATTACAATTGTCAAATTAAAAAGTTATAGATAAATCGTGAAAAAAAACCCTCGTTACAGTTTTAAGTGAAAAAGTATTATTTTCATTACGTTCGATATTTTAAAAAATTAAATATATATATTTTTTAATAAATTTGGTGCAAAGAAATTTGAATTTATATATTAACAATTAATCTTGGAGTTTATTGCATTCTTTGCAGACAATTTTTTGCTCACTACAAATTAGTTCTGGATTATCTTTAATCCATGATAAAACCAAAGATGTTTTTTCATTCAGAACTTTTTTGAACGCTCACACTGTTAATACGGCACTTGTAGATACCAAAGAATGAATAATTTATCTCGTTTCCTTTGCTAAGTACCTACACACCAATCTCCACTTTTACGTCATTTCTGTAAACAAGATCGTAAAAAGATTAGTTTTGACCATGGAGCAAAGGGATATGCTCTTACTGGAGGAAGTGCCAGACTTAAAATGATGGTTTCGAGCCAAACCGGTAAAGTGTCAGTACAGTACCCCTCACTATCCAGATTAGACTGCCGATGACAGTGACGTACAGTTTTTTTTTTTTTTTTGAAGCGGCTCATGGAATAAAATTTGTTGAATAAAACAACGCACATAACAGATTTATATTCTGTATTAATTAATATTATTTAAAATATTTAAATCAATCAATTCATCACGAGTAACAAGTAATACAAACAGTGAATACCGTTAAAAAGTAGAAACAACCAGGATGACGACGCCACTGAGTAGTGGTTCTTCGTAATGGCGTGACTAATTTTTAGCTTGGGAAGTTTGAAAAGTTTATTGAAGGGCATTTCACTCGGAAGGCCGACTATTCATACTCACAATTATTTGCCTAATCTGCCGGATGTAGGTGGGCTTCTCCAGCCCATGTTGTAAATTTTTGTAGGATGCAAAGTGCGGAGAAGAATAAAAACAGGTAGCAGCCCGTAGTAGGGTCATTCATGGAAAACTGCGAACCAATTATTTTTTCCATTTTTTTAAATCTGAGACTGTTTTACACGTCACAGAAATATCTATCGTAAAAGGAATTTTTAGAAATAATTTTCTCGTCATTAATCGGTTGCAAAAGATCAAGAGGCACTCGAAGCAAGCCCTGACAAACTTATTAGCGGCGCGAGCGGAGATCTCCAACTGGCTGCGGTACCACCATGGACACTTACGTAACCTCCTTTTCCAGAATTGTCAAAATGACATTGCCAAACTCAAAGCAATCATGAATTAAGCATTTCATTTTAAATTCAGTTAGTATCAAGTGGTACATGGTATTCGTATTTTGGGTTGCGTAAAAATAATTTTCAGAAATAATTTTCTCGTGACTAACCCTGTATATGTATTTTTTTACAGCCACATATGGTACAACTGAATTTTTCTTCAGTACAATACTAGTCACATAATAATAATTAAAAAATAAGTTTTTAGTTGCATAAGTACCTACATTTCTTAGATTTCCCGGTAACACAAAGTTATTCTTGACGCTCTAATAAAAGTTTTTGCAATATATATTTACAATACACGTAAACCTTTCTCAAACCCTGTAAAAGATCCGTTGCAATTTACAAGGGATTAAAATAAGTATTATATCCGTCCAGTGGAATTTACATTCGCTGCATATGGATACTCTAGATGTACTATTAGTTCATAAATTTTATTGTTTGGTGATATGTATAAAGACAAGAATAGACAATAGAGGCAATTCTATATCAAAATGTGTCAAAATTTAAAGGTTGTTAAAAATATGATTTTTTAAATAATTGTAGTCTAGTTAAGAACAATAAACACTTGTTTTTATGTTGAGTACTTATTATAATGAAGCTAGTTCCTATAATATAATAGGTAAAATAAGCAACGAGATAAATAGAAACAATCTCTTAAAAAAAATAACCAAAATGACAATTTATTAATAAAAAATCTTATGTAACAAGGTGTTTACGCTCGTATTTTTTAATTTTTAAAGTGCAACTACAAACTTCGTCACTTATCTATATTCAAATTGTTTTTAATTCGATATTTACACCTTACCTGATTGCTAAATTTATTGCAACTTAAAATTCAGAATACAAAATATTTAGTTTTAATAAAAGAAAATACTTCCCGATGAATTTTACCTTGCGATCAATTGACGCTGCGATAAATTTACGTACGATCTATTGTCGCTGCGATCAATTTACGTGCGACCAATTGTCGCTGCGATCAATTGTCACCGCGATCAATTGTCGCGTGCGACCAATTGTGCTGCGACGAGTTGCTTGCGATCAATTGTCGCACGATCAATTGTTTGCGACCAGTTGTCGTAGAATCGTATAAGACGGTGTTAACATGATTATAACAACTATCAGGATACTCTAAACCAGCAGAACTCCAATACTGTGGACCTTGAACTCCACAGCAGTGAAACTAAAATTTTTAGATATCTTCAGTTCTAGACCTTACATAAACTCACATATTGCTGAATAGTATCAACTTTTTCTTTGTTGTACTCGTTTTGCTGATTGTGGACGTAATCGTCAAACACTTTTTTGACAACCGTATATATATGACTATCGTTAATGGAAGCGGTCGCCGACGCTATACCACCTAAAACGATTTGTAGAATGATAATGGGGACAACAGAACCATAATACTAAAAAAAAGTGTTAGTGTGAAAAACGAAACGAATTTTCATTCTCACAGTTCGCAATGTATGTATGTAGCAAAGAACATTGATGAGGGCTAAAACACCAAGGCTTACAGTGAAAGCACTTATTAAAACAGTAACTCTTGGACTTGGAATGCCTTGGCTTTCGTAGTCGAGAATTGTAGAACCTAAGGCTATGGAAACGAAGGAGTATATCTACAACATAATTAATGCAAACATAAAGATCTTATGATACAATAAATGTTAAATTAATTTTATGTTAGGAATTGACTGTGTCTTTAAAAATTATTTTAAGAGAGGCTTACCAACAAAAAAGTGTGTAATGTACAAGTAATTAATTTATCCCAATCGCGGCGGTGCGGCATGCTAGAAAAATGTAAGTTTTATTTTTTGCTAAACATGTAAATATTATATTAATGTTATATAAAAATGTTTTCGTTAGCGCCCTATTAGGGATGTAGGGAAATACGTAATTACTTCAAAATTGTGTAAGCATAAGTTATTAGAGTTGACAAAGCATTTATTTCTGTCTTGATATACGTTCGGTTAGAAAAATAACGAATATAAAGTTCCCATTGTTTTAAGAAAGCCAAATTGAACTGCATTTTTGCAACTTTTTGATGTGGTATGCAACCAACAAAACTCACTGTTAGTGTAAATAACAGTTTTGATATTTTCCATACCTCCTTATCTTTGACTGCTGATTTTCTTACCAGTTAATTACCACTTTCCCACTACAGAGAAATGAAAAATCTGTACAACGTATACCAAAAATATGGAATTTTCACACAAGGATTGTAAATTTTCTTAAATAAGACCATTACAACCACACTTGTTATAAGGTTTATAAAATTATTTTCTGACAGAAAATATGTGATTATCTGTTCGATATCAAGAAGTATTAGAGCAAGAGAATATTTCTTATCATTACTTTAACATTTTTGTATTGATTATAATCTTGATCGAATCGTTTAGAAACGTAATAATCTTCTTTTGTAATAAATATCGAAATTTCAAGGCATCAAATATACATCGTAATTTCGTTAGAAAAGAGTTAACATTTCTGTTGAAACTGGATTCGCCACCAACAATTTTATGATTTCTCTAATAAGGGGTCTACATAAAGGCAGGATATGTAATGTTGTAATGTAATAAATTATGAAAGGATGTAACCTCTTTTGGGTGTATTTGTATATGAAAATATATTACAAATATATTACAATTTAAGGCTAAGCAATTCTTTGTCTTCTAAACCGTTTTAATGTGTTTTTCCGAGTACTTTCAAAAATAAATTGTCAAAATTAGGAAACATTGGATTGTTTTAAAACTATTAAAAAGTTCTCAAATAAAACCAACTTAATAAGGAATTAGAATTAGTAATAAACAAACATGGGTAATTTAGGTATAGTTGTACGACGTCACAAATTATTAGAATGTTTTATCTTTCACTTGAAATATTTGGAAATGTAGTACCTTTTTTTAGTATCTAACCTAGTATATCCTAAGATAAAATTTCAAGGCAACAATCATCGAGTGTACTGCTTGTTATATTATAATACAAAAGTATAATAATTATTAATTAATTAATATCATTTAACGTAATAAAGAAAATGTCGTAGGTATATGTACTACTGTTGACCAAGATGCAATAATAAACTATACCTACTAAAACCCTGCAATGTATAAATCGCTGTCAAGAGAATTCTTGCTGGTCGTAACAACTAACAGGAAACTGCTTGAAACCAGAAGAATTCCAGTACTGTGGACCTTCAACTCCGCAACATTTAAACTGAAATTTCTACCGATAGTCGTCTTAAAAATTAAACAAACTCACAACTTGTTGAACAATATCCACAACAGTTTTCTTGTGTTCGTTCTGCGGGTTGTGGACGTAATGATCAAGCACTTTTTTGACTGCAGTGTATCCCTCACCATCGGTTTTAGAAGTAGCCGCCAGAGCTAAGCCACCTAGGACGACTTGTAGAATGAAAATGAGAACAAGAAAAAAGATATACTAGAAGAAAAAAGTTAGGTTTGAAAATCAAAATGAAGTATTATTACAATTGGTAGTTCTACAAATACAAGCGCCGAAAAGAATCACAATTACTATTAAAACAGTAATGGTTATTATCTTCTACATTGATTTGATTCGATTTCTTGAGCCATAGAATAAAATAACAAAATTCTTACATTTAAAAAGTTTTTAACGCAATTGTGTAATAAATATTGTTACGTACATATACAAATTACGTATTTCGGTTTACAATTAACCAAGTAATTTTCGCGATTCTGAGGAGTCGCTCTTCTTTAAAAGACGAAAAAATAAATGACGTCAAAACCCTAGAATTTACCCGTTACAGTTTTGTCTTAACCGTGTAAAAAAGTACCTCCAATATCACCGATCCAATTGCTGTTCCACCAAGGTCGTAGAATTTTGGCATAATATGTCTTCGAATACTGGATACGCATCCCCGACTGTATAATTCTTGGTTAGTCCAATCCAGTTTGTAGCAACTAGCGGGATGCTGCTTGAAACCAGAAGAAATCCAGTACTGTGGACCTTCAACTCCGCAACATTCAAACTGAAAATTTTTAAGTGTTGTCAGTGTTTAACTTTTAATAAACTCACGTTTTGCTGATAGTATCAACAATTTTTTTCTTGTTGTCGGTTTGATTGTGGACATAATCATCAAACACTGTTTCGACAGCAATTTAAACTTGATCGTTGTGTGGACAAGTAGCCGCCAGAGCTAAGCTACCCAAAACGATTTGAAGAATTATAATGAAAACAACAGCAACATAATACTAGGGAAAAAAATAGTTTTCAAAATCAAAACGAAATTTTCACTCTCACCATATACTTATATTCTTCGTCCACACAAACGCCGCAAATAAAAATGACTAGCATTAAAATACCAATGGCTATGGCAAAAGCGCCTAACGAAGCACCCGTGAATCTTGAAATTCCTTGACTCTCCTCGCTGAGAACTTGAGAACCTAAGCCCACGAAAGTGATGGAGAATGCCTACAATATGATTATTAAATTATTAATACAACCTAAGATAAAAGAGTTATTAATGATTTAAATAACAGATGTTAAATTAAATTTATTTTAGGAGGTGATTGTGTAGAATTCGTATTCTAAGTTTGTTGCTATTTCTATTTGATCTTAAAAAAATTATTGTAAATTCACGTCATCGCCAAACGAACAGTAGTTTTTAAATAGACTTACCACCAAAAAGATGTTGATTTTACTTGCCATTGACATTTCGTCCTCAAAGCAGCCGCATATGCAAGAAGAATTGGTCTAAAGTTATTTAAACAGAACTTCTCTCGTCTCTGGAATACAGACGAACAAATACAGATTTATGGTAACCTCTATACCTAAGTTAAAATAAAGACATGTGTAAATATATATATAAAGGAGCATGCTATGCATACATGTTTCAAGCGAGTTATTCCATAACAAAATTTTGTGATGAGGTCATCAACGTTTTACCAAGGACATATATGTATATCAATTTGAATAGATGAAATGTTCTAAACATACATTTAAATTTGACGACAATCGGTCTAGTAGTTTCGGAAATTATTTGTCTATTAAAAATCGGCACAGACAGACAGACGGAAATGCGAGACCCACTTTTTCGAACTGTAGGGGTCATGATATGTTGAGAAAACATCAAAGTAGCCGTTTGTGGTGTGGACCCTATTACAGCACTTTCTTAGCACGTTCAAGAAGTAAACATGTGTTTTGTTTTTTATAGAATAGACCAATTTTTGTGAAATAGGTATATAAAAGCTCGTGTATGTTTTTAACCGCTAGCAACGAACTTTGGTCATCACTCATCAGTGTCATAATCATTACAAAACACTTATTATTGTCTTAAGATACCTTCGGTTAGAGAAGTAAAGAACAGTTTTCCCACATAAATTTTCCATCGGTTTAATGGAAGACTTACTTTAATGTAGATATGGTATGAAACCAGTAAAACTCACAAAATGCACATTTTTATTACCTAAACCTAACCGATTTTTTTTAAACTCTTATACACGGTCACGGTTATAGAATAGATAGGTTGATACACTAGCATACATTTGCATATCCCTGGTCAGCGACGCCAATTGCCGATCGCGTCGCCTGGTTTTTGACGTTTTAGGGACACAGAACTCTATAGGCATCTGTCTATAACCGATGTAATTAATAAAAGAAATCGTACTTATCGACTCCGATCAAATGTCATTTACAAATTTTGCATTGTTCATAAAGCAATGTAAACGAAAATCCCCAAAATAACTAGAATGATTTCCGCTCGACAAGGTAGAGGCGCTAGCTGTATGTGTCCTTTCCATGGATATAGGGATCGAAAAGAAGCGTCGCCATCCCAAGCCATTAGTGTACAAACCTATCTATTCTACAACCGTGTACACGGTAGATACAAGTTGCTGGTAAATAATTGTCAAGTGTGTCGTGAAGGTAATAATAGTTACGATTTTTTTCCATGTCTCTTTACTATCTTAAGTAATCTTTTAATAGGTACTTGTCAGCGTTTTTTCGCAGTACAAACATAAATGAAAAGTACGCACAACCTATATAGAACTTTTACCACACGAAACTTGTAAAATTCGTTGGATGATTATAAAACCACTACTACCAGTGGTTTTATAATTCATATTTATAAACATTCTGTGCCATTTATAAAATTATTTTCTGACCGAAGAGAATAATATTATTTGCACGACAGCACACATTAGTAGAACAAAATCATATTTTTGTGAGTAATTTATAAAATTGCTTTTTATTAATACTCATTTCACTCTATACTCAAAGATTCGTAATGGAATGACCTCTGAATTTTAACGTTTTCATTTCAAATATTTGCAGACATAATATCTGTTTACTTTCCGAGCGTAAGGTAAGGAAGTCCTGTAATAGGGTCCATCAGGCGACTGGCTACTTTCATGCTTTCTTGACATTTCATAATCGCAAGTGTATGGAAATAATAGCATCATTAAATTTATCGGACTGTGTTCTTCATCTGCGTCTTCTTCTTTCCTGTTTCGGTGGTCTTGCGGTTGATAAAATTATTTTTTTGATTGAAGGTAATAGATTATGTATCACACATTACTAGAACAAGGACATATTTTATCAATGACGTTGAAGTCATTGATAAAAGTATGCCTTTGGCCGAAACATTTGGAAACGTAATAAGTTTTTTTAGCAACAAATATCAGACCGTGAAGTGCATTTCAGGGCAACAAACATGGACCGTAATTTTATGATTTCCCTAAACAGGGCATCTTTTATTATAGGTATTAAGTAACATCGTTTATTAACAAAATGTGGCATAATTTAGGGTTAATCAAGTAACCTCTGTGATTCTTCGGAGTTTCTGTTGCCCAAAATCCATAACGAAATGGTGCCAAAAGCCTAAAACTTGTTCGTTAAATTTTGATCTTAACTACCTACTTTAAACGAAAAGTACCTCTGTTAGTGCAAATGCAATTGATATTCCACCCACGGCTCGGAATTTTCCTGTAACGCTTTCTTGAAACTTAGATACGCATCCCTCGAAGTATAAATCGTTGTTAACATGACTATAGCAACTATCAGGATACTCTAAACCAGCAGAACTCCAGTACTGTGGACCTTGAACTCCACAACAGTGAAACTAAAATTTTTAGATATCTTCAGTGTTAAACCTTAAATAAACTCACATATTGCTGAATAGTATCAACTTTTTCTTTGTTGTACTCGTTTTGCTGATTGTGGACGTAATCGTCAAACACTTTTTTGACAACCGTATATATCTGACTATCGTTATTAGAAGCAACCGCCGAAGCTATGCCACCTAAGACAATTTGTAGAATGATAATGGGGACAAGAGAAACATAATACTAAAAAAGAATGTTAGTTTGGAAAACGAAACGAATTTTCATTCTCACAGTTCGTAATGTATAAATGCAGCAAAGAACATTGATCAGAGCTAAAACACCAAGGCTTACAGCGAAAGCGCCTATTGAAACAGTTGTAACTCTTGGAATGCCTTGGCTTTCGTCGTCGAGAATTGTAGAACCTAAGGCTATGGAAACGAAGGAGTATATCTACAACATAATTAATGCAAACATAAAAATCTTATGATACAATAGATGTTAAATTAATTTTGTGTTAGGAGATGACTGTGTATTTAAAAATTATTTTAAGAGAGACTTACCAACAAAAAAATGTGTAATGTACAAGTAATTAATTTATCCCAATCGCAGCGGCACGGCATGCTAGAAAAATGTAAGTTTTATTTTTTGCTATACATATAAAATATTATACATATAAATGTTATATAAAAATGTTTTCGTTAGCGTCCTATTAGGGATGTAGGGAAATACGTAATTACTCCAAAGTTGTGTAAGCATAAGTTATTAGAGATAACAAAGAAAAATAACGAATATTAAGTTCCCATTGTTTTAAATAAGCCAAATTAAACTTAATTTGTGCAACTTATTGATGTGATATGCAACCAACAAAACTCACTGTCAGTGTAAATCTTGTAAATAACAGTTTTGTATTTTCCATACCTCCTTATCTTTGAGTGTTGATTTTTTTCCAGTTGATTACCACTTTCTCACTACAAACAAATGAAAAATCTGTACAACGTCTACCAAAAATATGGAATTTTCACACACAAGTATTATCAATTTTCCTAAATAAGACCACTACAGCCACACTTTTTATAAGGTTTATCAAATTATTTTCTGATTATCTGTTCGATATCAAGAAGTATTAAAACAAGAGAATATTCCTTATCATTATTATTTTAACATTTTTGTATTGATTATGATCTTGATAGAATCGTAGTAATCTTCTTTTAGTAGCAAATATCTGAATTTCAAGGCATCAAATATCCATCGTAATTTCGTCGGAAAAGAGTTAACATTTCTGTTGAAACTGGATTCGCTGCTATCAATTTTATCATAAAGGGAAGATATTTAACGTAATAAACTGTATAAGGATATACTTAACCACTCTAAGGTGTATTTATGTATGAAAATATATTACAATTTAAGGCTAAGCAAATAGGTAACTTTTCTTTGTCTTCTAAACCGACTTAATGTGTTTTTCTTCAAAAGTATAATTATTATTAATTAATATTATTTAACGTAATGTACTAAAGTTAATGTCGTAGGTATATATACAAAATTTGTTTCAGTTTAACATTAAGCAATAAGTAATCTTTGCAATTCTTGGGAGTTGCTGTTGACCAAGATACAATAATAAACGATACCAAAACCCTGCAATGTCCTTGTTAAATTTTTATCTCAATTGTTTTAAAAAGTACCTGTACTAGCGCAAACGCAATTGCTATTCCACCAATTGCCTGAAATTTCGGTGTAATGCTTTCTTCAAAACTAGAAACGCATCCCTCTTCGTACAAATCGTTGTCAAAAGAATTTTGGTCGTAGCAACTAACAGGATACTGCTTAAAACCAGAAGAATTCCAGTACTGTGGGCCTTCAACTCCGCAACATTTAAACTGAAATTTCTCCCTATAGTCGTGTTAAAAATTAAACAAACTCACATCTTGTTGAACAATATCGACAACAGTTTTCTTGTGTTCGTTCTGCGGGTTGTGGACATAATCATCAAACACTTTTTTGACAGCAGTGTAGACCTCACCATCGCTTTTAGAAGTAGCCGCCAGAGCTAGGCTACCCAAGACGACTTGTAGAATGAAAATCATAACAAGAAAAAAAATGTACTAGAAGAAAAAGTTAGGTCTGAAAATCAAAATTAAGTATGCTTACAATTGGTAGTTCTACACAAGCGCCGAAAAGAATCATGATCCCTATTAAAACACCAATGGCTATAGCGAATGCACCTATTGAAACCATTGTGAATCTCGGAATGCCTTTGCTTTCATCGCTGAGAATTGTACAACCTATGGCTACTAAACAAATGGAGCAGATCTAGAATGAAGTTAATACAAAAGTAAAAATTTTGACGATATGGCGTGTGTTAAAATAATTTTATGATAGGAGCTGACTGCCCAGATGTTTGATTTAGATGGACTTACCAATAACACGATGTGGAATATGCACGCAGTAATCGTGCATTTTTCCTTATAGTGGTGACTGGGCATCCTAGAAATAAATTTTTGTTTTAATAAAACCTAAGGAAGTTTATTTTGAAGTTTTTCTTGTGATATGCAACCAGTAAAACTCATTCGCTTCCAACTTCGGTAAAGCTTGTGGGAATTGTTAGCACCAAGTTCTTTTGAAATTCTTCCACTGTACTTGCGAATTTACTACTAAATAACTGTCGATTCTATTAGGCACCGTCATCATTAAGGTAACTGTAAATATATATAATTTTTGCCATACCTTCTTATCTATGAATTTTGCTATCAGTGTATGATCAGCTTCCCAGTACAAACAGAATGAAACATGGGTACAACACAAGGTTAGTTAATAGAGAAGATCTATTAAATGACTTTGGGTACAACATATGTCAAAAACACATTACAAAAATTTTTAAATTTCGTGGACAGTTTTAGGACCACTACAATTGCGCTTTTTCACGGTTTATAAAATTCTGTTTTGACGAAAGATAATGAGCTTATCTTCGCCATATCACATTATTATTAGAACAGGAGCACATGTTTTATCATTTTTACTCGAGGATTCGTTATAATCTTGATCGATATACATAATTTTTTTAATAACAAATGTCGTACTATCAAAAAACCGTCAACATCAAGTACAGAACTTGCAAATTAATGAAAATGATGAATTTTCTCAAAATGAAAGAAAAACGTGTTTGACACTCATCGGCACCGTCTTTTGAATTTTTTTTAATTGCTTTATTTGCAAGCTTCGATGTACTTATCGGTCACTTATCTTTATCAACAATATAAGGTATCACTGAAATTTTATTAACGACTGATAGTTATTTATGTAATTACTTGCAAATACGAACACGTTAATTTTTCAAAATGTGCCACATTTTTAAAGAATTTGTAAGATTTGTGATTTTCGTTTCTGCTTCGCTTTTCACGGTACTTTTTCCTAAACATGGGAGTGGGGTAGTTTCATTTAATACATTGCAGATAATCGGAGCGACCTTGGTGCTTATTGGAACACTACATTTGGTTAATTCTAAATTTGTAACTGACACCTTCGGCAGCCTTCATCTAATACCATATCTACTAATAACCATCGGGTTCATAATATTCGTAATTTCGTTCTTCGGCTGCCAAGGTGCTTATAAAAGGAATCAGTGCTTTTTATACACTGTAAGTGCCTATATATAACGTCACTAACATACAGACCACCTATTTTTTTTGTGTTGCAGTACGGATGCATACTTTTGGTTTTCTTCGTCGTCCAAGTTGCGTTAGGAGCTTATATTATATCACAACTCAAAAATAAAGGCGAATCTAGGCAAAACATTGAAGAAACTGTTAACTATATTTTTGAAAATACCGAAAATACGTTAAATAAAGAGACTGTCGATTTTGTACAACAAAAATTAGAGTGTTGTGGAACTTACGGACCAATATTTTGGTTCCAAAAACTAAAAGTTTTGCCGAAATCTTGTTACAAATCTGAAGCAAATATATTACCGTTTACTAGTGGTTGCACGGATAAAATTTTGCACTTGTTGAAGAATATACTCATAGGCACTGGAGTTGGGGGCTTGATTTTGGCTATGTTTGAGGCAAGTAGTTAACGACAGTTACAATTTTTTATTTAAAATTGTTATTACAGCTTGTAATGGGCATACTCTCGCTTTATTTTGCTAGTACCTTGGGAAAAAATTATCAACACTACTTAAGGGCGAGAAATGTAGTGTACTAGCTAACGTTCCTAATAAATCTCTTATTATAAAACAACTAGTTTGTTTTTTACGAAAACCCAAAATTCATCAGAAAAGTGGTTCGGAAATGTTGTTTCTCGAAATTATTGACATGAATCATTTTTGTTCCCAATGTTATTTTTTATCGTTATCTATACATTATTTTTTAAATCATCAACACGATACCACGCCCGGGTATTTACGTGTTCCAATTCTAAGTATAACTGCAGATAAGCTGATAAAGTGATAAGTAAACCGCCGTTGATTTCACACAGTGAGGCCTCTTTTCACAATGTGTCTCCTCAAAGAATGTGTCAAATTTGTCGTATTTGCATTCAACTTAATCTTCGTGGTAAGATATTTTCTTCATTTGTTGTCTTTTATTGTATCAATAGTACGTTGCACAAACACATACTTCCTTTATCTCCATTATCATTCCCTGTGTTAGTATAACGCACTACGTTTTTAGATCGTTGGCGCAGCCCTCATCACTGTAGGTGCAATCTACCTAGTGAATTTTACCGATGTAACTAACGCCATCCCGGAACTTTACAACGAGATCAAGTTGATTCCCATTTTAACAGTTGTTATAGGCGGTGTTATTTTCCTTATATCGTTCTTCGGCTGCTGTGGGGCTATTAGAAGTAGTTCGTGTCTTCTAACTACAGTAAGATTAATTTAGCTATTTTTTTACATTTTAATGTTTTGTCATCGCCAGTATGCTGTGATTCTTCTAATCATCTTTATCTTACAAATCGCTCTGGGAGTGTTCGCCTTCTTAGAAATAAAAGACGAAAAGGATTTCCAAACGAACGTGGATAAAACTATCGATCAAATCTTCCGCAAGACGGATAATGCAAGTATGGAAGTAAGAGACTTTATACAGAAGGAGCTTCATTGTTGTGGCACTTATGGTCCGCTCTTTTACGCAGAAATTCGCGAACAGGTACCACCCTCGTGCAAGAAAGACAACATCATACCTTATACAGCTGGGTGTCAGAAAACATTTTTCGTTTTCTTGAAAGATGCTGCTAGAATTATAGGAATCGTGGTTTTGGCTTTAGCCGCTACTGAAGTGAGTCATTGGTTCAAGTGGTTGATAAAATTGAACATTGCGAAACTTATTTTTTTGTAGGTTGTTGGAGCCACGTTCTCGTTATGTCTAGCAAATTCCATAAGAAATGGAGTGAGAAGGAGTGGCTATTACTAAGTGCGTAGTAAGATAAATATATTACATAAGATTGTTTTTATAACTTTGCCAATATAATTGTGTTATTAATTTTGACGTTTATTATCTTTTGCCAGCGGAACGTATGCCATATTTTGCTTATCAACGAGAGAATATGGCGAAGAAGATTAACTATGTAGTACAGATTTAGATTATTTATAATAAGAGGGAAAAAGTTTTTTTAGAAATAATTTTCCAGGAAAGTTCTATTTTTTCGTAAAACTTTTAGTTACTTTGCTTGGACATTTGAAATTTTCTATACAGGATGAATTAATTTGCAATTTTTGCTTTCTAGAGTTTTCAAACGGAACAACCTAAATCTTATAACATTTTGGAACTTATTTCTAAGCGCACTTTTTCGTGTTTTAAATATTGCCGTTAAGATTCTTTTAAATTCTTTCAAAAACAAAGATTTTTTTAAATTCGTTCTAAAATAAAGCATGAGATGCTCTTTAGATTATTTTAATTTATTCCCAAACGCTCAAACACTCTTAAAAAAAAATAGACCAGGGAGCTCGAGATTCTTTCAGATATTTTGAAAATGAATGAAAGGTTCTTCCAAATTATTTTAAAAACAAAACACCAAGCCCCTCAAGATTTTTTCAAATTCGTTACAGAACCAGGTACGAGAGATAATCAAGATTCTTTCAATTTACTTCAAAAACAAAACATCTAAGGCCCTCAAGCTTCTTATAATCTCTTGCAAAAACAAGACATTAAAGGCTCAAACATTAAAAAAAAAGAGACAAGAGACACCAAGATTCTTTCGGATTTTTCAAATTTCAAAGACCGTCAATATTTTTCAAATTTTTTTCAAGAATATTGCTAGGAGTTTCCAAGGTTCTTTAAAATTATTTCAGAAACAAAACACCAAGGCTCCTCAAGAATTTTTCAAATTCGTTACTGAGCAAGGCACGAGAGATACTCAAGATTCTTTCAATTTACTTCAACAACAAGATATTAAAGGCTTAAACATTTTTTCGAAAAAAGAGACAAGAGACCAAAATTCTTTCAAATTTTTTCAAAATGAAAACAGCAAAGATCATCAATATTTTCCAAAATTTTTTCAAAAACAATGCAACGTGAACACGTCCTTTTTCGTCCTTATTCCTCATTTTCGTCCTTTTCGTTCTTTTCGTCATTTTCGTCCTTTTCGTTCTTTTCGTCCTTTGCGTCCTTTTTCGTCCTTTTCGTCCTGTTTGGTCCTTTTTCGTCCTTTTCGTCCTTTTCGTCCTTTTTCGTCCTTTTTTGTCCTTTTTCGTTCTTATTCCTCATTTTCGTCCTTTTTCGTCCTTCTCGTCCTTTTTCGTCCTTGTTCGTCATTTTTTTGTCCTTATTCCTCATTTTCGTCCTTTTCCTCCTTTTTCGTCCTTTTCGAAAAAGGGCCCAAGGTTCTTTAAAATTATTTCAAAAGCAAAAGACTAAGGCCCCTCAAGATTTTTTCAGTTTACTCCAAAAACAAAATACCCAAGGTTCTCAAGCTTCTTATAATCTCTTGCAAAGACGAAACACCAAAGGCTCAAACATTGTTTCAAAAAAAAGACTAGGGATCTCAAGATGCTGTCAGATTTTTGTTTCAAATGTCAACAGCAAGAACCGTAAATAAAAAATTTTTAAAAACAATTCCAAGAGCACTCAAAGTTCTTTAAAATTATTTCAAAAACAAAGCACCAAGGCTCCTCAACATTTTTTCAAATTCTTTTTAAAACAAAACACGGGAGGCTGTCAAGATTATTTCAATATTTATTTCAAAAACAAAACACCCAAGGCCGTCAAGCTCGAAAACAGGAAAGGTCGTCAATATTTTCCAAAATTTTTTCAAAAACAATGCAACGTGAACACGTCCTTTTTCGTCCTTATTCCTCATTTTCGTCCTTTTCGTTCTTTTCGTCCTTTGCGTCCTTTTTCGTCCTTTTCGTCCTTTTTGGTCCTTTTTTATCGTTTTTCGTACTTATTCCTCATTGTTGTCCTCATTTTCGTCTTTTTCGTCCTTTTCGTTCTTTTTCGTCCTTTTCATCCTTTTTCGTTCTTATTCCTTATTTCGTCCTTTTCGTCCTTTTTCGTCCTTCTTTGTCCTTTTTCGTCCTTTTCGTCCTGTTTCGTCCTGTTTCATCCTGTTCGTCCTTTTTCGTCCTTTTCGTCCTTTTCGGTCCTTTTCGTCCTTTTCGTCCTTTTTCGCCCTTTTTTGTCCTTTTTCGTCCTTATTCCTCATTTTCGTCCTTTTTGTCCTTTTTCGTCCTATTCGTCCTTTTTCGTCCTTGTTCATCCTTTTTCGGCCTTTTTCGTCCTTTTTCGTGCTCATTCCTCATTTTCGTCCTTTTCGTCCTTTTCGTCCTTTTCGTCCTTTTCCGTCCTTTTCGTCCTTTTCCGTCCTTTTCGTCCTTTCTCGTCCTTGTTCGTTCTTTTTCGTCCTTATTTCCCATTTTCGTCCTTTTCGTCCTTTTTCATCCTTATTCCTCATTTTCGTCCTTCTCGTCCTTTTTCGTCCTTGTTCGTCATTTTTTTGTCCTTATCCCTCATTTTCGTCCTTTTCGTCCTTTTTCGTCCTTTTCGAAAAAGGGCCCAAGGTTCTTTAAAATTATTTCAAAAGCAAAAGACTAAGACCCCTCAAGATTTTTTCAGTTTACTCCAAAAACAAAATACCCAAGGTTCTCAAACTTCTTATAATCTCTTGCAAAGACGAAACACCAAAGGCTCAAACATTGTTTCAAAAAAAAGACTAGGGATCTCAAGATGCTGTCAGATTTTTTTTTTCAAATGTCAACAACCGTCAATATTTGTTTAAAAAATGTTTAAAAAAAAATTCCTAGAGCACTCAAAGTTCTTTAAAATTATTTCAAAAACAAAGCACTAAAGCTCCTCAACATTTTTTCAAATTCGTTTTAAAACAAAACACGGTAGGCTGTCAAGATTATTTCAATATTTATTTCAAAAACAAAACGTCCGTTAAGCTCACTTTTGCAAAACCAAAGCACTAAAACGGTTCAAACAGTTTTTATTTTTTAAGACAAGATTCTTTCAGATATTTTCAAAATGAAAACAGCAAAGATCGTCAATATTTCTCAAAATTTTTTCAACAACTATGCTAAGAGTTCCCAAGGTTCTTTAATTTTTTTTCAAAAACAAAACACCCAAAGCCTCAAGCTTCTTATAATCTTTGCAAAAACAAAATACTAAAGGTTTATAAATTTTTTCAATAAAAAAAAGACGAGAGAAAGATTCTTCCACATTTTTTTTATGAAAACCGCAAGGACCGTCAATGTTTTTTTAATTTTTTCAAAAACAGTATTAGGACCCTTCAAGATTTATTGAACTTCTTTTCAAAAAAAAGGGACCAGGGAACTCAAGAGTCTTTCAGATTTTTTCAAAATGAAAACAGCGGGGACTGTCAATATTCTTTTAAATTTTTTCAAAAACAATACTCGGAGCCCGCAAGTTTCTTTCAAATTATTGCAAAAACAAAACACCAAGACCGCTCAAAATTGTTTCAATTTCGTTCTAAAATAAAGCATGAGAAGCTCTCAAGATTCTTTCACTTCATTTCAAAAACAATACTAAGATCCCCCAAGATTTTTTGAAATTATTTTTTCGGTTTACTCCAAAAACAAAACACTCAAGCCCCTCTTATAATCTCTTTGCATAAACAGAAGACTAAAAAGGTTCAAACGGTTTAAAATAAAAAGACAAGAGACACCAAGATTCTTTCAGATATTTTCAAAATGAAAACAGGAAAGAGCATGATACAAGTAAATATGGTATGGACATACGCAGGTTTGCTGACGTCACTTGGCTGTATTCAGGCGGGAAATTGAAATATTTACCGAGCCCAACTAAAGTCACTAGATCTACTGTTACTTTTAGAAAGTACGGCAAACTGCCTGTGGTCGGAATTCGACAGAGAGGAACCTAACCTATGTGTTAAACAAAGATAGCGCGAGGCTAGTAATTTTCGCTATCTGTCAACGAAAGGTTGATGTGTTTACGATTTGAGGTTACGACAGACTGTACTAGAATTATTGAGTTAACGGACCGGAAAGAACACTATTCCAGTCCCAAAGTAACTCCAGCCCTATTCAACGAGAAAGTGTCACCGGTAACCAGCAAACAGTCGTGGAAGACGTGTTACCACCAAGGCAATTGACGGCCAAATGACAGTAACAGGATCGCCATACTGGAAGCAAAAAATACCTGCTGTCGAAAAGACGGAGCATAACAAGGACACAGATATTTTCTTATTATTTGCTATCATCCCCGCTATTTTTTTAACAACGCTAGGTCGCTAGCAAACCACCAATTTGTTTTTACGCATCAGTTTGGTAACAATAAACAATAACCCTCAGAACCACAAAAACTCATAACTGCCTCATAACCCTTAAAATTGATATTTGACATCAGATGTCAACACAGAAGTGGAAGGTCATTCATTCCACATGACGTCAGATAACGTTGCGCAGAAGAAGACGAGTTTTGGTTCATGGGATGTCCATACCATATTTACTTGTATCATGGGAAAGAGCGTCAATATTTTTCAAAATTTTTACAAAAACAATGCTAGAAGTCCCCAAGTTTCTTTAAAATTATGTCAAAAACAAAACACCAAGGCCCCTCAAAGACAAAACACTGGGGCCTCTCAAGATTTTTTTCAATATATGTACCTCAAAAACAAAATAATCCAAAGCTCTTAAACTTCTTCCAGAAACAAAACACTGAAAATCCAAACATTTTTTCAAAAAAAAGGTACAAGAGAGATCAAGATTCTTTTAGATTCTTGTAAGTTCTTTCAATACCAAGAATGCCAGGGGCTTCTAAGGTTATGTCAAATTATTTCATAACAAAACACGAAGGCCCTTGAAGATTTTTTCAAATTCGCTCTAACCAAAAACCAAAGGCTAAAACATTCTTTCAAAAAAAAGGGGGACAAGCAACTTCAAAATTGTTTCGATTCTTTTAAATTCTTTCAAAAAAATAATACTAAATGTTCCCAAGACTTTTTTAATCTCTTTAAAATACTAAAGATCCTCAATTCAAATTCGTTGTAAAACAAAACACCTGCAGATTTCAAATTTTTTTCAATTTTTTTCAAAAATAGAGTCTCAGGGTTTTCCAAAATTCTTTCGAAAACAGAAGATTAAGATTTATTGACAGAGATCCCAAAATTTTCTTCAAATTCTCTCAAAAACAAAATACCAGGGAGCTTCAAAGAATAATGCCCCTATATTGGTTAACATTCAGCTTTATCTATACTTATATAATAAAGCTGAAACTTTTGTTTATTTGAACACGCATATCTCAGAAACTACTGCTTCAAATTCAAAAAATCTTTTTGTGTTGGATAGTCCATGTATCATATCTACATATAGGCTAGATAACATCACGCTATGATCATTAGGAGCGAAGTAGCAATGAAAAATTCGGAAAAACGGGAAAATTATTCCTCCTTTGACAGCTTCCGTTGCTTACGCTGCTTAAACGGTTAAAGTTACGTAAAAATCATGTATAACGAAATTGTTCCCCTCTAAAAGTTCTAAAGAAAAGTCCGCGACAGCATATGTCTATCTTTTAAGGTCGAGTCAGTATAACCTTTTTTATGGTAATGAAATTTGTTCTAAAATAATAATGCATTATGTATAAAATTCTCGCGTCACAGTGTTTGTAACCGAACTTCTCCGAAATGGGTTGACCGATTTGTATGAAATTTTTTATGTATATTCGGTAGGTCTGACAATAAGTTGTAAACTATTTTTTAAACCCCTAAATGATAAGGGTGGCCCACCCTAAAAAATGTTTGTCTATTTTTTGGACAAAATTTTTTATTTTTATTTTTTTAAGATTTAGCATAAAAAAATACACATAACCCTAAATTTTTACCTTTCTACCACCAACCCCCATTTTTTAATCGTCTATAAAATAAAAATCAATTGCTGTTCCTGTTAGTCTCGCTAAGACTCAAAAACGGCTTGACCGATTTGAAATTTTTTTTATATTACGGGGATGGTTTATAAATAAAAAAAATAAGGATAACTTAAAAGAACAGTTAAAAAATAAAAAAATTCTAAAAATTTTGTATGGGAATCGCCACTTCGAATTAATTTCAATAGTTGGCGTTTCTGACGGACCTGTCGTCTAACTCATGTGTCATACAAAACTAATTCTTCCGTGCGATTGTGAAAAGTATATTGCATTTGAAATCGTTCTTTGTTTTTTCGTAAAAAAAAACGTCATTTATTTTAAGAAAAGTCTTGGTTAAAGTGAATTTAATTACACATTGCGAAAGTTTTCTTATTCATTTTGATCTGCCATTCTTTTTACCTATATTCACTTTGTTGGTTTAGACAAAACCTCAAACTTTACCGTTATTCGAGGATTAAATTTGAAGTTTTCAATATTTTAAAATTCTCAAGACAGAATTTACAGATGTGATTGACTGTGAAAATAATTCTGTGTCGTTTTATGAAGTTCATTAAAATGCCGAGAAGACAAGCTCACATAGGTCCACGAAGTCAATCAAATGTGCGACGAACTACCTCAGGTGCAAACCGCAATGATTTATTTCATGGGTAATTCGGATATGGAAGTTGATCAGCGTTGTGCTCATAATCAACATAATCAAACATTGAAGCGAGACATTGGCTGGTATGAATAAAACTGAGTAGATACTCATATTCAAAGTACGAAGTACCTACTTCATTATTACTCTTACATACCTGAGCATCTACTCTATGTACTGAGTACCTACTTGGGAACATTGTATCTCCCCGGACACAAACTGAACATCTACGCGTTTTGTGAGCATTTAATCTAGAAATGAGCATCGGCGTGGCAAATAACTGAGCTGTCTGTAAAGCGGCTTAGAAAACCAGTAGGATCGTTGTAAGAGTGAATTTTAACTAAACATGGTGACTTTCATGAACGTGGAACGTCGTCAAAATGTGCATTCAGTTTGAAAAACACATTAGGAGCAGGAATATCGAAAACTTTTCATGTAATTAATTTTTATTTATGCATAGATTGTGCAGTGCGTTTTTTCTAACACTGGCCATAGAGATTCCCATCTCAAGGTGTCTACCCCATGTTAACTTATATTTTGGTGACCCGATTTTTGCCTTGATGGTTGAACACTGTCACTGTTGTCCTTTTTTGTTGTATCGAGATGCTACTTGAGCATCAACTGTTACCTACTGAAGTATTAGTATCATCTAGAAAAACTAGAAATATTTTGATTTGATATTCGAGTAGATACTTCGTATTTCGAGTATGAGCATCTACTGAGTTTTATTTATATCAACCATTGTCAAAAAATTGATCGAACGTTGTTTCGACAGAACTTCCTTCGCACCAAAAGTATAATGAAACCTATTCAGCATTTTCGAGTTGAGTCTGTTCTTCACACAATTTTGTGATGACCTAATCAACATTTACTATCAACACGTATACCACCTTGGATTGGTGCAGTGTAATACTAAAAATAACTGTATTGTATTCTCAAAATTATCTGCGAAAATCGAGTGAGCCATTCCATCAATTTTTTGGGGGGAATAAATAAATATTCTTAACAATTTACCATGCTTACAATAACTTTAAAACGTCTGCAAGATCTCAAAGTATTCATTTTTGCAACTCTTGAGTTATTCACGAAAATAAATTGACTGATCCATATATTTTTTTGAGTCACTGTAAAAGCAAATCTAAAAGATATGAATGCAATGATAAATTACGAAAATATACTGATGATGTTTTCCACATTTTAGATAGGATTTATTCGGCAAAATCTTGAGATGACGTCTTCAAGTTTTTGGGCTTGATAAACAGATATATTTTGATTGAAAACCTACCATGTCAAACAGTAACTTCAAAACCTCTGCAATATTTCAAAATTCAGTTTTGCAATTCTTGACTCAATCAATAAAATAAATTGACTCATTGATTTTTTTGAGACACCCCCTATAAGCAAAACTAAAAAATATGAATGGAATGATAAATCACAAGTATAGTCTCATCCTATTTTGGACATTTTAGATAGGATTCATTTGGCGAAATTTTGAGCTGACGTCATCAGTTTTTTGGAGGGGATAAGTAAATATATTTTGAATAAAAATTTATTATGCTTATCATATGTTTAAAACATCTGCAAGATTTCAAAGCATTCGATTTTGCAGATTCAAAATTAAATTGTAGGTGAAACGAAGTTCACGGGGTCAGCTAGTGTTTCTAATAAAATCGACAGACAGACTACACACAGACAAGCTAAACCGTGGAGAACATACACTTCGCCATTCATATTTTTTGATAACTCCTATATATCAATAGATTCTAGGATTAATTGAAAACATTTATTCAGTTTTACATATATGATATTTCTTATAAAGTAAATTATAAATTACTATAAATCTCAAAACTCGACCAAAATAGGAAAAAAAAAGAAGCAATTTGTCTATTTTCTTCAAAAAGTGTGTAAGTCCTTAGTTAAAGTAAGCAGTTATGTAGCAGGGGTTCTGGCTCATTCTTAAGAGAAGTTTATATGGAAAAACGTAAAATTTCAGAGGTGAGTTTTCTTGCTTTCTTTTGCTATTTATTAACTGTAAATTTCTAGACAATTTTGAGAATTTTGGAGTGTTTCAGATCAAAGTTTTTTGATCACGCATGGAGATTTAGAAAACTAATTTCTCGACGGGTTCATTGCCTTCAAAATCGCCAACAGACACACACAGACATCTGTAAACCGGAAACCTGTAGTTTCGTGTTCTACCGCCTCCACGACATTAAAAACCCAGAAATAAATCACACCAAAATGGTCTACCACTCAGGAACTGAAAATAACACCACCACCATCAAACCCATTCCTTGTTAAAAAAGTCAGTTATCCCTCATTAATTCTCACAAAGAAGACCCCGAACCCACCTCTTCCTCAGCCACGCACCTGCTTCCATAAAAACCGCACCATCTTCCGGTGACGCAACGCCCATCCACATTCTCCTCACATCGCCAGCCCGAACCTTTTACGCGAAGACTCCTCAAGCATTTCCTTCGCTTCCTCTCCGAGGAAGCCAAACACGACTGCGTTTCCTAGCAACTCGCACGGCATACACAAAACCGTCGTCCGACTTCATTCGCCCGTGGATGTTGCCAGCGACCAGAAGGCGGAATCGTGCGAGTGTTTTAATTTCGGCGAAATGGGCTGTTCCACCACGGTCGTCAAATACCTCGTGTTCTTCTTCAATCTAGTGTTCGCCGTAAGTAGCTTTTTGTTTCTTGCACTTAACCCGAGCCGACTCGATCCGGTGCGTAATTGTGTAAAAGCGTCGTGTAAATATTGACGGATGTGCCAACTTCGTGTTATTTCTGTCAAGATGATGAAATGGGTTTGTGTAATGGGAAGATTGGAGCGATTGTAGGTGGGCGACGGGTTGGTGGTCTGATGGTGGAGGATGGAGTGACGAAACGAGGGTGTGCGTGTGGGGATGGGGCGAGGGGTGGTGGGAGATAAGGTTTTATTATCTGTGGGGATACATGGAATTTTAATTAGCGTAATTGGGGAGGGCTTGTTTTAGTGGTGTTAAACAGAGTGGAGCAATTGGTGGTAATTATTTTGTTTGGGGGTTTTATCTGATTTCAAAATTGTACAGATTTCAGCAAAAAGGGAAAGTTGATAACTTTTGTCTTTACAGATGACTAGCAATTCCTGGATTCAGACAAGATTTAGGGAATTACGATCAGTAAAAGCTCATTGTTTCTAATATTCTAGTTCCAGATTTCGTTATGTGGTCAGTTTACATAATAAGGCAGTGATTCACTAAGTTCGATTAGGTTTGATAGCTATATATTTGCATACTCGGTTCAATTTGCCTTGACACTGTAACTAATAAAAGTTTGTCATGCTTGGTGAATCATACCTATTTGTTACAAACTTAAAAAATGTTTTTGACGAAATTTCTGCATCTCTATAACACAACCGATACCGATGCAAATTATAAGTTTTATGAATTCAAAACATGTACAGAAATTTTACAAATGAACTACCTTCAACATTCCTAATAAGGTACATAGGCCTAAGAACATCATGTTCAGCATCTATAAACGGTAGATCATTAATAAATATTAAGAATATCAACAATCTCGGAATTTGCCTGATCCAGTGATATTGTTTCTATAAACAAATAAAATCTAAACAATATCTCATTGTTAAATATATGTACTAAAAGTCACACATCTCAAAGCAAAAATATTCTTTTGTCAAAGTTGTCATCTTGTTTCTACTTGTCAATACATTTTTTCCACCTAAAACATTATTTATTGGAACATAATTAGCTCCCTATTTTTAATTATGCTTCCGCTTTATAAAAAATTCATTGTTGCATAATTAATATGAAATTAAAGTGTATTCAAGAGTCACAGATCTCCACAAACTGGAAACGAAAACTCCACTTTACCCATAATTACATGCTAAACTCAGGACCGAACTATCATTTTTTCGCCCCACAGTAAGGTTTATCACTCGTAATACAGACGTGGACAGGTATTGTCTTGGAAGTGTAAAGAAATGGTTTAACTTGAAACAATTAATTGATTGACGTTCTGTCATCTAAGAACTTCCTAGATAGTTTGTGAAATGAGTTCTACACACGGAGGTAGAAGAGACCGGAGGGAGCGTACCGTATGCTAGCAATGTAACGATTCTGGCATCGTTCAAGACCCGGTCAGACACCGGTTATGATCTTATTTGAACAAGGCGCCAATATTTGCCAGCCCGACGCAAACGCGCCCCTACACTCAACAGCTGACAGGGTTTGGATTTCCAGTGGCGTACTATCACGTAACACGTGCTGTTTATATGCAATTGTTCGTTCTTGAGTTTGAGTTTAGTTGTGCTGTTTTAGTTTTGGATGTGTTGTTGGTGTTTTTAATTTGAATAGACTTTGATTATAACTAAAGATCATAATAACATTTAGAGACTTATATATAAAGTAGTCAACATAAAATATGTTGCCCCGCCACTGGTTACGACTGCTAAACATTTAGAGGGTGGAGCTTAACACAGCGCGCATTTCAAGTAGGGTCATAAACGGTGCCTGAGTCTGTGTCACAAAATTCACGACACCTTCCCTCCGGTCTTTTCTACCTCCGTGGTTCTACACAATGCTTATTGTGTAAAGTGTAGTGAGATGTAAATATTTTCCAATGTACAAAATAATGCTTGAAATTATTTATATATATAAATTTCCTCAAAGTTTTTTGGTCCCTAGAGTACGAAAAAGTTGGTTTCCTGCTTCCGTCCGTCTGTCGTCTGTTTGTCTGTCTGTCTGTCTGTCGGCTGTCGTTTGTCGTCTGTGTTAATTTTTATTAGACAGTTGTCAAATTTTATATGTATGTTAGGAATATCGTGTAGATGGTAACACCCTAACCAAAAATTGTCTAACCACCCCCACTAACAATGCGATGACGTCATTTCCAAAATTTACAATAGTAGTTGTAGTTGTAGATTATGAATCCGTATTAATTTTTCACCCTAGACGTCCAGATTAAAATAAATAAATAAATAAATAAATAAATAAATAAATAAATAAATAAATAAATAAATAAATAAATAAATAAATAAATAAATAAATAAATAAATAAATAAATAAATAAATAAATAAATAAATAAATAAATAAATAAATAAATAAATAAATAAATAAATAAATAAATAAATAAATAAATAAATAAATAAATAAATAAATAAATAAATAAATAAATAAATAAATAAATAAATAAATAAATAAATAAATAAATAAATAAATAAATAAATAAATAAATAAATAAATAAATAAATAAATAAATAAATAAATAAATAAATAAATAAATAAATAAATAAATAAAATTGTATAACAACATGATTTGTCTTTGAACCTGGAAAACCAATTGGTCTGAAATCTTGTAAGCGTTTAAAGTCATCGTAAGCATTGTAAATCGTACACTAGTAGTTGTAGTTGTAAATTATTAATCCGTGTTAAGTTTTTATCCTAAATGTGCAGATTTCTAAAAAAAAAAATATAATTGTATAACAACATCATTTATCTTTAAAACTGAAAAACCAAATGGGCTGAAATCTTGCAAGTGTTTTAAGGTCATCGTAAGCTTAGTAAATCGTACAATAGTAGTTGTATATTATGAATCCGTGTTAAGTTTTTGTCCTAGACATCTAGATTTTGGAAAAAAAAATGTATAACATCATTTACCTTTAAATCTGGAAAACTAAATAGTTTGAAATCTTGCAAGCGTTTTAGGGTGATCGTAAGCGTACTATAGTAGTTGTAGTTGTAGATTATGAATCCGTGTTAAGTTTTTACCTTAGATGTCCAGATTTTTGAAAAAAAAAATGTATAACAACATCATTTATCTTTGAACCTGGAAAACCGAATGGACTGAAATCTTGCAAGCGTTTTAAGGTGATAGTAAGCATTGTAAATCGTGCAACAGTAGTCATAGTTGTACATTATGAATCCGTGTTAAGTTTTTACCTTGATTTCCAGATTTTTGAAAAAAAACTTAAAATTGTATAACATCATTTATCTTTGAAACTGAAAAACCAAATGGGCTGAAATCTTGCAAGTGTTTTAAGGTCATCGTAAGCATAGTAAATCGTACAATAGTAGTTGTAGATTATGAATCCGTGTTAACTTTTTGTCCTAGACGTCTAGATTTTGGAAAAAAAAGTATAACAACATCATTTACCTTTAAATCTGGAAAACCAAATAGGTTGAAATCTTGCAAGCGTTTTAAGGTTTTGAAAAAAAAAATGTGTATCATTTATTTTTGAACTTAGAAAACCGAATGCGCTGAAATAACGCAAGCGTTTTAAGGTGATCGTAAGCATTGTAAATCGTACAATAATAGTTGTAGTTGTAGATAATGAATCCGAGTTAAGTTTTATCGTAGACGTCTATATTTTGAAAAAAAAATATATATAACAACATCTTTGAACCTGGAAAACCGATTGGTCTGAAATCTTGCAAGCGTATTAAGGTCGTCTTAAGCATTGTAAATAGTCAATCAAAATTTATCCGTTTACCCCCGCCTAAAAAATCGATGACATATGCATAACATAGTTTTTTACCTATACTTTACCAGTCCATACATATCTTTTTTTAACTTACAGGGATTCTCAAAAAACAATAAATTGCAAAATTTAATTTTATAATTTTTCGAATAATCTGCGTTTGTTCGTCTGTATTTCAGGGTCTAAATAACCTTTAACAATTTTTTTGTTAGGTTTTCTATTCTTTTTACTTCCCGAGGGTAAGCCAAGGAAGTATAGTAATTGAGTACGAAAAAAGTCTTTTCCCATTTCCGTCCATCTGTCTGTCTGTCTGTCTGTTTGTCTCTGGCGATTTTTATTAGACAGATAATCTCCAAACTACTGGACCGATTGTTGTCAAATTTTGTATGGATAAAAGGATATCATGTAGATGGTAATCCGCTAGCCGAAATTTGGATAACCATCCCCACCAACAATTTAATGACGTGATCTTAAAATTGTATAAAATATCAGAGTTCTACACGTGTAGTTTATAAATCTGTGTCGAGTTTTTACCTGAGATATCCAGATTTTTAGAAAAAAAAAAATCAAAATTGTTAACAATATTTTGCATTGTTTTATAATACTTCAGGGGTGAGGGAAGGTTTGATTTTTTCGCATGTCTGCTTTTTATTTTCTCTTCGTCTGTTTATAAAAAAAGAAAAAGTGACTTACCTTTGACTGTTTCTAACTCTGTTTTTCAAAGTTTATTTTTATTATTTGATAATAATGTAAATCCACACAATTTGAAAAACTGGAACAAAGCACACTTAATTTCTGTTTGCACGGTGTTTATTTAGTATATAACATAAAAATTCTACAACCAACTTTTCAACAAGTAAAGTCAATAAAAACATTTGCGTGCAATAAAATCAATAACATTAAATAACCTTTTTCGTTTTTTTCTTCCTTCTGAGACGGTCGAAATAACCTTTTATAATTCTTTTACGTCAAAACTTTTTTGCTCCCATTTCTAAGTAAAAATATTTGTGTAAACATCTATACACACAAAGAAAAACAAATCATATTTTATGGAAAAAAAGGTAAAAGAACATTTCTATTACAAACACAATCGCCAAAACATTCTTTTTCCACAAACAAAATCGCTATTACAACCTGCTTTAATTCCCCTTTTATCAGATAAAGCTCAACCTTGGCAACTCACAACGAAATTTTAAAATTCTTATCAAAAAGCCATACAATGCGCCACAACACATTATCTACCACGCGCGCCTACATTACCATTAATAACCCCAGAACATTATTATTGAATACGAAACAATAAAAAATTCAACGTTTTAAATACGTCATGCTCCATATTTCCCAGCAAGATTGTTCCCAGCAACGATAAAGATTAGATTCGAGTTGCGTGAAAGCCAACTCGCATGCAACTTTTTTCTTTATTTTGATTACGTACGAAATCGATTAGGAAATTGTCCAGCGTGAAAATCCTCTAGGACACGTGTTTTTTAATAAAAGCGTTACGTGTTGGAAGTAAATAAGAATGAAGTACAATGCCCATGAGGTAAATGATTAATAAGGGTACAAACAAAGAGTGGGAGGGCGGTCGATATTATCATTATCGACCCACGACGGGTGCAATAAAGGATGGAAATAAACCGTTTTATTAATAATTTATTGCACATGTATTGATTCGGGTTTATGGTCATTAAAATCTGACCCAGCGCGCGAAGACGTTTCGAGCAAAAATCGATCATCAACAAGGAACTGCGACGAAAAAACAAAACTTGGAAGCTTAATTTCCTGTCCCGAAACCCCGAACAATATAGCGCCCATTTTTCCCCAATTAGGCCCAAACAACGCCGCAATTACCTCCCGACCCAATTAATCCGCTCGATTTTCAGATCGCTGGCGCCGGACTCTTAGCCTTGGGTATTCTCCTCAAGCTCCGCAACAATGACATCCAGAATTTCATCCCAGACAAGTACCATCTGGGTTTGCCGCCCATCCTGCTCATCATCATCGGCTCCATCATCTTCGTGACGGCTTTCTTCGGCTGCTGCGGGGCCATCAGGGAAAGCACGTGCATGCTGACGACGGTAAAGTGGCGCAGTCGGTTGGATTCACACTCATTGTTTCAATTTTAGTTCGCCATTATTCTTTTGACACTTTTAATAGTGCAAATCGCCATCGGAGCCTACGCTTTCTTGCAAGTCGGGGACACCGCGGATTTGAAGTCGTCGGTGACCCAAGTGGTAGAGAAGTCGTTCAATCAGTACAATAGCTCCAAGAGCATACAAGAGGAGTTCGATTTTCTTCAAACTTTTGTAAGTGGGGCGTTATCGATTAGGGGTGTCTTTGTTGTAATTATTGGAATAGGGGGGTTACTAAGTACAGTTGTGCGTTGATGATGTCGTTTGTTGGATTTCAGAGAAAGTGACACATGATGAAACAAATTCGTGTCTAGATAAGGCCAATTATTGGTTAATTTTGATAGATCGTTATTGAAATTGAAAGAATCGCGTGTTTCAACACGCGATCAACAAAGCATTTATTAGTGGATTGATTTGTGTTAAAAGCTGAGTTTAATGATACGTTGAATGGCATGCAAAGATTGTTACGTCGATAATGCGCAACGTGCCGCCCCTAAGTGTCATTATATAATTTTCTTGCCACGCGTGAAAAAAGTGTTTACGTCTTTTTTAAATTAAATGAATGTGATTAGCTTCTGAAAAATTCAGGAAAAAGTTTTTAATTTGTATCATTATATCGTGTAGATCGATTTCTGAGTTAAATCGGGACATTATTTTAAATTAATAGTTGTCATAAAATAGATCGCCTACAAAAATTGGTTGTTTTAGTTTAATCGAAGAACATTTTTCTCAGAAACAATGAAATAATAAAACAGCAATTAATTTTTCCGTTAAAAATGTCATAAAGCTGAAACGCTATTGTTTGGAGTCGTATATTTTTTAATTTCTTGTAGTTGCACTGCTGCGGGGTGAAGGGCGTGAACGACTGGACCTGGGAGGGTGGAAAATTGCCCGCTTCCTGCTGCGGCAACAACAACAAGAACTGCACGGTGGGTTCCAGCAACGCCTACAAGGAGGGATGCGGAGATAAGACGTACCAATGGTTCAAGAACGGGTTGGACCTGCTGGGTATCCTGGCGGTGGCTATCGCATCCATTGAGGTAATTCCGGGCGGGGCTAAGTCAGTTCAAGGTCAGGCGTGTCGAAAGTGATCGATTACGCTATCGAAGGGTGTAAATATGTGAATTTGTGTGGACTTTGTAATTGGGTGGGTTCTGTAATGAGCAGTTCCAGATTATGGAAAATGGCCTCAAACAGGTGGTTGTTTTGGTCATGCAAACTCGAAGGGAGCAAACTAGGGCAAGGTCTGAGTTTTGTTCTTTTTTTAGATCATCGGTGCGATCTTCGCTCTGTGCCTTTCGAGCTCTATCAAAAATCAGCTACGTCGAGAAGCTTACGCTTAAAGACACTAGTTAAGGATAAATGTTCTTGTTGTTCACAGTTTAGATTTATGCAAGGAGTATTATGTAAATAAGTTATGTATAATACCTCAATGTACAAATTCTCAACACTTTTCTATTCACCACCCGAGGGTGCGGTTTTAATTAATGATAACACGTGCAACATTCACCGTTACTGTGTCAAATTGAATGTGATAATGTTCTTTTGTAATTTTCGTGGTTTACTTTTGTATATTGTTAAGATGATTTTTTACAACTTGACTGAAGAATAGAAAATAGATTTGTTTACCAAAGATTTAAATTAAAAGCGAGATTCTAAAATTGTAAGGTTAACGCTAGACAGATATAACACTACACTATTGTTATTACTTTTTGTATTATTTGTATCTGAATAAATTTCTATATGTGTATTGTGAGAGTTATTTTAGCCCCAGTCCAAGAAAAATTTTCAAAAAATACTTCAAAAATCTTGGTCCGAATTTTTTGATCATCTTCGAAAGTTCCATCAAGAGATTTCCAACTTACCTCATTTCTTTGAAAACTCCTACCTTTTGTCCACAATCCCCAATATGAAATATGACAATTTTTAGAATTTGTAAATAACAGTTTCTCGGGACAGTCTGATCATGTTAACCCTAGACTTGTTAGGTAATGCCTGGATCAGTGGTCACGAGACACTGTTAGAATTGGTACAAGGTTAGAAAATAATAAGCGACCAATTAGCATGTTGTAGTCCTAAAATTGGCAGAAAAATCCAGTTATAAGCAATTCATCAATTGAGATAATAATCAACTTTTGGACCAGATAAATAAATATTAATATTGTGTTAAAATTTCGAGAAATTTGTTACAAAATATACTGCATTCTAAAGAATGTTTGTAAGAGTATTAGTAGTAGCGTGATTTTTCATAGATCATAAGCCCAACAGAATGCTTATTTTTCGCTTATATATATATTTTTTAGCGACGAGTTAAAAATGAGCATGTATTACCACTTATCATAAAACTTAAAGTGAAATTTAAGTAATAAAATTTTGAGATGATGACGTCATCAATTTTTTGAAAAGAACGCAAAACCGAAACCACAGAATTAACCCAAAATTGGCCGACTTTCATCTGAGGCCGGTCGATAACGTAGACAACAATATAAACATGTCTACTAGATCAACAAAGCCGCTCGCCTTGAAACGAAATTCGCCACTAACCGAAAAAAATTAACACATCATTAACCTTCCCCGTTTCGTGCTATTTTTGCTCACAATTATTTTTACTCACATTAATGGATAAACCTCTAATTTATTATATAAACTGTCGACACCGCTCCCTTCTCCCTCCTTCTACGCCACTGAAAAATGTGCACTGCGTTCTGATCTCATCCTGAGTTTCAGTCTCCGCGGCGCCGAGCGTCGACCCAAAACATCCAACGATTTAAAAATAAAATGATTCGGGATCGAGTTGGCTCGGTGTTTTTTCGAAAATGAGTTGCGGAGAGTTGTTTCTGAAAGGTGCTAGCAGCACTTTTACTGGATATTTCTTGGTAAGAGGTGTTGTGGAGTGCTAGTTTTTGTGGTCGGGAAAGTTATGGGTTGTGGGTGTACAGAGAGACCGGGTGGTACCATAGCACGTGTGTAATAATGATTTTAAGTTTCCTTATTTTATAAAAATGAAAAAAGGAGTGTTTAACACATGGTTGAAGACATCTATGTTAGTTATACTTTCCATATACTTCCCAGTAGTTCCTAATGGCAGTTACTAAACTCAAAGAGATAGTGGCACCGATTACCTAAAATTTAGTTTCACTACAAAACCCGGTTTTAATCTCAAGTACTCACTTCAAGAGGAGCCAAAGCTAAAATCACTGTCCCAATTATCCGAATAATATTCAAGAGAAAATCGTATGATGCATTTTGACACCCATTTTCGTAAACATTCTTTTTGTTTTCGTCTTCGTAGCAGCTCTTTGGATATGCGTTGTTCCAAAATTGTGGTCCAGAAGCACCACAACATCCCAGTTTGGCTTGTATAAAGTCAATAACTTCCTGATCTCTAGGAGAACTCGTGAAAATACCGTTAACTGTGGCATTGATGGTGACTGCCAAGTCCTTTTGGTTGCTCACCGTCCAAAAAGTAGCAATACTTAACGCGATTTGGAGAATGAAGATAATAATAAGAATAATCGTGTACTAGAAGCATAGTAAAAATTTTTGATTACTATGAAAAAACATATTTACTGTGTTTAGAAGAAAAGGGTTTTTCTTGAATGCCCCTACTGTCCCTAAAATTGATATCAACGATATGACTGATCCTAAAACTAGGAGAATGATGGGCGTTGCTGATAAGTAGTGGTACGACGATGGTATGACCTTGGATAGATCGTTCATGTTATGTACAGAAAGGGCGCCCACAACGATAAGACCTAATCCTATAAGCTACAAAACACACAAATGTTTCACTCAAAATTTATAAACTCACCAAGAAAATTAAATTGAAGATTAAAACCGTCCATTTTCGGCAGTCCATGAAAAACCCCATTTTGTTACAGTGCAGTAAATCCTAACTAGTTAAAATAAAACATCATGTTGTAACCTGATAAGATTAGATTCGACTGGTTATGCAACGTATTGATACTTCTTCAAAATTAAGAAAAGTACATTTTTTCCTGACATGTTAAAACGAGTTGTTGAGTGATTTTCAAAGAACTTTCGCGCCTCATCACCCACAATTTCCAAAATATTTACTCGCGTGTATGATAAACAGAACCTTTGAGACGTGGGACAAAAATAGACGGTTTTTGCACCAGACGTAATTAATTTTGTGTTAGTTAAAATAATTCATGGGAAACTCGCGACGAATGTGGATTAAATTACGTTATTTTTGGCCACATGAAATGTTGACATCCGCGTGGTAATTGTCGCCAGCACTTTCATCGTTATTAAAATTCTATGAGTACACTGAAAAATTGCTTTATGCAGTTGCTGACAGTTATTAAGTGCGACTGAAAAAAATACACTAAATATTTAACAAGCGCGTGTGCAAATAAATGAGTATCCTATAAAAGCTATGTTTGACAAAAAGTTAATTTAAATTAACATGACTCGCACTTGTAGATAGTCAGCATCGCCTTCATCCTGTATGGCTTAACAACCACGTTGTACCTCCTGAAGACGAACAGCGTCGAAACTCTCGACCAAGAACTGGTTTCTGTGCCTTCTCTTTGCCTTGTTCTCTTCGGAGCCACTTTATTTCTGATCATCATCCTAGGGTGCTGTGCAGTTTGCCGGGAAATCCCTTGTTGCCTCGAAACGGTAACTGTCACCGCTAGCGCCACCTATGATTATCATTGTTTTTTCAGTACTCCATCTTCTTAGGTCTACTGGCAGCAGCACAAATCGGTCTAGGAATTTTCTGTTTGGTGCGTTTTAGTGTCTACAATGAAGACTTTCAGGCCAGGGTGTTCAACGACGTCAGCAACATGTTTGACATGTATGATGTTGAACCCAAGCAGATGGATGACACCCAAGAATGGGTAACCAGATCGAATGACTTGGTTGTTAAATTTTAAAGAATATGGTTTTGTAGATGAAGTGTTGTGGTGTCAGTCAACCAGGTGACTGGTTGAAAAATGGTACATTTCCGTCGTCTTGTTGCGAAGGTAAACCCGAAAATTGTACCTTAGAGTCTGGGATGGTGTATCCAGATGGGTGTTACGAACAGCTGTACACTTATATTGTTGGGTCGAATTACATTATTGGGTTGTCGCTCACTGTGACAGCTGTCACTGAGGTAACCAATCACGCGTGGGGTTTATGGGCTACTAAAACTTTTTTGTAGATGATTGGGGCTGTGATGGGTATTGGACTTTCGTGTGCCTTTTGGAGAAACAACAGGATCATGTGGATTTAAACGAGTTAAAAATGAAAGTCCGCTTAAAGTATTATGTATAATTTTAGATGGTAGGTTAAAATGGTTGTTAATTATTATGTTACGTCACTGGGTACTACTACGTGAGCTGGGTTATTAGTTGTAATGACAATTAAGTGTAATTTTTATAAATGTTTCAGCACCTTTAATAAAGTTGGTTGTTTTAGATTTGATTTACACTGGTCAACAAAAATCCTAGAAATAATTACTTTTGTATGTTATAATTGCCCTGTCGTCGGGGGCTGCAGAATACCGCGACCGTCTGATGCCGCGTGAGGTAAAAGTCCTCTAAGTGCATCTGGAATCCCTTGGTGACGTTCGGATACCATAGGACCTTTGATAATATCGCGTCCTTCTTTTGGAATAGTTAAGTCTGTTTTCATAGTTGTGGAACAAAGATACCAACGTTGACCATGTCGAAATTTGGAGAAAAACCAGGAAAGGAGAGACGTCCTGATAAAAAGTGACCAAGAAGTATCAAGGCTCTAGGAAAAGGATCTAACCAACTTTTGTGGTAAGATCGACAATTTTCCATGAGCAGCAAGACCCCAGAAGGTTCCCATCAAGAATCCACCTGTCGATTTGGGTTTGAACATTTTATAATAACGAAAGAGAATACCTGCAGTAGCAGGAAATATCAACTCAAAACTGATTTTCAGAGAAGAACGAAATTAGCTGTCCTAAATTACATTTTCCCTAGTTTATTGCTAAAGAACTATTGCTAAGAAACTAAGAACTTAATCTCTGTGAGGTCCCTGCTTTTTCCTTATTAAAGATTAAGGTTTTTTTGAATAATATTTGACTAGAATTTCGACTATCCATAATTCATGTGGTTAAAAAAAGCATTAACTACTGATATCTTTTATTATCACTAAACAAACATACATCACAATACCATTTATAACAATATAAAATTAACATTGAGCACTTGTAAAGAATGACTCTACTGCCTTTAGGATTGAAAACTATCATCACAACTCTCGTTGTTCGTAAGTATTAAAGCCATCAGCTGTGATTAAGTACTTGTCCACAAGTCACGAAAGATAAAAAAGAATATAAAACCTAATCTATCGTATAACATAATATTTATGTTAAACACAAGGCAAGTTATTTTACATAAATTAAAAAAATGACTATAACCACTTTTCATAACTTCTCATTGATTACTTTTGTACAGTACGTATCCAAAAGACCGAATAAATATTGACAAAATTTAACTTAGGTACTTAGATGAGCACATTCTCGAACCTCGTCGGACACTACCCTCTCTTAAATTTGAGCACTAGTAAACTTATCGTCAAGAACGCAACAATCCACACAATCGTCGCTAGAAATCCGTAGTAGACGGCCGGCTCCATCACCGACCAGCCCCTAGTCAACATGGACCGAAGGGCCGTCGTGGCCAGCGTCAAGGGCAAAAAGGTCGAGACGTACCGCAGCACCGTGGGCATGCCCTCGATCGGCCAGATCACCCCGCTGAGCAGCAGCGTGGGGTAGAAACTACCGAGAGCCAGCTGGATGGCGTTGCGCTCGAGCTCGCAGATGGCCGAAATGACAAAACCGAAGCACATTCCGCAAAGACCCTGCAGGATCGTGAGGACGATGACCCATCCGATGTCGCCTTTGCACTGCACCCCGAACACGAGGATCATGAAGACGAGGACCAAGGCGGTTTGGCCGCACATGACGACGAACTGAGTGACCACGTGGCTGAAGAGGATCTCGCCGGGACTGACACCTGGAAGAAGAGAGTGAGGACGAGGAGACTCAGGAGAGTTAAGGCTTACCGGCGACCCATGAACGATCTAGGAGGCCTTCCATTCGTTCGATGATTAGAGCGGAGGAGGTGAGAGCGACGGCCAAGAAGAAGACGATCCTAATCACAAGATTAATTAATTACTTTGTATGAATTTTTGGGTTAGTGGTGGCGGGCTTACGTTAGAATCACTCCTGGAGCTACGAAGTCGGTGAAAGAGGGCTTGCTGGAACCGTAGATTGGTTTTTTAAACGAAATCGGGATTTCAGCCAGGTCGGGGTTTTGATCACATGCTCCTAGAAGGTCTTTGGCGAACTCTTGGTATGAGAGTTGGAGGTCCCGTTGAAGAATTATCCCGATTTGCTGATCTGTTCAAAGATGGATTAGAGTTTTGTCTGGTCTGCTACTCGTTTTTACTTACTTGACATGTCGAGCCACACCCTGACTTCGCTCTGGTCTAGCGTTTCATTATCCGCATCCTTCCCAAGAGCCATCCGAGCCACCAAGGCGTCCGTGAAGTTCTCCGTGAAGTATAAAGCTCCCCATGCGTCCCCGGACTTGACGGCCAGCTTCGCCGCCTCTTCGTCCGGGTAGTACTCCTTGACTATCGTCGTGTTTTTCAAATTGTGCAAATATCGACAACTAAGATACGAAAACTTGCATCCATAGTCAAAGGAACACTCTTGGTACGACTGATTGGTGAAGTTCTTTTCGTGATTGACTATGGCCAGTTTTAGTCCAGTCGGATCACGCCCTATCGCTAAACAAAACAATATCACTTGCATGACTGGCAGTGCGAAGATGAAGAGCATAACTCCCACGTTTCGCCACATTCTTAAGAAGTTTTTCTGGAGGAGGGCTTTAATTTTTCCCCAAGACGTAAAATTGGAACAGTCTGTGCAATCGTTGCAGGTTTCTGCGATGCCGCTTTTCGACGACGAGGGTTTACCCAACTAGAGAAATTGAATTAAGTGTTAGAAAATCGGGAGTGGGGGCAGCTTACGTCGATGTGTCCGTTGGTACCGTCCGCGATGAGGACCTCTTTGCTTTGGTGGAAATTTAAGCCGACGACTCCGCTTTCTTCGGTGACGGAAATGGCGTCTTTTTTGTTCCAGTTGAGCGTTGCTAAACTAATATTATTGCTAATGTTGGCCTCGGGTTGGGCACCCCCAACCTGCCCTTGTTTCCGCGATAGTTTCAAAAAAACTTCTTCTAAGGACTGACAGCCGTACATAGAGAGCAACACGCCAGGAGATTCTTCTGCTAATAATTTGCCGCTTCGCATCAAGCCGATCTGGAACAAGTGCTTTAAGTGAAAGTGTGACGACGCAAATAACACTTACAGCATGTGCTTGCCGAGCCTCTTCTATATAATGTGTGGTTATGATGACAGTTTTGTTTCCATCCTTCGTGATTTGTACCAGGTGGTTCCAAATACTCTGGCGCAACAAGGGGTCGACACCCACTGTGGGTTCGTCAAGGATTAACAATTCGGGATCGTGCATTAGCGCCACGGCGAAAGACACCCTCCTCTGTTGTCCTCCACTACACACACATAAGTACTAAAGTCGTACCAAAAATTGTTACCCACCTGAGATTCTTAACCAGACGATTCTGACTCGGCAGATCCAAAAAGTTCAAAAGAAACTGCAGCCTCTCGTTGATTTCGACCGACTCCATGCCAAAAATCCAGCCGAAATACATCATGGTCTCTTTAATGGAGAACTCTCCATATAGAGCGATTTCTTGCGGCATGTAGCCGACTCTCTTCCCCGGTACTCCCGAGCCTTTGGTTCCTGGTTTGCCCCCCAACACCCATATTTCTCCTGTATTTAGCCTCCGCCGCCCCACTATGCACGACAAAAGGGTGGTTTTGCCACAGCCTGACGCTCCCAGAAGACCGTATCTACAAACATTGTTGTTTGAATGAAAGAAAGAATGACGTGAAAACTTACATTGTGCCTTTGGCGACGGTCATATTGAGGTTGCTGAGAACATGGTTGGGGTTCTTCTTGGAGCCGTACTGCTTGAAGGCGTGCCTTACACAGACGGCTTGTTGTCGCTTGCTCCAGACGGTCGACTGTTGGTGGACTAGGGGTGGCCTTTCCACGTTGACGCCGACCAAGTCCGGGCCTGGTACCACCGGTTCGACTCTTTCGCCCATGGCTGACCCTTCACTGTAACAGACGAACGCGTGATTCATTCATAGTCGGGAAGACGATTCGCGACCACGCACTACGCGTAACAAAAGCGATATGAAGTGGGTCAATTTTTGGCCTAGATCCGCACTAGACGTCGTGTGCAATTGAAAGGAAGAGTGCTTAGGTAACGTGCTTTGTTTATCGACCATGATAATTCTGGTTTGGTTTTACGAGTTGATTAGTGGGTTAAATGCCAGATTTTGGTGGGATGTGGTGTCACGTAGATGTGGTCCTTCGAGCTGGATTGATATTCCAAGAGCGCTTGTTGGGCAAGAAGTTGCGCCAAGTCACACTCGACGTAGTATTCTTAAAGCATACGGAATTTAACCTTGAATGTCGTCTTTATTTAGCAACGTACTGTTAGAAAGTTTCTGCATCCATCAGCAGTATTTTAGTAAATAAGCGGGGTAAGTGCAGAAAAAGCGTTTGTAATGATAATAATAGTCCGACTTACAATCACGTCGATTAAATATAATTGCAATAAAATGCGATAATAAAGGTCTATCATAGCTTAATTATGCAAATAACTGTCCAAATTAAGCTCAGTATAACCACTGCTAAATTGGGACTTAGTTCTGAGTAATTTACTTCCAATTGCCGCGCGCAGAATGATAATGGAGGTACTCATTTTTGCAAGTACTGAGTCTAAATTCCAAAATGCACTCAGTCAAGGCGACCAACATAAAAAAAATCAATTAGTGACCATCACCTGACTTTAACGTCGCAGTGAGCAAAAAACCATTAACGAAACCATACTGTCAATATCTTAACAAATAGTGTTTATTTCCTAATTGCATAATTACAATAGTCATTAGTGTGACAAAGTATAGCCGTGTAAATTTCCTTCGATAAAGGTAGGTTCACACTCGAGGCTTACCGGTGAAGACTAACTTATGCAATGAAAACAACAACAGACATTGTACTTCACTTCACTTCCTTGACATGTTTTTCTTCACAAGGTGGTAGTGCTTGCGTAAAACTAGTTGACTTTAAAAAGGACGCAAAATTCGGAGTGGTACCACAAGCAGTGCACGAATCCGAGTAGTACCGCCGCTACGAAAGAAGGGTAAGGAAGGCAAAACCAGTTCTACGATCAAGCCGGGAGGCCAAAGATCTGATTATTGAGAAGGATCGTTACGGTACCACCACGGCTCTTAGCACTAACGATGCACTTATTTCCAGAAGCAAGTTTAATGTTATGCAGTAGTACCTACACTTGTGTAAGTACACGAGTATTTAAATTGTTATGAATATTGTGGTTTCATGAATGATTTACTTCGTCAGTACGTCGGAGAAAACGTAAAACACTTTTTATAGATGCAATAAAATTTAAACAACAAAATAAAAATTTCTTGAAACCTTGCAAAGTCGTTTAGAGGCCGGTACTTGTTATAGTGCAGGAAGTTACAGCAAAGAGAAATCATATTAAACACAAAGCGAAAAAATAACGAGTTACCTGCAATAAAGAAATTAATTTCAACAAGTGCTAAAAAATAATAATGTAGGCAAATTGCGTTCGCTGAATTATTGATACTAAAATTAGCGAGTCCTCGTTTATTGGGACTGAAAAAAGCTCGAACTGTTTTTCAAAGGCAATTTGCGGATAATAAGATGTTTACGTCCGTTGGTATTTATTGGTAGTGCGTCATAAAATCGCGGATTTTTATAAATATTATACATTTATTTTTTTCTTTAAATACCGGTCCCATTTTTGCCTTAAACCGGTCATGGCAGCGACTTGCGGATTAATTAAGCGAGCTTAGACTAGTAAGAGTGAATGCGCACACAACTAGATCGCAAATCGAGCAAAAATTACCTACCGTGAAAGGAAATATCATTCTGTTGGTACCAACTCGTCAGAAAGTTGTAAATTTTGGGTTTTTGCAATTCAGATTTTTAAAAAACGACATAAATATTTAGCAGGAATATAAATGACATCGCAACGTTACCTAAAATATTCATACGTGAGGGTAGTACCCATTTTTATTGACGGTACCGCATATTTTTGGTTCTAATTTCTTCAATATCGTTTAGTACTTTTCAGTATGGTACTCAGTTAAAACTATCAAGTTTACAGCATGGGAAGTACCAGCAGTACTACACCATCAATCACCTCTCCTTTGTGTGAGGTCACTTTAAATTCTACAAGTGTAAAAGAACAGAAACCTATGACTAATGCCCAACAATGTTTACTTCTACCCATCTTGGTTATATTTACCCATAAGTCATAACAAAGACATAAAAACGATTTACGGTGCTATAAAAAGTCGCAGTGATTAAGCAAATTTGCAAAGCTGAATTCGCATTTTCGCCAAGACACTTCGTTTCGGCCCTAATTGCCCTCCATTAGAAAGCTGTTTTAGCAATCAAAAAATTCTACGCAACGTCAGACCTATCAGAATAAAATGCCGGTTGATAATGATAGATCACGGAACGTTTATGTAATATTCTCGTAATCGTATGTTATTTCTGTCAGACAAACGACTATTCGAATACAGGGTGACTTCGATAATCATCATTGAAATGAATTTCCCGGAAACTAGGTTGTTTCCTTTGAATAATTGAGTAATTTTATCTAATCCAAGAAAGTTATTAAAAATTGATTTCTCGGGGAAGCGAAAGGAGAGCTTATTAATTAATAATTAATTAGGAATTAAGGATGGCTTCCTTATTAATTCGAACGATCCTAATGATCCACACACTGGAACCGTACGTAATTCGAATTAGGTAATATTTTTATATAATTAATCAAGTAATTGAGGACATAATAATAGGAGTTTCGTGTACCTGCTAAAATAGTTCCATGAAAATTGTCATTAATTTTATCATAAACATATGTATGTGACAACCGAAACTTTGTCAACTCGCTTTAAATTCTATAAACAAATTTGAAATTTAAAGTTATGACGTCAATTGTATTTTTTAAATAATAAATTAACGCTTTACGTTGTTTATATAGTTTTTAAATCAAATTATAAATCATTCACAAGGTGCAAGTTTTATTAATCAACTAAATCGAACCAGTAATTAGAAAAAAACAATCATACTTGGTTGATTGGTAGAATTTAGAGAAACCTTGTTATCCCTGTCGCCATATTTTTGTCTTTGTCATTAAAAAGTTTGAAATCTATTTAAGATGTACAACCTCTTTGAAAATAGAACTTTTTGCCCCTTATATTTTGACACACCGTATAAGACTGATCGATTTTCAGTCGGCGGAGATTGTCATTTAGAAAGGGCTCAAAGTCTGCCATCTGAGAGAGTGGAAAACGAACCAAGACCTTGCACTAATAGCTCAGAACAATTAAGTTGATTTGCGTAATTAATAAATGATTCATCAATAATTCATAATTAGAGGAATGTTTCTCCCTACCGCAAGAGGATTCCAGTCGATTTTCGGAAATACCAGCTGGCAATGGTTTCGCCTTTAACACGAAATCTCGCCTTGATCCACCTCGTAATTAAGACCATTGACGCAACTTACCAAAATTAAAATTCAATGCCGCGCATAATTACTAGATATAAATTCTCCGGGGGTTGTTACTTACGTTATCAACATCTCAAAAAAAAGTCTAGTCAGTTACACAAGCACTTTCACTGCAAGCACATGGTGATCGAAAAACCCAACTTACGAACCCAACACTCTGTATAATTCGGCACAATCGCTTTGTTATATAATTGAAGAAATTTCTTAAGAGTTTGGATTACACAGCAGTTTCTTCACCGCGCGAAGTTTCGAAACTCACATACATTATAAACAATTAGCCCGGAAAAATCCGGTTGCTCGACGACTCCGGTGTGCGTCAGGCCGCGAGGAGGTTGCTCGCCGGACTGACCATTGAAGTCTTGGCGATAAACAAAACGACTCGCCCCCCTACTTTTTTGCAACAGTCTTGGGCCGAATACTAATTTAGACCTATCAAATGTTTAGATGGGACGTCTGCGTCACGCCGTTCCCGTTTAAACAGTTTTTGTACCTTTTGACGTCAGTGGTCAAAGACCATCGCGAAAAAAGCTGCACTGGCGTGAACCTTTATTTCGAAAGTTGTATGGATGGAGTGGCGAAATGATGCTTTGGAAGGTTAGCCGATTGCATTGTTTCTTACATAAGGAGTTTTGCAAACTTTGGTAAACAAAGTTTTGGATGATTTGAACTTAAGTGTACCGGATTAATTAACGTTTTCACTCAAATTTCTGGGAAATAGTAGTACGGTCGCACTAGATTGGTACGGCTATTATTAGTCAGATTGTTTATTTTTATTCGCTTTTTCGTTACTTCCGACTTGCAGAAATTGAAAGTTTTTATAGCCTTGTTTGCGCAAGTTTTATACAGGTTTGCGATACGTCCACCGGGAAGACCCGATTTCAGTCCTGTTTATTTTAAGACGATAATTGAGCTCATAACCTTCAATTTTTTTATTGTGATGTAAACCATATTGATTATCACTTCGTTATTATCACTGGGACCATTAATTTAACTTAATGAGTCAGAAAAAAATTTAGTGACATAGTTTAATTGCCAAATTTTCCGTGTAATTGTAAGTCGTTATGGGAATCATCCTTCGTTTTTTCTTCCATGACTTGAATTAAAATTCCCAAAAAAATGTAAGAGCGTCATAATAACGTCCATAATAAACACATTATGCAGAAATGGAAAAAAACTTGTGCTAAAACTGCATGTTAGAGAGCAGATCAAATTCCAGTGACCATTTCTTATAAAATTCTCGCTTTTGTGGTTAGTTTCTGATGGGTTCAATATAATATAACTTGGAAACCGAAACAATCTGTCAGTAGGAGTAGGAATACTAGCTACCAGTCATGATTTATCCAATCGACCATCTATGGACAATGATTACAAAGATTCGAAGTGATACACCCACAGCTGTCAACCGCAATCAACTAATTGCAGTAATTTCAGAATGAGAGATTATTCCCCAAGGAATTGCGAAGAAAATCTTTCTGGACTCGGCGATATT